AGGGGAGAAGGTTGGCGACAAGGGTTATTTTGTTGAGAACACCGCGTTTGCCGATGTCTCTGAGAATGCGACCATCATGAAGGAGGAGATCTTCGGACCTGTCGCGGTATGTTTCTCTCCTTGGTAAGATTGCTTGACGGGATCGAGATCGCTAACTGGAGTAGAGCATTGCACCTTTTGAGACGGAGGCTGAGGTTATCGCCAAAGCTAACGATACCCTGCATGGTCTTAGCGCGGCCGTCTTCACCAACGATATCAGCCGTGCGCACCGTGTGACGGCAGCCCTTGAGTCTGGCCAGGTTACTGTTAACGCCTGGGCGATGCTTAGCCCCAACGCACCGTTTGGAGGCGTCAAGGAGAGCGGTTTCGGGCGAGACATGGGTGAGGAGGCCCTGGAGGGATGGACATCCGTCAAGTCCGTCAAGTATGCCATTTTGCCTCCCAAGCTGTAGATCGCGGAATCGCAGCGACAAATTAGATTATTCCAGGGGTCGGTCACCGATACTACACGATACCTAATGTAGAAATTTACATGAGATTCTGTTGAGTTGGGAAATTTCCACGAATAAGAGGGTGAGCACTAGACACGGGTCCTATTCCTCATGATAAGATCATGCATAATTTAATCTACGGGCATATTGCGGATACGAGATCTCAAGGGTCCGCTCGCTTGTTTTTCTCTTTTTCACGTTTCCGGCTCGTAGTAGACTGCATAGAAAGGATTCCACTAATGGGCTAGTCTCCAAACTTGGTGCTGGACCCTCGATTTCGATTTTCTTTTTGTTAAGTCGACTAAGCGCGTGAAACGGGATGCATCTTATGGAATACATTCTTCGGGTCGTATTTCGCCTTGACCTCCGTCAAGCGCTCCCGATTACTTCCGTAGATGTTGTTCACGACCGAGTCTCCGGCTGTCTAATGTCAGTTTACTCCATTTTTTTACTTTTGAGTTTTGGGGACATGAACTCACGCTCTGCGTAGTTGATATACTGCGGTACATCGGCCGTCTCTTCTCCGTTAAGCTGGGTCTCAAACTGGGCCTTGAATTTAGCTTGTATTTCGCGCGCCCAGGCCCGATATTCGGCATCCTTGGACTGATCCGTCCAGCGCAGGTTGAGTAGCCCGTTCTGCGTAAGACTCCGATTCGCGAACGCGGTCGCATCCAGCGGCACGCTACAGGTCTTCCTCATATCGTAGCACTCGAGCAGCATAGCCGGGATCATGTCGGGATGCTCCTGAGCCTTAGCGTTCAGTTCGTCGAGCATGGAACGCAGGAATTGGGCGTCCATGGGCGTGCGATAGAAAAGACCCTTGAAGGACTTGCGATCGCCGTAAGTGGCCATCGGGTTCTGGAGGGAGTTCAGCAAGGAGTACGGGATGACTTCGATCATGTTGACCACGGGCTCGAGGGCCAGGAAGCCGGCGTAACGCTTCGAACCTTCCTCGTTGGTACCGTTGTAGAAGACCAGGACGTTGACCATGATGGTAGGGGCGCCGGGGGGCTGGGCGAGGATGATCATCGCGCCGGATCGAGGGTCGGGGTTTTCAAAGAGCTCATTCATCTGCTCGACGACTGACTCGAGTTTGTCTGGCGTGAAGGCGATAATCCCCGCATAGACGGGTGTCTTCTGCTCGTAAGCCTGGAAGGTGAAGTCGACAACCACCCCGAAATTGTATCCTGCTCCCCGCAGACCCCAGAAGAGGTCTGGGTTCTCGGTCGCAGAGGCTGTGACCACTTGGCCGTCTGCGAGCACCACCGTCGCCGCCAGGAGATTGTCGATGGTGAGTCCGTACTGACCGCTCAGCCAGCCGTATCCTCCACCGAGTGTCAATCCACCGACGCCGGTGTGGTTGACTGTACCGCCGACGGCAGCGAGTCCATGCTCTGCGCCCGCTTCATCGACGTCCTTCCATACGGCGCCACCTTGGACCGTCAGCGTTTTCTTCTCCGTGTCCGCGGTGACTTTGTTCATGCGCGACAGATCGATCACCAATCCGCCGTCGCTAGAACTCGTTCCCGCGACGGAATGACCACCTCCCTTAACGGCGAGGTCGATCTTATGTTCTTGAGCCCAGAGAAGTGCGGTGCGAACATCGTCAGTCTCAATGGGCATCACCACAACACCCTGCACGGTTCACTTAGCACCACTCTCACTCTTTTTCTCTACCAAGGAAACAGATGTGGGGAACGGGGGGGGAAGACCCATACGGCTTGTTTAACTCCGGTTTCCGACCATCGTCGGATACTGGCCTGGTAGCCTGCAGATGAGGGGGTGAAGACCTCTGAGGACTTCAGATTGTCCACGAGGACGCGGAGAGTCGAGTCCGGAATGGAAGTCATGGTGGTTGTTTGGCGATAAATGTGTGTTTTGGTAAAGTTGGTGGTGTTGTCGGGTTCATCCGCCGAATAAATCACATGTGGGGTCGATTCATTGAATCGCTTAGTGATTCATTATCAATACGAATTGCTTGCTGTTCCATCGACTCTACACGTCTAGTTCTTGGCATTGGTGTTGGGTGTTTATTTTCATGTTCTCCTTCAATTTCGACCCCTATGGAGTTTTATACATGTTTTTATATATATGATAGGAATATATATATATATGTATATATGTATGGTGGGGTTGTTCTGACTCGTGTTGGCAAAGGTTGACCTACTCGTAGGAGTCCCTGACATTCAAGGTTCAGATATATATCTCTACGTGAGTTTCTCCTTCGTATACCGCTCATACAATTCCGGATACCACTTCTGCCCTACGTCTGGATGGCTGATAATCCGATTACGCAGGTATGCTTCTCCGAACTATTTTCTCACCATGAGGTTCCATGTCCACTAAAGAATAACGACAGACAACACTTACACATGAATACAAAGGCGAAAGAAACTCGCTGGGCACGTCGACTGCCCGCTTCTTTCGGTCATCCGAAGCAGGAATACATTTTACTATATGTGCTGCGGATTCGCGGAGCTGGTCGAGCGTGAGGTCCATTCGCACGCCCAGGAAAAACGGAATGCTGTATCGTGTCTTGGTCGTCGGGGCCTACATCCATGTCAGTGATACTTGACAAAACACAAAATCTGTATAGGGCCAACATACAATCACCCGATGGGTCGTCGCAGTGCAGATCCCGCCGGTAATTGCCTCGAATCCCTGTTGAATATTCACGACCAGACTGCCCTCAATGGGAGGGGCATCGATCCAGTCGCCGTTTTTATTAAGAACCTGGAGTCCGCCCGTGTCATCTTGCGAGAGGAAAGTGAACAGACCTGTCGAGTCCTTGTGTGGACCTACTCCTTGTGAGCCGGGAGCAGCTTGGGGATACCTGATAAACTTCAGGCGGTCCATTTTGCCCCTGAATGATTCAAAGGTTGTTGGGGGTAGGGAAAGACATTCTGAAACATATCGCATGAATTCCTGCGATAGCTTTGCGGACTCTGCAATGTAATCCTCGACCAGTTCTTTGGCCCCCGGGTGGTCCGGATACTACATCATTAGAATGCCCGATATGTAGACGGGATGCTGCGGGACATACCTGACTGTCTCCTTCGAGTCGCTGCCAGAAGGGATCGTTTTCAGTCCAGGGTTTCATACCCGGCGTACCGAAGTCGAATTGCTTTTGAATCCGATCAGTGGTCTATACATTCGTTTTATGCAGGGGGGGGAAACGGTTACCTCTCGCAAATCCGTCTTAGATGCTGTGGTTTCGGCTCCGAGACGAGTATACCCGACAAACGCGGGCGAATTGATCATATTACATCGTTCCTTGACCTCGGTGGGCAGAGCGAACAGCTCTGGAAGCTTCGCGTGCGTGCTTTTCACAAGTGGCTGTACAATATCAGGATTCTGACCAAAGAGAGACTTGGGTTGATGGTTGATTACCTCTAGCCCATGATTGATCAAGTACAAGAATCCAACCCGGAAGATGGCATTCCGCAATTGCTCCAAGGCTTCCGCTTTAGTCAGCGGATTCTGAAGACGACTAAAGTCCACGATGGGGATAGAGGAAAACGTATCAACCATGGCTGTTTCAGACTTTCGGTATACCGGGAGCGAATGTGAAGGGTGAACTGGATGTCAAGCGGGGATTAGATTAAGAGGGGGTGTTCGACCCTCGATCACGCCAATCACATCATCACCACAATCAAGCCATGTGTGGCTGAGTCTTGGCTCCATCGCTGAGGCCGAAGTTTTCCCAGCCGATGTCTCAAAACAACGACACTTGGACAAGCAAAAATGCCTTACGGGGATAAATCTTTGGTAGCCAATGTCGAATCCAATTGAACAAGTGCTCCTGGCTATTTTAATTATGCAGGTTTCCTTCCTTGGCAACTCGGACCCGGGAGGAACCATGGAAATGGTACTCCATCGTCTCGACCGTGCTGGGAGCATCAAACACAATCCACATGGGTTACGTAGGGATGTCTAACTCGAAGAAGTAAGCTCCCATTGTTATCCTTACTCTATCCGAATATTTCGGCCGTGCACAGTCCGGCTAAGAGTGCGCATGGTTGACTGCTGATGTTAGGGATCGGCATGTCACATGTCTAGATGGAATCCATGCCCCTATTGCACGTCCATCTAGAATCATTGCCCAAGAGCATCTTATATTAAACAACCAAGACTATTTTCTTCGGTGTGGAACAAGTCCTGTTAAATATAGTTGTGCCAAGCACCCTGGAGACACCGGAAGTCCATCTACCGAGAGATTTCTTGGCAGTATCAAAGAACAGTGATAGTCCGAACGACTACTGGAAGGAGAACGAAGTCGTCCTTCACAACCCAAACTCTAATAAAGTGCCGTTCCTGTACATCAGAGCTCCCGGGACTTGCTCGGATTTGTGGATTTGAGTTCGTAAGCCTTTCCCGGCGCACACAGCTGCTCTCCTCACTTTATATTATTCCACCTGTTATACCGTGTACGGGACCATCTCCGAAGAACAAGCATCACGAGGATCATCTCCCCGAGCTTGTAAATCCAATTCCAGTTGTTAAGCACACGATGTGCATGCAGAGTGATTGATCATGTCTTCATGCAGCCGAGTGCCAAGGGTAAGAAGCAAAACCTCCGACTTCTTGGCATTGCCTTCTGAAACGCACCAATGACTACCGGCGGCTCTCCATGTATCACCTAGACGGGTACAGGATAGCCCTAACCGTTAGCTAGCCGCCCTCAACCAACAATCTCGTCATGTCACTGCTGGTACCACTGTCTCGTTCATTGCAGTCCAAGCTTGGCACTATACGTGATGTTTAATCTCACCCCAGGCCCGCGGAGAAATTACCCGCTCCTGCGTGTATGTATTAGGGGGGGGCAAACGGCGACAATCTCTTCATTCTGTTCCACCTATGGTAATTAGTACTGGTCCTAGCTCACGGTGCCATGGCTCGGAGATGCTCTACCGAGCTCCATAGGGATGAATAATCTTGAAAAATCTTGAAGCGCCAAACCAGGATATATAAGAACCTGCCCATCCGGCGTAGTTGGGGTCTTCTTTCTTTCCTTACCAGCAAAGCTATTCCCTTCACTGTGTCATTCTTTCTACCCTCTTTTAACTTTCATTTCACCACAATCACCCGCCTCCATGGCTAACTTCAAGCTCTTCCTTGCGCTGGCCGCATGCCTGTCTGGACAGGCTCTGGCTGCCCCTACCAAGACCATTGGCAAGCGTGCTACTGTTTCTGACGTGAGTCTCCCGAGAATGTTTGGCATATCAGCCGGCAGTGCTGTGTCTAACCTTCTCCTCAGGTCGCCCACGGTTACGCCAGCCAGAACGGTGGCACCAGCGGTGGTGCCGGCGGTACCACCACCACCGTCTCCTCCTACGCTCAGTTCACCGAAGCTGTCTCTGGTGACGATGCCAAGATCGTCATCGTTGATGGCACCATCACCCAGGATGCCAAGCAGGTGAAGATTGGCAGCAACACCAGCATCATCGGAAAGGACGCCAACGCCATCCTTGAAGGATTCGGAGTGTATGTTTTAATCAAGTCGACACTGATGGAGGGAGAATTCAGACTAACACTGTACTAGTCTCGTCAAGGAGAAGGAGAACGTCATCATCCGTAACTTGGGTGTCAAGAAGGTCCTCGCCGACAACGGTGATGCCATTGGTGTCCGTATGTTTCTCTCTCCCACACTGCTATGGACGGTGACACAAGCTAACCTGCAGCAGAGTACTCCAACAACGTCTGGATCGACCACTGTGACGTCTCTTCCGACCGTGACCACGACAAGGACTACTACGACGGTCTGATCGATGTACGTAATCTCCAACCCTCTCCCTCTCCACGTATCTCAAACCGCAGTCAAAGGAATCAACACCACTAACTGTCAAAAATACAGCTCACCCACGCCGCCGACTACGTCACCATCTCCAACACCTTCGTCCACGACCACTGGAAGGCCATGTTGTACGGCCACTCCGACAGCAACGGCGACGAAGACACCGGCCACCTCCGCATCACCGTCAACAACAACTACCTGTACAACCTGAACTCTCGCGGTCCCTCCTTCCGCTTCGGTACCGGTCACCTCTACAACAACTACTACCTGGACGTCAGCGACGGCATCAACACCCGCCAGGGCGCCCAGGTGCTGGTCGAGGGCAACGTGTGGGAGGGCGGCAAGAAGCCCCTTTACTCCACCGATGGAGGATACGCTGTTGCTAGGGACAACGACTTCGGTGATGGCGAGAACACCGCTCCTGAGGGTACCCTTACCAGCGTTCCCTACGAGTACAACCTTCTTGCTGCTTCGGCTGTTAAGGGTGCTGTTTACGGTACCGCCGGTCAGACCTTGACCTTCTAAAAAGATCATGAGAGATAGAAGGTAATGAAGGAGAAATAGGGGGAGAATAATTGTGTGTGGTGATTGTGTGTGACTTTTTACATTCTTTTGTTAATTGATTATTTGGCTGGGCCAGGATCAAATTCTAGTTAGGGTACCTCATCAAGGCAAATTTGTTGTTCATCGGTAATTGTGACCTTCCAAGTACTTAATGGTATAGAGTAGCAGATGTATAGAAGTCTATAAATACTCGGTCCATCGTGACGACGTTGGTTAATCGCCGAAAAACCAATGTCAACGGTTAGTTGATCCTTACTGCATATATATACACCTAAGTATATATATCCAACCAACAACAGCGCCAGAGTAGGCCAGACCTCACAGGTATACTAAGGGCAACTGCCTAACACATTGAAGCAAGCAAAACCACACAAATAACCAACAAGAGTAGAGTAAGTCTTAATTCCAAACAATCTAGTAGGTATGTAGATAGTATTTCTCCGCTTAGGAAGTAGTATTAAAACGAAAAGACACCTATTAGACCAGCATAACCCAACCAAACAACCACAAAACAGGAAACACCCCAATTCTATTTAGCAAAGAAAAGCCCAATTCAATGCAACAACAGCAGCAATAATAGCGCTATCATATCTCATCAAAATGCTATGCAAAAAAAAAAAAAAAAAAAAAAAAAAAAAAAAAAAAAAAAAAAAAAAGAAATCCCGTAATACCCAATACTCCATTTTAATGCAACCGAACCGGCCCATCCGTCCATCCCGACCCGTCCATCCCGACCAACCAACCAGCCAACCAATCTAACCAAACCAAACCAAACCAACTCATCCGATCCAACCCAAGCGTGCAAAAAAAGGCAAGAAGACATCACCTTGTTCTATGAAGTGTCCGATTTCCCATGAGAATACAATGACCCCCCCTCAACGGGCATGGGGATTGTGATCTGCGTTGCATCGAATTCCCACGCCGCTTCTCTCTCTTGTCTATGATTCCGGATGTAGATTGGGAAAGTCCATTCTTTGAGACGGCCCTCAAGGTAACCCATGTCGCGGTTCTTCTCCCACATGCGACGGGAAGCCTTGAAGGCTGTGTTGACGGTATTGCGACGGAGGTCTTCGTATGCTTTGAAGGCGACAGGGAGGGGTTCGTGGCGGTGTTTGGCGAGGATGCGGGAGAAGAGGATGGCGTCGTCTAGGGCGTAGGCGGCCGATTCGTCGCGGGGGGGCATCTATTTAGGGTTATGTTAGTTTCGTGATGATCATATTATGGAGAATATGTATAGAAAGAGAGAGAGAGAGAATGTGTGTGTGTGTGTGTGTGTGTGTGTAAACATACAGCATGTGCAGCATCACCGAGCAGTAAAGCCCGATCCGTATGCCAACGGGCATTCGGCCGAACCTGGTACACAGGGTAGAGCATCCAATCACCCGCCTTTTTCGTCATCTCGCGGATGCAAGGGACACCGGATTTCCCGAAGCGGGTCTGCATCTCCTCATGCAAGGCATTCTTGATCCGATGCTGCGTGACCCAGTCCTGTCCGTTCTCGATCTTACAGTAGGGCAAATTGGCCTCATTGAACTGCACGATAGCCGCCAGGAAGATCTGATCGTGTTCTCGGTCACAGTAGCTCGCTAGTAACGAGCCATGGCGGGAGATGTTCATCGAGGTAGAGCGAAAATGAATCGGAGACTTGATACTCTTGGCATCGATGACGGTCTGCAGGAAGGAGATCCCGGTATACTCGGACGGATGTTCCGGGGACACCCAGTGGGTGCGGGTAGCCGAGTGCACGCCATCGCAGCCCAGGACCAGGTCCCCGGTTGCGGTGGTGCCGTCTTGGAAATGCAGGGTGGCTTCGTCTTCGTTTTCTTCGCCGCGGACCAGCTTCTTCCCGAATACCACGTTGATGTTCTTCGTCCGCTCCACCACGGCCAGCATGGCAACGGAGAGGACGATCCGCATTACCCGGCGGCCCTTGTATCCACCGAACCCGTTCCCCTTCTGGTCTGTGAAATCGATGCTGCCTAGGGGGCGGCCGGAGCGGCTGGAGAAGAGCTCGATGGCTTCGACGTCGGTGCCGCCTTCGGTACCCATTTTGTCGAGCTCGTCGAGGACGCCGAGGCGGTCGAGGTGTCGTTGGGCGACGGGGGTGAGGTTGATGGCGCCTCCGGAGGTGGAGAGGATGTCATGGCGTTCAAAGACGGTGATCTGGAGGTCGGGGACGAAGGGGGTCAGTTCTTTGGAGAGGGCGAGGGCACTGGAAATGCCGGCGATGCCAGCGCCGACGATGAGGATGTTCCGAGGAGCAAAGACCGAGGTGAGGGAGCGTTCAATCTCGGTAGGGAAATTGAACCATTCTTTGCCCTCTTGTTGTTGCGGAGGGACTTCGTATTGTAGATCCATGGCTTCTTGATTGGGTGATTATCACCGGTAAACGTGAAGAAAACCAAAGGGATTATTCGGAGGACCTCGGGTGCATTGACGAAGGGGTGCGAGACCTATAAATTGACCATGAAAGGAAAAAGGCTGCTTGGTATCTAGCAGACGGAGGTATCTGCAAAAATCCAGACCCAGTGTTATCGGATCAACTTCCTGAAAGGAGCCAGGGGGATCGTCCATACTAATGGGAGACCCATTTATTAATATTTCACTCACACCCATCAGGAGAGAAAAAAGAAAAGAAAAAAAAGTAAAAAAAAGGCGATATTCGGCCGGAAAGGAGAGCGTTCGGGAACCATTGACGCATGGTCCAGAAAGACTGGGAAAAAACCTGGTAAAATTTTCTTCATGCACCCACTCTAATACTCCTGCTGCATCGATAAATCAGAAACCGTGCATACATAGCGAGATCGGTGGCCCCACTCTCACCCGAAGTCCGGAAGGTTAGCAAGCTGATAGGTCGGAATTAAAAGCTGTCAGTTTAGACCACGTCTTAGTCTGGAAACGAACTCTGGATCCCTCCGTCATAGTGGCCGTTGAGCACCGTTCGGCACTCAGGAGAGGAAAAAGATCAGACGGCTAGTGCTCAGAGCGTCGGGAGCAATACGGAGAACAGTATGGAGTATGGAGTAGGGGTGGTCCATGTTAATTTCGCCATGAGATTATTGAACTCTAGCAGCAATTTCGTATGGCCTACAATGGTAAACAAATGCGACCATCGAGCTCCATATCCATATATGTAACCTCGGTCGTTAGGGCTCGACCGGCTAAATTACGTGTGCAAATGCAACGGCCAAAAAAGAACAAAAACAAAACGCTGACTCAGCTGACAGGTGGCGATCCGTGACTTTTTTTTTTTTCCACCCTGAACCGTTTGGACCCTCGCTTGCTCTCCAGAAATCAATTCCATTCCACGGTACTGAAGGATACAAAAACATGTTGAACCTTATCTTCGGCCGATCGGTGAAATCGCCGAAACGAGAATGTACACATCCATTTAGTTTCTCCGAGAAAGCCATCTCGCCAACGTGGGAACAGACATATCAAAAACTTAATCAACGACCAGAGATCAAAGCGTGCCGCCACACACGTCGCCTCCCGAACAAACGAGACCTTCTCTCCCCTTTCTAGAATAGGTCAACATCACCGGCGCTCGTTGAGATGACATCAAAGGGCCCACGCCGAACCCTGGTTAGGGCACTCCTTCGGTGATCACATTCTGCAATTCTCGAGCAATCGGTGGTTTTCTCGCGTGGCCAAGGTTGTTATGGTACAATTTAGCGTGCCTGCACTAACATGGGTTTTATGTTTAATGGGATCTACTATAGCACCCCAAGAAACTAACTTATTTTTTTCTTGCCTATTTCGTCTCAACGGAGACATACTGGCTAATTAAAAGTGACAGATAGCAAACATTAAATAATAGATTGGTCAATTCGCGCAGGGCAAAGCCGCTTAAGACATGTCTGTTATACGAATTTTCTTTGATACAATGCCAGAACTTTACTTGCGCCTGCCTAGGCGGCTAACATACAAGTCTAATCGGGGCAACCGGAATCATCGCTCTGAAACACACCCCAAAAGTCAATTGTAGTGACAGCTGCGATAGATATGGGCCGATTGAGAGAATGGTTTATGAAACAATGACAGCTCAACCCGTATTCAACAACCGAACATAGCATCCTCGATTGGCCATCCCGACAGAATCTGACGAGCCTGATCCTTCAGCACCCATGCAGCGTCGCCATGCTGCTGCAACAGTTCCGGCCTCGTATGATGCACTGGGCGACCAGGGGCCCTTGTTGTCTTACAAAATGCGCGTGGTCCCTGCATAAGAACGCATAAGAGCCGGGACTGTTGTGCGGCATACGACAGGGATGGCCATAATTTACTGCGGGCTTTAAGTGACATAAACTAAGTGCCAGGTTGTGTCACAGACAAAGAGATGACATCCTGAGTAGGGCAATAGCCTCAAAGAGTTTATTTTAACTTTAATAAGCCACTTTAGGAATTGATGTGCTTCCTTTGGTAGCCCTGTGGGGACTAATGCATATATCAGACTTCATTCTGCGAGCTGTCCATTATCTCTGAAGGCAATTACAACCAACGTAAATGAGACCGGTAGATAAGGCCTATCGGGGAAACCGCGGCAGGTGGAGGCTTTTCCCCATACCCATTGACATCCAACGGGTGTCAACTTTTCCAACGTCTCCCGTCCCGAAGGGCAAATCCCGAGTGCCCACAGACACCGGGTTCTTAACTTCTTAGTGCACTGTTGGGACTCCTAATGTCTTACTTATTAATGTGAAAGAGATAACTAAAAATTCTCTCCCGAATCAAGTAAGCTCCATGAGAGCGAACAGAACAGAATGGAACAGGACTGCCTAGGATAGGGCACTAGTGGGTGGATACCATCTTAGAGATCAATTTTATAGCTAGACTATAATTAGGCAATTATGGGCTAAAGTCCCATGGGCCATGACAGGATTTTATCGAATCACATGCAGGAGAAATATACTCGGTGCCTAGGTAGGTCAATTAGGGCATGTTTTCGAACGGAGAACCTCGTCCCTGAACCCCGAGCATACCCACTGGCCATTCTAGGCAAATTAACTCCATCCCGACTGGCCGACTTTTAAGCGATCTTGCTCGGGAAGGTTGTAAGCGACCACACTAGACATGCTACACCCGTATTCAAGGACCCTCCACTTCAAAGAGAATGGTTCTTGACTCATGAAAACCAAAAAGGGGATATGCTCAGCTTGCCCAAGTTTGGGAACATGAAAGTTATCTTTGACTGTGCGAATACGACCAGCTAACCCCGCTAATAAGGCTAAAGGAACAGGGATGGAAGAAAAAGGGGGAGGGAAGAGAAAAAAAAAAAAAAAAAAAGAGGCAAAAAGATGCATTGGAAAAACTTCGCCTATGCAGTTCGTGCCGAGGTGAGTAATCAGGCCATCGCTTGCCGATAGAAGGTTTAGTTCCGCAGTCTTCAGAGAAGGTCACCTGGAAAGCTGAATTTTCTTCTACTCAGTTTCCAAACAGGGATATCATAATATGGACCCTCAGCTAAGAGCTTAGCCTGCTGCAGTGTATATTCTACGCTTGCATCATCGCACCATACTACGTTGTCACAAAGACTCCAAATACGAGAACTGGTGAAACCTCGCAAGACACCACCGCAAGAGCAAAATCTTTCTCCAGCTCCAGCTCCAGCTTCAGCTTCAGCTTTCACTAGTCGATACAACGCAGGGTTCTAGACCCCGGGTATACCACCTCCATTAAGGAGTAGATCTGAGACATGGCCTTTTATTATAGCATTCCGATCTCGAATATCATAAGTCACCAATTCTATAGGGTTATCCTGTCACAGGAGAACGGTTACATCTCCCGGATCTACATTCTCCATAACATTATTCCCAAAATTCCCCACTATAGTCACCAGCTGCAATAGATCGGCACCCAACTTCCCTTTTCTCCACGGAAACACGTAAATAGAATGTGAAACTCACCGCCTCGGGGTTCCATGATAGTTGATAAATATAACTATGGATCCAAACGACATGTGAACCCGCGGAATACTTATATACAGGGCCGCGAATCATTACTGTCTTCGTTGTGTGGCACCGGTTACGAGTACGTAGGACAACCTAGAGGTGCTAAGCTTTTGCCCCCTTATTTGGAGGTACGTAACATCGTTCTGGAATGGATTATTAATTCTAAGGGTCTAGAGAGAAGATCTATACCGGGCTGGTTTTAGCTCCACTGGATCTTCCCTCAGGCGGAATTTACTATGTACTCGGCCTCCGGGGTTACAGCGGAATCCGATCGGCAACAGCGCGCCAGAATAAACATCTCAGACCCCGTCCTCCTTCCCAAGTATAGGCATTCGCTAGACGGAAATGATTTACAATATCGTCGCCTTGCCGGATATAATAGGTGTAGTTTGGTGTGACGACAACCGGGGAGACGGTGCCGCCGGTGGTATTTAGGTCCATCTGCCAAGGGGCGGATGGGTGGAACTGGGGCCAGTCAAGATGACCGTGTGGATTTTGAGGAACAACGGCGCGGCTCTGATTAGCAGTGGCATCTTCGAGGGGAATAATAGGCGTATCATTGATAATAAAACGGCCCCATATCTTCTGGAACGCGTAGTTGAACCCCTTGCTAGGCCAGGACGCTTCGGTGGGAAAATAGGCCTTCAAGTCTGCGCCGTGGTAGGCTGGCGTGACGGAGTACTGGTACTTCCAGGCCTGGTGGGGAGGTTCCCCAAACGCCTCGGCGAGCCACTGGGCAGGACAGTCAAATGTGGACTCGGCAAAGATGTTGAACACGGTCTGCTGTAGTCCCGTCGCCACCTCAGACTGGTTCTTTGCCGTTGGACCCGAAGTGCCCAGGGTGTCGAATCTGGGGCTGTCGTCGGTGGGCTGAGAATCGGCCGTATCATAGACCAATTTTAGCCAGGCGAGATCGGTCTCGGTGAAGTTGGGGAATGTCGCCGACAGGTAATCGTTGAATGCGGCGCCGGTCACCACATTCGGATTACTCAAGGGGACGCCGTCGTTAGCATTGCTCTACAGCCTGTTAGCGTATCATAGGGTTGAAGGTAAGGAGACAGACGAACGTACTCCGACAAGGATTCGCTGACCACTAATTTTGCCTGAGAGTAACTGCGCCGACGGCCGTTCGCGAATGAGATCATTGTCAATAACCGGCAGAAATGCAAATGTGCCGAATAGGCCTGATTCGGAAACCAGACCGCTGGCATTTTGGAGCGTCTCGCTCGGTGCTGCAACTAAGCAATCGAAGCTGCTGTTGTACCGGGCCTTTGCGATCGAAGATGGACCACAGCCCGACTTCTCGACAAACTCTTCGTAGTAGCCGGTGGGTATGGGGTCATCATATGGGTAGATGGGTACTGAGTACGGACTAGCCGCAATGATCTGCGCATAGTCTGCGTGAGTGAAGGATTCAGAGGATGATAAAGCGAATGAAATAAAACCCTGGTACTTACGTTTTGGAATAGATTCGACTCTTTTCCTCCATACGCCAGGGAGTGCAGCATGGCTGCCCCGGCACCAGCTGACTCGCCACCGATAGTGACGCGCCTGGGGTCGCCCCCAAATTTCGTGATATGTTGTTGAACCCATTGCAGTGCGAACCGCTGGTCCAGGAGGCCAGCATTGGTTGTACCTCTTTCGTGAACCTCGGGGGATGACAGAAAGCCAAACGCCCCAAGACGGTACTGGATTTCCACCGTGATAAAGCCGTTGCCGTTGGTGTTCATTAGCGGACTAGGGTCATAGATAGCTCCAAAGAGGCCGTATCCGCCCCCATCTATGCGAAAGTTAGCACAATACCCCGACTGTTATATCTACACTAATTAAGAAGAACATAATGGGATCTTACGGATCCAGACGAAGACCGGCAAATCCGACGCTCCTGGGGGTGCATAGACGTTCAGGTACAAACAATCCTCATCACCTGGGTCCGAGTTAAAGCCGTAGACGGTTGGGGTCCCAGCGGCACCGGATTGCGGGCAGACAGGTGGCTGGTCAACGGCTAGGTGAATATGACTAGCATTCTGAGGAGGAGCTACCGGGGGTTGCCATCGCAACTCATTGATCGGAGGGGCAGCATAGCGAATCCTGCTCACAAAATCAACAAACGTTTAGTGAAGGCGGAGATGAGACATGGTAGTATGGCAAACAAAGGTGATCACTGCGCACCCTTTCCAGATATTGAGCCCAGTTGTTGTGTTATAATATCCTTGATAGGACGAATATCCCAAGTCAACGACGGGCTCAGAAGGTTTGGCTCCCACAGTAGCCACCAGAGCCAGGCTGACAGTTAGCAAGTGCCTCATCATCGAGTATTGGTCGGCAGAAGATGGTTCGCTGACAGGGCGAAAATGCTGAGAATAAGGCAAAGTCAGTGGAAAGCAGGGAGGATTTATAGCTGAATGCAGTGTACCTCTAGTGCTGATAAACTAGCAGGTGCCACGCATTAGGGCATATGAACGGACTTCTCTGATTGGAGAACGGTGCCCTAAGCATTTTGCTTGTTGGCCTTCCACGGTTACTCCGGAACCGTATGAATCATCGCCTCGTATTATTAGTAATGCTACTGCCCTTGACAGTATGTGTGAACCAATAAAAAAATGAAAGATCGGAACTACGATGGTTGCATGACCGCTAATATCAGCGGTCGTAGCAGCCCGACACGGAAACACTCTTTGTCTTTATTTCCACTGAGCTGAGTTCCAGGAGTTCCCACAATCACGGGAGCAGTATATGTGGGACGAATGAATATAATAATCGACCTTACCATAGGCAGTACTGCGCCAGGAAACAGGGATCGCAGTGTATACAGGTGGAAGTAGGCTGAATGGCTGGATCGGAGCCAGTAACCTCTCTATTTCAGAAGGACGGACTTATAGCCGCACACTGGAGACAGAAGTAGTAGAAGTCAGCTACAGTTTTTATAGATAGTTAGACTGCTATACAGGCGGTCTATAGTCCTCAGAGACCTTTAGGGCAATATATATTAGAGCATATCTATTATATAGTACCACAGTACAATATATAAAATCAAATTTATATCCAGTAGACACTGACATATATCGGAATCCCCGGAAATAAGGCTGCCGATAAAGCCGTAAATAAAGATACACAGCAAACCGGTAAAGCTATCGGTCTAGCTACCGTAGCCAAACAGCAGATGCACCTTCAGATCAAAGACAGTTAAATCAGGGAATAGGGAACAGAGAAATCTAGTAGAACTATATAAAAATTAGTCAAGATTCCAAATAAAAAAATACTGGATCTCTACAAAGATCTACCTAGGCTGTATATATCCATTATTATTCAAATAAAAATAGAGAGAACTAGAATAAGGTACTTTCTCTTTAAATTTAAGATCTCTAATTCCGACTAATATTGTTATAGACAAGGGTCTCAAATTTCCAGATATATCCTATTTTAGTATCTACTCTATACTGTATTTAGACAGCTATACTAGATAAACTAGATCTAAAATCCAAGAGAAAATAAACTATGACAGAATTATATCCTATCTTAAGACAATATGCTAGCTAATTTTGAAAGGTCGAGCACACTGGTTACTATGAAAGAGGGACAGACATGGAAGGTGGTATATAAAAGGTCATACCAGAGTGGTCAAACCTTCTCAGTACGCCTACTAATGATCACCGACTAGGAGACACTAGAAGAAGCTGGAAATGTAGGATGGCAAGGGATGGGAGGAGACAACCGCCAGGGGTGTGACAGGTGGCTTTAGTTGTACTTTAAAAATTTATTCCATTATCTTCTCTTGTAGGTATCACCGTATCACGGTGTTCTACGTTGGATTCTAGGCTCTTCGAGGCCCCTGCATCGCTAGACGTTCAGTAATTAGGCTCGAACAGGTTAATAGAATTTTGATTGATTGATTGATTGATTGAATAATGGACCTTCGAAGTAGATAGTAGCACATTAGAGCTGTAGAACTCCGATCAACCAGTATAAAGCACCTAGACTCACAACAGTCCTCCGAAGCAGCTTGAAAGCTGTTGGAATATACGATAGAGAAAACAACACCATCAAAGGGTAGCTGTGTCAGTAGAGGGGCCATGTACAGACCTCCATTAATTAACATGGGCAATTATACAAGTCATTACACCCTGTCACCGCGCCTAATAACCCACCACCCCATACCAGCAAAGCCCCAGTATAGCCCCAATAATAATCGCAGCAGCAGAGGGAACGTTAAACCATGCACTTTCTGCGTAAGTGACAGCAGCAACTACAACCCACCATGGCTCCTTTGCTAGACTCTGCCCATCAGTAGTCCCAGGAGTAAGATACCCAATCTCCCAGAGCCTGTAAACAGCAGTGAATACTAAGCCGACCGCCGCTGCATTCACACCCCTCAGAAAATCGACAACCCATTTTCGCTTCCGGAGAGTCCCCCAAAAACTCTGGACAGCAACAGCCAATGCAATCCCAGGAAAGAAGATTCCGAGTCCTCCCAGAAAGGCACCAAAGATGGTTGGGGACGGTGACTTTTGTAATGCTAAAGCCCCGAGATAAACAGCAAAGTTAAAGTTGGGGCCTGGGAATGCTTGGATGATTGCTAGTCCGAGAAGAAAGTCTCGACCAGAAACCCAGCCAGGTCCAACAACATAGGACCTAAGGAGGGGAATAACAACTGGCCCGCCGCCGAAGATGATAGTCCCAGCCAGATACATGTTGGTGAAAAGGTCAAGCGCCAATGGTGGTCCCTGGGAGACGCTTCTACCAACAAGAAGGCCAATGAAAGATGCTAGAGTCGGGTTAATTTCACTTTTGCGGTGGTAATTGCCTAAAAGGAAACTCACCAAAGAAACACACTGTAATGAGGATTCCCACTCGGATACGGATACTATGGGTCGGCGAAGGATGCCCTTCTGCATCCTGATCAGGAGGAATGTCTGCCGAGCTTAATGGTACCGATTCGCCCCGAGGACCAACGTTTCGCGATCGGACTGGATTGCTTTGCGATTCAGTCGTATCGCCGGTTTGATTACTAGAGCCGGGAATTCGTCCACCCTCTTCCATCGGAACACTCTCCATAGTTGCTAATTCCGTTTCAGTGGTAGGATGGACCGTGTGTCTTCTCTTCCATGCAAGCTTGATCTTCCGGATTCGCTGGCTCATCCATCCATCCCAGATAATGCTTGCCAGGCCTCCAACAACCATTAAAAGTGGGAAATACCACAGAGAATTATAACATAAGCCAGCACATGCCCCGAATATCACCAAGATGCGAGTGAGCTTATCGCGGATCGCCTTCTCGGCTAACTGCACAGCTGCAAGTGCAATGATCCCAACAGTTGAGGAGTTTAAACCAGAGAGAAGCGCATACACTGGTAAAGGAAGGGTGTCGCCAATTTTCTGGACACCAAGGGAGAGAGCATACATGCCAATCGCTCCCGGTAGACTATAGGATTGTAAATTCTATTATAGAACCTAATAGGAAGAGACATTGACCCCTTACCTCCAAACGAAGAAGACCAACAGTGCTGGAATAAACCCAGCATGTAACAAGGTAAGGCAGAAGATCATCTTTGTGCTTCCCGGGCCAGGAAGACCCTGGCATATAGCAAAGAGCTCCTGGTACTGCCATGGTTATCAGTCCGACAGTATTCTTCGGTGAAGAGACGCGCAAGACAGAATTGAGATGGGACAGGACAACAACGCACAGTCTGCTCATCTACCCATTTTTCTTTGCCTCCCTTTCCCTGCACAAATCTCTCATGCAGAATACGAAAATGAACGGGAGGCCCACCAAAGCTGGTGAAGCCTAAGTCCCAGGTTCTTAGAAACACATCTAGCATGCGACTCGACAGCCCGTCATTATTTTCGCTTTTTCTCGCTACGAGTCTCTGCCACTTCCGATTCAGAGATCGAAGAGAAGAGATATGTCGCGAAAATGAGGCTGGGAGAAGCATTGCTTGGAGGTTACCACAATCTTCAGAGAGTGGGCTGATCTCTTCTAACCCTAGATTGAAGACGAAAAGGAAAATTCACGACATTAGATATCAGGTTGGCTCGTTCTCACGGCAAAGTTAAAACGGACACAGCCAGCCAATTATCTTGCGGAGCATTGTCACGATCTGCCAAGATTTCGTGCCAAGATCCACGAATTAAATGGAATGAATCGGGGTCCTCTTTGCGAATGGTTCGTGCGAAGTGAAGGGGATTTGAGGTTATGGAGGAAGAGAGAGGAGAACAGATACGAGACTTATTCTAGAACAGAGTGGATTTCTTGGCGGTTGCGAAAATTTGTTACTTGATATTGACTATCAGAACTCCTAGCGACTTATTTCTACTGTCTAGTGGTTCTAATTCTGCACAATCAATAGGCACGGCCCGTTAATCTTAAGCTTGAATAGCTTCATGATAGTTGCATTCGTAGAGTCCCTCGGGCTTACACCCTAATCGCTTTGTGGAATCACCCGCCCGTGGTATCTAATTTACAAGTATACTACTTAACCGTACATTTACGATCCAGAATATACAAGTTTCTATGGTAAAGAAAGGGAGTGGGACGGGGAGAGGGATAGAGCTGGAATTTATATTATATGCCTGGTAAGTCAATGCCACTATAGAATTGACTAGAGACTGTCTTGTAACAGAAATCATGTCCATAACACCGTCATGAATAGGATATGCTGAACCCGATCAATAGCGAACACCACTTCCCCTTTTTGTTCATCGAGCCGACCTTGCCTTCCCATCGATTCTCAAAGTCTTCCCTGGCGCTTCAAACGCTCCATCAGTTGGGGGTTGCGACGCGCTTTTTCAAGCTTCGAGAACAGTTAGTGACATTAGAACTGACGCTTGGGACATTGATAGAAAAAAGCCTCGCTAACCAATTTCTGCCTTGCCTGTTCTCTTCTTTTTTCGTCTTCCGCGCGAGCCACGTCCTCTGTTTGTCTTATCAGCGGCCATCCTGACCAGAGTCGGTGGTCAAATTGGATCAGGTACCCACCATTGAGAGAGATTCGACCATCTCTATTCCAGAGAATTGTAGACAAATCAAGACTTCTATCATGACCATAGGCATCCCGGGTAGTGAGGCGACCGTGAAGAATCGGTCGACCATCTCTTGTTACCTCCAGTCGGGGATTACTCATGGACGAAGTAACGTTACGTGCGGGATACCTCAAACTATAATTGAAGTTCCCTAGTGAAGAAGTTGTTATCATGACTATTACTTAAGGATATGAGGATAGACGGGCCTACCATCATCGTTCCCCAGAAAGTCATCGAGTCGGATTTGAGTAGAGATCCATTCTCCACTGTCTTTCTTTGCCTTGAAGCGGAGATCAGTAACCCATCGCTTTTCTTCTTCGAGTCTGTGATGCTCAAGGGACCAGGAGTTGCAAGTGGTGGCGATATTCATTGTTCGAGGCGGTTTTTGAACAGTAGAGGAGGAAGCTTGGAGGAAAATTATGGAGCTGCGTCCTTCCTGTGATTACTTGCAAGCCGTAAGTAGTGTCCTATTAGTACTGCTTTGTAGATGATAGGTTTCTTTAGATATACGTAGACTGCCGATCTTTCCTTCCATGGTAAAAACGCAGTAGAGCACGGACGACGCTGCGTGAAGTTTTCAGCTGGAACATGTCCTCCATAGTCGATCGATAGTCCAGTGGTGTTGGCTAGAATAGAAGCTTATCTTCACCGCTACTAAGAGCTGAAAAGTCTTACCTTCGTTTAGAACTTAATTCTCGAAAGAACTGGTTGAGAAGCGATCTATTGGCTGCCCCACATGGCAACCTCACTTTCGGGACTCTATTTACCGCTAGCATTGATTGGATGAGTTGTCTTCTGCATAAACATAATTAAGCTTCTGTAGTTCTTGTACGTGTCGCTTCGTGAATACCCTTATCTTGCTGACATTTCTGGGGAACCGATCGAGTGTAATCAGTAGATGCCTTGTGCCAGTTATGTGGAAACATGAATAGTTTTGGCTTAAGCTGATCACGGTAGACTAGAACACCCTGCGCTAAGCAAATCAAGGCGACTTTACTGATTCGAGGGGGGCTGATATCCACCGGAATCTTTTACCGAAGGGCGAGGATATCTTAACAACTCGAGAGCTTCAATTGAACGCATGCATTGATGCTAATCTGATGCAGTTATATGTTAACTGGTGAATGCTAACTCACTTAACTTACTATTAGTGTGAACTCTCTACAAGGAGGGAATACATATAAAGTTATAGCTTTCAAGGGCTAGTAGACCTGACATGGGAGAGGTATGCCTTCTTTCCCCTTCCTAACATGATCGACGTTTATGTGCCTCTGATAAAGGCATCTAGACGGCGAACGATTCTCCTAATTCCCGCCAACACGATTGGACTGCCGATCAATTGCGGGAGGCATTCCAGCTGAAAATCTCATGCATGTTGTTTCCAGCTGCCCCACAGTTTTTCGGCTAGATGCGTGAGTGAGGAATTACTGGAATTGCTCTCTAGACATCGAGATATCCATAATCGCTTGATTGAATCGGTGTATCTCCTAGTAGCTGACTTGGATTTTAAGTATTGGCTAACAAATATTGACCCGTGTAGTCTTTCTTGATGAGCCCAACCTTATCCACACCGATGTTTCCTCTAAACTCAACCTTGTCGAAAATCCGATCCTCTGAAGCTTTCTTTTTTGTTACGATACATACATTGACCCTAACAAGAGTGCTGTCGCAGTCTAATATTTCATTCTTTTAGTTAGGAGAGACAAGCATTAATACAGTAGGATATTATATCATCTTCCTTCAACTCTCCTAGGGAGGCAAAATTCGAGTCGAGAATAATCCAGCCCATAGGAGTCCGCTCACCCGAATACACTCTTGTCCCACTCGCTATAGTCGTTGGGCCAATCCTCAATACCAAGGCACCGATGAACCATATACCAAGTGAAACACTAAAGAAGATCAGCGAAGTTCATAAGCAGTACAGCCATTCAAACCTACCTGGGTAAATTCTTGCCAAACCGAATCACATTGCCACACATCCCTCGGTTCTAGCTTTGTTGTGTCACAAACTGGGAAGTTCCACCGCATCAACTCCCACAGAGCAACATCGCCGCCGCTATTGGTGGGCGGCACCCAGGAGAAGTAATCGTCGGAGCTGATTTCCGGACGATACTTGCCGTAGTGGTTCTGAATTAGCTCGGAGGACTTGGCGATGTCGTGCCCGGTGAAGCCAAATTCTTCCTCCAGTTTGTCGAGACCATAGGGAGTCGTAGTTGTGCCGGAAAACTATTCCACAGTCAGACTTTAGACATTCGCGTAAGAAGTCGGCGTGGGAGGATGGGCAACATACAACAAAGAAGGCTGTTCCATCAGGATTACAAAACTTGTTTTGCGTCCAATTGCTATACTTATCATAGACTTCCTCCATTTCGCCAGCACCGTCGCAGGGGTGATAACCACCCTTTTTCGGGGATTTGAAGAAGTCGTTGCCGAGCTTTAGCACCCAGACTTTTTGCTCTTCCCAGAGGAGTTTGACCATTGGAGCTGCAATCAGAGGGACCAGACTATCCGCCGAAGGCACCAAGGGGTTATCCGATTCGACGGACCGGGAGTCGACGAAGTCCCCAGTCTGCAAAAATCGCGGAAGAGAGAGCGTATTCGGGGCATTGATCCAGTTTGCATCTCTAGGAGGTACCTTGGTGAAGAGATTGTTGAACAGCGTATCAACTGCGCCCTCCGAGGCTCCATAGATATCCGCGGCTTTGTCGGTCATCTCGGCATAGGTGTTGAATTTTGTCTCTGCGTTAGACATCTGGAGGAACCCTACGACCTGAGATGAAACCCCCAGAGCTCCACCGGCTACTCCCCAGAACTGAGGCATCATAAAAACGGAGAGACCTCCTGCAATTGCCGCGGCTACAGTAAGGGCACTGGTGTCCGGGAATATGTTGTCGTTCTGGCCGGCTTTAGAATATGTATCGATCATTTTGGCGCTCTTCCAGTCCATCTTTTCCCAAGCAGTGTTCATTCTGCTCTTGACTATTTCAAGGTATCTTGCCAGATTCTGCGCGGCATATAGGACGGCTGCACGATAGAAGCGAGTGTCTTTGCACTTGTCATAATCGCCAAGGTTTTGAGCGCTGCAGGTATTGTCAACATTATTACAGTCCCAGATATAAGCATCGCTCTCCCGATCTGTGCCATTGTAACGTGCAAATGTTACAGGCACGCTTCGATCCCATTCGAAGTCATTTCCATTGTCGAGAGTTAGCTTTTGATACCAGGCAGACCTAGCAATGCGACTTAGTATTTAGTATTCAAATTCGCAGGGAAAACTTACGTAATTACCAGCCAGTTACCAATATCATACTGTTGCCAGTGAGATTTCTCCAGGTAACCCAAATTGCCGCAGATATCATCGGCAACATCATCGTCATGAAGAGGCCAGTTTTTGCTGGACATTGTCAGTTCAAGCAAAGAGAGAGATTGGCTTCGATGGGACATACTAGTAATCTTCTGGAAGCCCGTTGCTAGGGATTTCAGGTGTTTGCGTCGGAATGCTCGGGTTTCCACTTGGTGTAGGCTGCTTCGGAGGATCATACGGAACCAGCTTAGGGTCCAGAGTGCTGTCATCCAATGCACCTCCCCCAGGACATTCATTGAACCATGTGTACGCCTGCCACCGCGTTAGTACGAATGATATGGAACGTGCGTTCAACTTACAACGTTGGTCCGGGGAATGACCTGGTGCATATCAGCTCTACCCAGACCACCGAGGTTGGGGAAATGCAAATTTGCCTATGGCTGTCAGCGACTCATTCCTTCTGTCATGCGTGGGTGTACGTACGCCGCGGTCAGAGCCTTGGTATCGTGGGCCCTCGAGCTTTTTCCAGTTGAAGCTAGAACCAGAGGTAGGTATTTTGCCATTATTAACCCAGACCTATTCCCTGTTAGCTGATGAGCTGATAATAATCGCTGGGGAAATTACAGTAGTGTCGCCGTTGAACTTGTCAACCCATAGGAAGTCGGCTCTCCCGTCACCTGGACATAATAGTTCAGCATCGCCTTGCACTTAGACCTCATGTTTATAGACTTACCATTGACATCCGCCCACCGATGATCTAGGGATATGTCAGCATTGCCTGTACATTTGGAGCCTTAAAGGATAGAACTGACTTGCACGGTCATAGCCCTCGCTGTGCTTGACCTGGTTGACACTCTCGAATTTGCCGACCCCCTTATTGAGCCAGCCATCTGTACGACCATTCGGCCTATGCAACATTAGCCCATATACATTGTAAGAAGCAGAAGAAACCTACTCCATGCAAAGGTAATCGGCACGCCCATCCCCACTGCGTGCTGTTAGCGTCATGAAAAGCACATCTATCGCGACCAAACTCACTCGATATCAGCAAAGCGCAGTCCAAGGTCATAAAGGCCAACACCCCAGCCCTCGTTGCATTTTGCGCTGCCGGTGACTATACCCTGGTGTGTGAAGAAGGCATTCTGTACACTCTCGCTCCACTTGTTCAACCAGACTTCAGCCTCTCCAGTGTCCCGATTGACAGACCAAAGATCGCACTAGGGATATTGGGTCAGATACGCTTAGCATGGAAGGCAGAGAGGTTATTACCTTCCCGTCACCGTCAAAGTCAGCCAGGTGTAGGCCTTTCCGATCCTTATTAACGTTGAAAATTTCGATGCCTTCTGGGATCCAGACAGGCGGATCGTGGATATTTCCGTAAAGGAATCCGCGACCCTCGGGAGAAATCCAGACATAGTCGTCTGCACCAGTTCCTCGCATGTCACAATAGTGATCTCCGTCCGCTGCTGAAGATTAGTTACATGTCTACTGGAGATGAGAGAGCATGACAAACCCTTCAGCTGAGTACCGCCATGCCCGGTATTCTTGAAGGCGTGCGTGTTATGCTTGTAGTTCTTTCCGTCCTTCTTCGTTTCGATGACAACATAATCGGCACCACCGTGGGCATAGACTCTTCCAAACTTGACACGGTCTCTGGTACCCTTCTTGCCCATTCCTGGATGCGTGACGCCAGCAGCTCGCCACTCGGGCTTCAGACTCTTACCAGTGCCCCGGTTGTTGATATAGGTCGTGACCTCTCCTGTGTCACTGACCCACAGCCAGTCACTGCGGAAGTCGCCATTGATATCGACAAAGCGAACGCCCCTGAGGTCACCCATTCCTTTACCAGTGAACACGGTCCCAAGGTCCTGCCAGTATCCCTGATACTCGGCAGTCGGTGCATCCTTTTGGCCGCCATTTCTCCAGCATTGAATGTCACCGTTGCCCTTGGCTAGACAGCTGATTTTGATGTTAGTCTTATGAGCGTCCGAGCCACCAGGACAGAAGAAATCAGAACATACTAGTCAATTCGTCCGTCGCCATCGATATCCCCCAGTCGCACATTGGCCTGGTTCAGATCGCCACCGGGGGCAGCTCTCACCAGGCCGATAGACCGGAAGGTAGGAGGGTTGCCGCCCTCATTGATCGAAACATACATGGCACCTTCGCGACTGATGCAGATGAAGTCGTCGTAACCGTCACCATTCACGTCGCCCCAGCGCACACCTCGCGCAAGACAGTTGTCTTTGACATCAATCTTAACGCCGGCGCCAAATTCCCCATTGTTGTTGTTGATGTACATCCAAGTGCCAAGACCATCTCTGGTCCAGACAAGCTCATCCAGGGCACCTTCACGGTGGGCACCCCACTTGTTGACCAGCTGGGCATAGTTAAGACCAGGGTGAGCATCCCCTTCGCCGGTGGTAGTAACCGACGTCAGATACCCCATGGGCTGACTGCTATGGACATAGTCTCCGTCATCATACCCACTTCCACGCTGTGTTTGGACTCGGCCGCGGTCATTGCCACTACCATATTTTTTCTCGCAAGTTGTTGAGCTCTTGTCATCGACCCCGATATCTTTGGGCGGCTGGAGCATGCCTTCCTTCTCAGCTACCTGAATAGCGGCCCACCAAACAGAGGACATTTTGAAGTATCCGTGATCTGTTGGGTGGGTACCATCCTGCAATTCGTCTAGCGTGATGAAGTCACTCATTTCCGCCAGGACAATTCGCTGCCCCTGCTCGCGGCGGTCGGCTACAATTTGGCGAATCTGCGCGCTGATCAAGGCAGCGTTCTCCGGAGCCCACTTATTGGGCAGGAGGGTGGACAGGACGATAGTTGTTCCAGGGATGGCATCGAATAATCGTGTGAGCATGGCGTTCATCCGCTCGCCGGCCGTATCGGGATGAAACGGCTGAGTGGCATCATTTGTGCCAGCACTTGGAAGGAAAGTCAGCAAGAGAATATACCGTGAGACGGCAGCAGGGGTTGACATACTTGATGAGGATGAGATTCGGCTGTTGAGGAATGGTCCTCTCGGCCATCCTTGCAACCTCTTCAATTCGATAGCCACTATGACCTTCATTTTCCTGTTACAGGTTAGAAACTTGCCATTTGATTGAAGCTGTCGCAAGATGGATTACTCACGTTGTCGTGCATGGTACCAGAGGACAGACTGCCCACCATGTTGACCTCCCATCCAGCGTAGCGCAGCTGCTGGCGAAGAGAAATGCGGTACCCATTCTTGTCAGATGATTTGAGTCCAGTGGTAATCGATGCCCCTAGGGGCATGATTCGTAGGGTAAACGGCTTTGTCGCACGAGCCTGCAGCGACGCGGTCTTGGAAGGAGAAAGCGCGTCCAGATATACAGAGAGTGACGAACAAACGAGTGACAATAGGGTCAGCCCTATGAGGCAGACCCTCATGGCCCAGCCCATGGTTGTTGGCTTTCCCATTTTCTGTGGCCTAGAGATGTGAGATTTAGGAAGAGCGCATGGCCGCAGGTCTTTATATTCCCACCCCGAGCAGCCATGTGACTGTTCACTTGGAATATACCCTCAATCCTTTTCTGCTCGTATCGGTTACTTCCGTTCCTGGGGCTAATTTAGATCCCAAGCTACACTAAACGGCTATGGAGCCGGCCCAGACACACTTAACTGTAGGGCGTATATGCCGTATCAAGGCTCTAGACATCGCAATTACGGAGTACAATTTCGGACAGCATATCACATCGCTCAATGTGGATCCAATGTCAGATACCTAACATGGCATATGCTCCAAGCCCATTCCTCAAGTCATCCGGAATCTATCTCTCTTGGGTTTGGACTAGTCTCTCTGCCAACATCGGATCAGCAAGAAGGAGTGTGAATTAGGAATCGAAGCGAGGCTTATGTTTCATAGCAACATCGGTATTCACCAAGCGCCATGCAGACAGCTATGACTATGTATGAATTAGTGAGGACAGGAGAGAGATTACATGCACAATATCTTATGCCCAACTGTGGATCATAGCTCGGTTGCACTTGATCTATAGTGTTGTCTTGGCAAACCGGCATTCTCCTGTCTTTCCTCGCCCCATGCATTATCGTTTTTTTCTGGGTCTTATCTTCTTCCTAAAATGAGCAATTCCAAGTAGCTCTCTACCTTATAGTCTACAGTATTAAGAACCAGTTTACTCCGCTATCCCAGCTGCAGTCCAGTGATGAGGATACTTGATGCAATAGCGTGGGGAACGGATAAGGGCTTACCGGGGACGTAGTTGGCTAAAAACCATGCTTGATATAGCAAGACCCACTAAGCCAAGAGGCGTATCAGCCTTAAAGGGTAAAAGAACAAGTCCACTAAGGGCCTGCCCGAGACTCGGCAAGACCTTTGGCCCCATGCCCCTTGAAAATTGCATCTGTGTTAATAGTGAATCCTTGAACCCCCAAAATCCTGCGGGGCCAAAACTGTCAAATCTCCGTATGCAATTTAATATTATCAGGATATTGTCCTGTCAGTGGCCTGTTGTGTGGCCGTGCCAAGAGCCCGGTACCTTGCTGTCTCACTTACGTTCGTCTCGATAATATATCGCTATGTATCTGGTTCTTTGAGCTGCTGGCTACGATAGAAATTTCTATACTATACTGGAAAGAGTTCTTCTATTGTGTTGCCCCTGAATCTAACACAGGTTCTACCATATTAGGCATGATGCCAAGATAGAAACGATTTTGTACACAGCGGTACCGTAGTAGCCATGAAATGACTGAATAAAGCTCTGATTTCTGAACCATCTGTGTCACTTATAAGTTCAAATACTTCAGTCTGATCACTGTGTACATAATCTCGGTTCGATCCTTATACTCGTATCATCAAGTTGAGACATCATCGTCAAAGCATGGGCTGAATAATCATGATGGTTTTTGCTAGTAGTAGGGAACATTGTAGTAAACACGTGATATATGATAGCAAAAAGTCCTGTGCACAGATTATCTCGGCATTTACAAAGACCACGAGGAAAGGAACCGACAAGAATAGATTGCCGTGTACGCTAATGCAGGGGTAATGCGTTCTCAAAAGCTGCATAACTTCCATCAAATGTATTATGGGACATGTCAGCAAGTGTTTCTTGGAGGGCATTTTCGACAAATGAATGTGTCCTTCCCGAAAGGGTATCTGTTCGCTGTTTTGCCATACTTGACTCCACTCTCATTTTATACCTGCTGGATGTATCTCGAGACCTCCCTAGGACTGGCTTTGGCCTCCTTTCCAACACGGTCCAATGATATCTCGAGTGCTGAGAGAGAGAGTAGCTCTGAATGACCAATTTGCCATTCTTTTGGCCCCAGAATACCCGTATTCCAGTCCAGCTTGAGCAATGAAATAAAAAATTGCAGGACACCAAGGGCAGAGTGAGATAATATCAAGCCAATCCTATCTGCTAAAGAACTACTGTTGGGTAAAAGGTAGTTCGAGAAGGTTTGTGAGCGGGTCTGAGGCGTCTTTCTAGGGCCTTTTCCAGGCCCTAGCGCCACGTTAGTGCACCCATAAATGGCAACCTTGAAAGGGCTTGCGTTTTATTTCGGCAATATTTCCGAAGTCCTTCCTGCTCCCATCAACGACTTTGCCTTGGTGGTATGTATTGCCGCGTAGTCGTCACGAAATCCGCCTGGCTATCTCTAAGCCCCAAAATACAAGATTGCGGATTGGGCCGGTGGCGTCATTGTACATTCCCTTGTGGCGATATTCTGCGAGGCTGGGGGTAGGCTTAGCATGATTTACGCCTAATGCACTCAGGTCACTAAGTCCTATGGTAACAATTAATGCTGAGGTTCAATTTGTATGTATGTTCATGTGCTATAACTGGCGGGAGGTTGAGAGTTCCTGTCCGTAGTTGTCAGTCTGCTTGATTCCACAAACAGATAAAAAAGTAAAGGTGGGCAGGAAACATGGCGCGGAAAGTCGAAGTGTTTCGATAATGTTAACTTGGCAACTAAATACAATGCTTGTATTGTCTTCCCCGTACGACGTCCTGAATGTATGTCTTAACTCATCATGATTCTTTCATTCGGAGATTGACACGTAAATACATCGGCAGAAATTCCATTATAGACAGCAATTCCAATCTCGAAAACCCTTGAGCCGACTCGGATGAGGTCATGAGTTACAGAATGGGCGCAAGATGATGACCCCTGTGATCAGGTCAGCCCAACTTCCTTCTCCACGACCCCGCAAGCAATCCATCAAACAAGAAGATAAAGACGATATCTTTCCAAACATAGTCTCCAGTTTACAGGTTAGGCCTCAAAGGTGTCTTCCCTAGCTCCCACAGGGGCATCTACCCCAGTCTTCCTACTATCTATACATTTCCCACCGCTACCGGCTTTTAGATAATCTCTTTGATAAGGTCGCCTCTCCGGTTAAAAGGCACTGCTATGTAGTCCTTGCTCCTATCACCGACCGTCATAGTCGATTCAAACGACATTGACAACTTCAAGGCGCTGCTCTACAAGGGCATTCGCTATGACTACAGAGTTTTATCCATGGTCGATGGGGTGAAGACGCGGTATCCGCGTGTTAAACAAGACAGATTTCATTGTCAAGAACTCGTGAGCGTAAGTTAGAACATAAGATGGACAAGCATAATGCCCAGACTGGAATGGTCGCATCATGATGATGTTCGTCCCTAAGCCGGTGCGCCTTGTCCGCAGTTTCCTTATCACCAGATCATCAACACCCCCACTGGCAATATAAGTGGCTATAATCAGCTCCTTCGTTCTTTGAAACGAAATGTTCTTTCCTTGCTCAATTCATGAAAGACTATATCCCTCATATTTGGACCGCGCAGCCCGTTAGCAGCGCTCAGCCCCAAGCTCACAAGACCAAGTACGTCGGCATAAGCCTCCAAAAAACTGCATCGGTCGAGGTACTCGGTAATTAACTTATCAGGCCTTTAATCCAGCTCCACAATCTTCTTCATTATGTCCAATATCTATATATCCTCTTCTACCGGGTCTAGCGGGAATTCCTCCAAGAAGGCGGTCTCGAGCTTATCCGGGTCGCTATAGGTAATAGGCTTCCAAGTAGGATAGGAGAGCTATTTACAAAGTATATAGTATATAACAAATTACATCAGAGTAAGAGAGGACTATATATTGGCCAATAAGTATGTGTGACAACTCTAGCTACGATATAATCCTTTTTTACGTACACAATATGTACGGCCTAGGAATATAATTTAGCGTTACCTCATTTAATTATATCGATATAATCAGAACACAGGCTATTCGTTCTATAAGCATGTAAGTGATTGCTCAGGGTTATGCTCTACTACCTAGAAGGCTCGGACCCTCAATGTAAATCACAACCGAGTCATTCACATAACGAACTGGAGTACGGCCTTTGGTTATAAGGATGTTCTTTGAAAATCATTTCGCCTAGGGATTTATCATGGGGGCTTTCAACCCACGGTTGAAGTAGCCATATGGGCAGAAGAGCTTCGGGACTAAAGCTTGTAAAAAGTATCACTAGTGTTAAATCGTGCCCAAACCCCGAGTCAGTTGGGTCGCGGTGAAGGTATATGTGGCTCTTGCTGTTCTACTATCTAATCATGTGCGTTAACTTTTCTTTCTTCCGTTTCCCTCTTCTTCTTTGCTATTCTCGTTCCCCATATCATGCGCCTTAGCTATGGCTTTTTATTCGAGGGACAATTGGATCATAGCACACTTCTACAACAGAGCCGTCGACATTTGAGTATATTTATGGCGAAGCCTTAATTAGGCATGATTTGTAGGAACGTTTAAGCCGAGCTAACGTATGGAGTTAGATTAGGCGATGGCCTGCCAAGGAAACAAAGGCCGCGAGAGGGCGCAAGAGCTGGTGGAACATGTGCTGACAAAGTACTAACTTGTTTCCCGAAGCATTCGGTGTTTTTAGTTTTGAACCTGCAAATGTAGGTTGATGTTAGGTTGGTAGACAGACGTATACCAATAGTTTTCGGCATGCTTCCTTCAACCAAGCCGAGCTAGTAGTTACTCCTAGAGCGATTTTCTCAGAGCCCCACGACTTATCTCTACGATCTAGCTGTATTAATCACCATCCCATAAACTGGAGAAATTGTATAGAAATGAGATATTCGACATTCTTGTATAATAGGAAATGTGCTATGTCATAGAAGCGGTGCAAATTCTGCCTTCGACATGGGTAGTGGACACGCGAGAAATTGATACATTGTTACTCGACCTGTAAGATGCCAAGATCAGTATAACAGGCTACAATAGAATGCTTGACCAATAGAGTCTGATCTTGTTAGACTGGATCTATTTATTCCCGATCGCCGTTAGTGCTTATCTCCGTATCGATGATGCCTAGTCTTCTAGACCATCACGAAACTCTTTGTCCTTACGACCTCTTTTTAAACCACCGTAGGTCTTACCATAAACATAAACGCTATTCCTCACTGTCAATATTAGGAAGATGTTCGCAGAAATCTCGCCTAGCGCATTCTGGGGAGCGCAAACGGCTAAATCTAAGTTAGTATGCCATGCTGCTTATTGTAGAGCTAGCTACAAGCTGACTTCTCGAAAGCTTTTGCGAGGAGGTCGGTAGCTACCAGAATGTCATGGGTGCCTCGTTCCATACTACATGCTACTAATACATATCGGTTGGACTGGAACAGGATTATGTGGTGACAAGATATATCGCCGAGTTCATCAACAGTTTGACCAACATCGTGTACGGTAAGCGCCGACGAAAACCTTCATCCTCTTGCCCACAGAGAGTCTTACAAGAAGCGCAGTACTCTACGCCATTTATGGCCTCCGCAAGCTGCGACAAAAATCAAGTTGCGATATTTTTCGTGCCATCCCGTACTGGGGTTTGATGGCCGTTGGAATATGCTCTGCCGCGTTTCACATTAGCCTTAAATACCACACCCAAATGTGTAAGCCCCACTCATATTCAACATGTCTGTTTGATTGGGGTTAAATTAGTCTAACCCCATGTTATGGTCATCAGTGGACGACCTCTCCATGCTTTTCACGACGACCCCGGTTCTTCACCAGGTCTTGACCGTCAATACCAGTCGCAGACATTCGGGTATACTGGCTATTCTACTCTGGTCATCTCTTATGACCCTAGTGGTTTATCACGTCAGAACGGATGAGCTTCTTTTTCACTCCCTATCCTTTGCAATCATGGTGACCGTCATAGGGATCCGCACCATGCAGTTGATCAACGCTCGGACACTACCAGGCTCAGCGTCTCGAAAACAGATCTGGGGGATGGTAAAATTCGGAGCAGGTAAGTTACACTCATTACTTTCCATTTGGTATGTGTTGATGGACGGAATAAGTGATTTTCAATTTGGGATTCTACCTCTGGTTGATTGATGGGTGGGTATGTGGGTTTCTGAGAAGCGCGCGGGCGAGGATAGGTCTTCCCTTAGCTTTTCTATTAGAGCTTCACGGGTGGTACGTCTTTACCTATTTTTATATCCCTTTCTTTTCCACTTTCGCGCCATTGCAATTAACGCCGGAAATGGAACAGGTGGCATATATTTACCGGAATTGGCGCCTACATCTTCATTGCGGTGGTAGATCATCTCGTGTCTGGTGAGAGTCACAATGGTCTTGAAGAGTCCTTTGCTTGGCCTGCTTCATGGGCTTCTAGGTCAGTTTTTGCAGGAAGCGATGCGGAGGTGGCTCATAAGAAACAAAGTTGAGGGAGCGACTACGTTCGTCTTCTAAGCTTAAAGATAGAGACTTTGCTGTGACTACCTAGTAGCTACGCATCTTAATTCTATACTATGTGGATATCATTTGCACTGAGTTTAAGGTGAAGACCTACTTTCAATATGTACCACCTTTGCCCGGAGGAAGATTATGTATCGCTCATGACATAGTTCTTCTATGCATCTCGCATTGATCTTGCATCACTAAAACACAAGTTCTCTTTATTAGATCTAGTTTCCGAACACCATTAGACCCTCCAATATCAAGCCCAGACAACCTTAGTTTGGCAACGGCCAATCTTCAAAGAATGCAGTTAAACCTCGACTCATCGAACACGCCATGACACTCGTGTGCTCTTCACCATCGTACTCATTCACAACGACAGTATGTAGTCGCTTGCTGTCCTGCAGCATCCCAACAAGATCACGTGAATTATCGCCCATTCTCAAATCCGAAGCAATCTGTTTTCGCGCTTCATAGTGATCGAGTGGCTCGTTGTTCCACTGAGGTGGACTTTGTTCATGAGACCCAAAGAAAACCATTAGCGACGGCGCCTGCTCGTCTGCCGCCCTCTCTTGATCTAAAAATGACTTCGCTTCATGCAATATACACCGGCTATTCCACCATATCGAGGGACTGCTCGCTATGTAGCAGTCGAAGGACTGCGGGCGTGTGAATAATGCGTGCAGGGCAAATAACCCTCCATAGGAATGACCATATAGGGCTTCTCTGGAGAACGACAGCTTCGGAAATCGCTCCTTGATCGCGGGACGAACGGCTTTCTCGATAAAATCAAGACATAGATCCGCTCCTCCATATCCGTTTATCTGGGCTTGTGTGGGTGGTGTTAAATCTAGACTGCGACGTCGCGCATCGTACAATTTTTTGGTTAAGGGATATCCGATCGCGACAACGATGCCTCCTCCGGCAAAATGTGACGAAGCTGCTCGGCGCCAGGCGGCTTCTGTCGCGGTTAAAAATAGTGCATTTCCGTCGACAATGTATCTGGTTTTGGGTTAGAGAGTGTCCGCTTGGATTTTTGATTTTACTAACATGATCGGAAGTTGCTCGTTCCCAACAGGGGGGTCGTGGCCTTGCCAGTGAAGTGGCCAAGAGACTTGGATCAAGTATGATTCACCCTGTTCACTGTCCAAATAGAATTGCTCCGAGTTGGGAAGCGTGATTTCTGCTACCTTATCGCCCATATTCGCGGTTGATATCTGTCGAAGAGGTTTCGTGAAGCTGGGAGGAAGTCTGGCGCGTGGTAGAATAGTGTCACGAAGGAAATTGCACTGGCTAACCGGGGAGAAGGTACTTTTGAGAAATTCCCTCGGAAAGGAGGAGGGTCGAAGGGAGACCGATGCCGCAGCCAGCGTTCGGGTCCACATATTGGAAACGAGGGGACCAGTGAAGCACTCCTGCTACGTATACTGGGTGTCTGCTCCTTATCTGATGAGCCCAAAGCCCGACGCACTAATGTTTAGTGCCGACTGGGGGACGAATTAACGCCCAATCGCCTAGAAGACTGGGTCCTTAATCAGATCAGATTAGATCATGAGTTTTCCGGATGAACACTCACAGCATCTCGTATCAAGTGGGTTCGAATGGGTCCCAGCGAGCTCGAAATGGTAATTGGTTAAAGTTCTAATCTCCGGAATAATAATCTTGGTAGGAATTCCAGTGTGGAATATGATCTTTCAGTCATACAACCGTTTAAACGCCGATCGATTGACCATTCGAATCCTTGGCCTCCTGTAGGGTGAGAAATTTCTGAAAAACTCCAAGCTGCCAAAAATTAATCCGGGTCGACCCGGGTCCAATAACTGAGAAACACGGCAGATAGAGCGAAGAAATTTTCACGGCTGGACATTCTTGGGATTCCACTAGTGAGTATGATTAGTGACTTGGCAGTGGGGCTCGTAACAACGGGCTTGTCATGGAGAAGAGTTTTTACACGAGCTCAGCTTACACAGGGGGGCAACTGTAAAGGTAGAGCAATACTATATAGTTCTAAATACCTCCATGACCCGTCTACACAGTATCTTAAGGTCCAACTAATCCCATAAGCAAGCCATACTTGAAGCTCTCGGCCCAGTGTAATGATTTTTTCATGAAGCTTTGGAACTCCAGTGGATCTTTTTGTTGAATTTGGAACTGGCATATTCCAGTTAAATAAATGATACATAAAGCACTTTAACACAACTCTGTCTGTGTCTGTGCCTGTGTCATGGCCGTCACTGAATAAGCTGCTGATTTATGGTAGCGTAGACTACTTCTCAGTGTGCATCCCGACCTCTAAGGCGACCCAATTTTATAGTATGGTTCTAGTCAATTCATGGGAATTACATTCCACGGACTCTTTAACTACTCGATGAATCACAAATGTAGTAGCTGTGGTGCATGCTGTGCAAAACCGAAGCTATATATCAATCTCCTGAGTACTCCATAGCATGAGTTATATCTCCGAACTTGTAGATCGGAGCAAGCCTTGGCAACAGTCATACAGCGATTATGTAGGGATCCGACGTGGCTAGAGAGAAAGGAAAGAACAGCATGACTTACATATAATTTTAAGCCTACATGAAAGAGACACGTTCTTAACAGATCTCACGCTCAAACCTTTGTAGCTCAAGGAGCGGATAAAGAAACGGAGACCTGTCTAGAAATGTAACCTACTGACAACTGTGAGTTAATTGGGATAGCAAATCTGTAATATATTTAGTCATAGTCCGTAGACTTGACTCCATTCACAGACGTGCGTTACCTGCCCCAGTGACGGGATGATGGCTGAGGCTTTTTCCATTTTCGGCAAATGTTGGGGCGGGTGGTTGCGATGGTCATTCTTAGCTGCTTACACACAGCGGCGAGACCTCTTTCTAATTACCGGATTTGAATGCGTAAACTGAGCCAGGTCAAGCCAAGCGCATTATCAGTGGTTAAGTGGATTCCAATGGATCCTTGGAGGGTTGAAGGGTCTGGGCGTACTGTTATGACGGTCCGATACATACAAGACGTGACCATACCATCCCATACCATACGCAATACCTGACCAAACGGAACCCTAATCAGATGCAGCGACTCCCCAACTCCTAGCATCAATATCGCGCGTTCTTGGCGTTGCTCGCTTGAATAATCAGCTCGGATCTGATAAAAATTGAGTGTCGGCCTAGTTCCTGTCCGAGGTCGGCATATTGCATCAAAAAGGGAATGGGATGGTCGGGTGGATTCGTTATGTGTCATGCCCAGAGAACTAGACATTGCTTGCGTCTGATGGGCTTTTGCAGGCGGGAGCAGAGTGCCGTCGGAGCTTTCATTCGAACAAATTAGTAGCAATCCCGTCAAAGATTGTTCTTTCACCTTCGCATGTTCATCTAGTTGCTCGGTATCGTTGCTCACGATAGAGTAACGATAGACGTCCCAAGGCATCATGGGTACTGCATCGGAAGCGTCTAAGAACGCAGAGGCGCCAGCTAAGGCCAGTGTAAGTTATTTCTCGATCCTTCCTGCAGGCGGTGCTTGAACTCATAGCGATGTCTTTGTCTACAGCTTATGCGCCGTGCCACCTCGTTCGGTCGTTTGCTGGTCTATGGCAGCCCCTCGTCGTCCGACCTAGCCCTTCTCTTCATCGGTTTTATCACCTCAATTGCCTCTGGAATTCCCTTTCCTATTATGTCAATTGTTTTCGGACAGCTAGTGGATGGACTAAACTCCTCAACGTGCAACGTCACCCCCTCCAACGCCGACTCCTACCAAGCGGGGCTCAATGATAAAATCTTGTTGATCGTATATATCGGTATCGCCTATTTCGCTCTCATTTACATTTACGTCCTCTGCTGGAATCTCTCCGGCGAGCGTCTAGCCCAGCGTCTGCGAGAGAAATATTTCAGCGCTATCCTGCGCCAGGATGCCGCGTTCTTCGACAATCTACCCGCTGGAGAGGTATCTTCACGAATCACCGGGGAAATCGCCGTCATACAACAAGGTTCTTCAGAGAAGGTCGGCATTGTGATAAACAGTATCGCATTCTTCATTACCGCATACATAGTGGCCTTCATCAAGGACCCCAAACTAGCCGGCATGCTGGTCTCCCTCACCCCAGCCTACCTGATCATGTCCATAGGCGGAGGGTATTTCGTACAAAAGTTCTTCGGCCGCGCACTGGAAGGTATGGCGAAGGCCTCATCGGTCGCACTGGAAGCGTTCTCAAACACAACGGTCGTGCAGGCCTTTTCGGCAAGTGCACGGCTAGAGGAGAAATTCGTGGAAGTTTTACAGCCTGCTTTGTCAGCCGGTGTTTGGAAATCAATTGCTGCAGCCACGCAGGCGGGTCTGTTATATTTCATCGCTTTTTCGGCCAACGGTCTGGCCTTCTGGCAAGGGTCGCGACAAATTGCAGATGCTGTAGAGTCTGGCGACAATGGCATATCCGTGGGGAACACGTTTACAGTTATTCTCATTCTTGTGGATGGTAAGTCCATCAGACCTGTTGAGGGTTGTGGATTTATGTCATGCTAATCTCGCTCCTAGCATCTTTGATTCTCAGTCAGGCTGCTCCGTTCTTGCAAAGCTTCGATGCCGCAGCCGTAGCGTTCGGCAAACTAGAAGCCGACATTGAACACCCGACTACCATTGACGGTACCGCTGAAGATACTGGCCGTATGCTGCCAGAGGTTACGGGAAATGTGGAATTGCGGAACGTTTCATTCAAATTCCCGTCCCGACCGGACAAGCCCGTGCTACAGGACCTCTCGTTGACCTGCCCAGCTGGTCAGCAGACGGCTATTGTCGGACTCTCAGGCAGTGGAAAGTCTACCGTCGCAGGGTTGATTACCCGATTTTACAATGTGGATGAGGGCGCCGTACTATTGGATGGTCACGATGTCAAGGACCTAAACGTGAGATCTGTCCGCAGTCACATAAGTCTCGTACAACAGGAGCCATGTCTTTTGGATCGGTCAATCCTTGAAAACATCGCGCTGGGGCTCATCAACTCTCCTAGGCACGATCACCTGCGTCACATTCTCATGGGTAGTGTTCTCGCGGAGGTCGCGGCAGCAGTGCGAGATGGCAAGGATCTAGTGACCGCTTCTCTGGCACATGGGGATGAAGCACGAGAAATCGTGGAATTGGTCCTGCACGCTTCTCTCTTGGCCGATGCGAACGGGTTCATTGAGCGCTTGAAAGAAGGCTTTGGAACGCTAGTTGGGTCAAAGGGCAACCTCATCAGCGGCGGGCAAAAGCAACGCATCTCCCTGGCGCGAGCCTTGGTGAAAGACCCGCGTATACTCATCCTAGATGAAGCTACTGCATCACTGGACTCGGCGACTGAGGCGCGTATCCAAGAGGCACTAGATAACGTGGCGATCGGCCGGACTGTGATTACCATTGCCCACCGCCTGTCGACTATCAAGAATGCCGACAACATTATCGTCATGCGCCAAGGGAAGTTAGTAGAACAGGGAACCCACCAGCAACTGCTCGAGGTTAACGGTGCCTATGCTGAGTTAGTTCGTCTCCAAAACCTCAATGTGCACGGCGGTCAAGATGATGAAGAGACGGAGGTGAGCTCCGCGCATTCCAACTCTTTGGTGCCAGTAATCAGTGAGAAGGCCGGAGCTTTGGAGACATCATCTGTGGTCGATGCCATTGACGAAGAAAAGACCAAGCCTGGGAAGACTGCGGAGCCAGAGAATGCGGTTGAGGAAAAGCGAAGCCTTGGATCAACTCTGGGCTCTATGGGTTCCCTCTTCCGACCCTACACATTCGTGCTGATCCTGGCAATCGCTGGGGCTGTGATCATCGGTGGCACGTATTGCGGATCTTCGGTGATCTTCGGCAACGTCGTGGGCAAACTCAGTGGCTGCGAGGAGCCTGACTCCATCCGTCATGCCGGAGAACTTTTCGGACTGATGTTCTTTGTGCTGGCTATCGTCGAATTCTTTGCTAATTTCGTCAGCTGGTCACTGTTTGGTTGGGTGGCTGAACAAGTTATTTACAAAGTACGCATACTCTCGCTGCGATCCATTCTCGAGCAGGATTTAGCATGGCACGAAACAGCAAATCGGAACCCATCACTATTGCTGTCGTTCATTACAAAGGATAGCAGTGCGTTGGGTGGGCTAACAGGTTCTGTGGTCTGCACTATCCTCTCGGTTCTAGTCAGTCTCGTCGCGACCATTACTATGACACACATCATTGCTTGGAAGATTGCTCTGGTATGTCTATCTGTGATCCCGCTGTTGCTGGGCGCTGGTTATATGCGAGTTACTACTCTGGCCAGTTTCGAGGAGCGACATCTAGAAGCCTTTGCAAAATCTGTGGGCATTACCGTTGAGGCCGTCAACTCAATCAAAACCATTATGTCGCTGTCTCTGGAGCACGAAGTGCTTGGTACATACCGTCGGTCTCTCTCGGCCCCAATGCGCCAGATAGCTCGACAGAGCGCCTGGGCGAATCTCTGGCTAGCTGTCGGGTACGGACTGAGTAACTTCCTCTATGCACTCGCATACTGGTGGGGGTCAACGAGAATCATCGCCGGTGAATACACTCAAACCCAGTTCTTTATCGTGCAGCTAGCACTGCTCGTCAGTTCCCAACTATGGGGACAGATGTTCGCCCTCGCACCCGACGTCTCACGCGCATTCCAGGCCACGCGGCGACTGTTGAACCTGCTCGATTTGGGGTCAACGAAGAAGCTATCTGCACCGCTCGCGCAACCGGGGGATCTCGAAGCCACGGCACCTCCCCGCGAGAAGACTTCCTCTTCTGACTCTCGCGACGGCATCAGTGTTGCCTTCAAGCAAGTCCGCTTTTCGTATCCTGCACGCCCAGACACCCGGGTGCTACACGGTCTGGATTTGAACGTCCAGCCGGGGCAGTTTGCCGCGCTCGTGGGACCCAGCGGGGCGGGCAAGTCCACAATAATCTCTCTCGTTGAGCGGCTCTACGGGCCTGACTCGGGAACAATCGAAGTCGACGGCCACAATATCGCCTACGGCGACGGCTCATTCCGTGATGATATTGCCTATGTTCCTCAACAGAGTGTCCTGTTCGAGGGCACGATCCGATTCAATCTGACCCTAGGCGCCAGGCCAGGCCAAACAGTTACCCAGTCCGAATTAGAGGAAGCATGTAAACTGGCTAACATCCACGATACGATCATGCAGCTTCCAGATGGCTATGATGCCTACTGTGGGCCAAACGGTGACCGGCTCTCTGGCGGTCAGAAGCAACGTTTAGCGATTGCGCGCGCTCTCATCCGCAAGCCTAAGCTCCTGCTGCTGGACGAGTCGACGAGTGCACTCGATGCGGAATCGGAGAGATTGCTGCAGGACGGGCTTGAGAAGGCTACGAAACATATGACGGTTATTGCCATTGCGCACCGACTGTATACTATCCGCAAGGCGGATGTGATCTTCCTAATTGAAGATGGTCGATGCGTTGACCGAGGAACTCATGCACAGCTGATTGAGCGCAGTGAGAGTTATCGCGTGAATGCCCTGAACCAGGCGGTAGATGGTTGAAGGTCTTTTTCCATCTCTAATTTAGGAGAGAGGGCATACTGCATTTTACGGGAGTATATTACAATGAAGTCGTTGACCATTTCTTGGATTGCATGGCCATTCCATTATTAAAAACACAAAATTATATAGATCTCTTTGTCTGCATCATTCTTATCCACAGTTTTAATTATAATCTTTGCAAAATTCTACATCGGTTCTGACTATCCCAAGCTCTTGTAATGTTGTCATCCAGTTGCTTGTCGCTTTACATTAAGATTTGATTTCCATAGGTTCATTATAATGGTAGCGACAAGGCAACTCACTGTCGTTGTGAAGCCCTTATGATAATGCTAAGTGAAGACGCAGTCAACTAGGAGAGATAGATCAATCCTGAGCGCTGTACATAGAGATATGAATGCAATTCTTTAAGATTCCTCAAGTAATGTCATTCGCCCAGAGGGTTATCTGTATCTATCTTTAAATTTTAACCGACTGACTCTTCTTCCCAATAGTATATGCAATGCAACAAGATAACTAACAAAATACAAAGTACCTCTCCACAGGAATATCCACATTAAGCCCGATAAGAGGCACCCACCCACATACACACATACACACAATCCACTAGGCCCTCTTCTAATATACTATCTACCAACAAAAAAAAAATAATATCAGAACACAACACCCTTCGTCTGGGTCATATTCTTCAGATTCAAGTTCCGGATCATGTAAACAGCGACGAAGGCAAGCGCCATAAGCCCAGTTCCCGCGGCCAACATTCTCGTCTGCGAATAACCATATGCCTTCTGGATTGCTATTCTCTCAGGGCTATTAATGGCATAACTTAGCTGTACCGGCAAACTGGCATAGATACTGGCCATGTTCGGCAGCGCGGACTCAGGGAGATAGCGTGCCAGGGAATTCTCAAAGGTGTTTGTCCAGATGGCACCGGAAATGGCATTTCCGACTGCACCACCGATGCCACCGGACACGAATAGAATGGCCATTGCCGCGGCGACGTGTTGGTGGTCGACGGCGGCCAGGACGGCGAGCTGCATGCAGAGGGTGAAAACGCTACCACCGATGGAGATGAAGATCTCGCACATGACGATGTAGCCAATATATCCGTTTGGTTGGCGGAAGTGGATCATGAGACCCTGGGCGAAGATATAAAGAGGCACACCGATCCACAGAAGCCATCGGAAGTAGCCTGTTTTGCGGATCAGGTAGCCGACGATGAATAAGAGGACGCCGGAGACGACCTGGAATGTGCTATTGACGTATCCGGCCTCTGCGACGCTGAGGTTATTGACGACTTGAAGGAAAGACGTGAAGTAGCTGTTCCAACAGTAGTAGGACATCTGGTATACGAAGTCGAGAAGGCATGCGCCCAGGACGGTCCGGTTGATAAGGTAGTCATGTTTCAGGAATGGCACAGGAGCCAGGTACACCTGGTAGGCGGCGAAGAGAAGGAGGAGGACAAAGCCGACTACAATCATGGCGATGATGTAGTCTGACTTCCAGCCGTTCGGGGCAGAGCGGGCGAGTGTGAATGGGAGTAGGAACACGGTAAGACCGGCAGCGAACAAGATGACACCCGGCACTGTATAGCGAAAGCAAGTTAGCAACTCCAAGAGTTTAGGAAGGGCTGCGTTGGGCTACCCACAATCAAACTGTATAAGGTAGTGTATTATATTCTGTACCAGGGTTCGGCCACTCCTCTCGTGATTCACAAGGCCTTTCTTCTCAGCCTTACGAAGGTTGACCTTCAACACTGTGTATACGGGAATGGAGACTGCGGGTATGATGATGGCAAAGGAGCCGAACCCCCATCGCCAGTTGACGTGTAGTAAGAATTCTTCTGCTGCTTTGGAACCAGCAAACGCAGTGATCATCCATGGCGATGAGACGAAAGCGAACGCCAACCCTCGATTTCTCAGGTTGGTTACGTCGGCTGAGAGGACATTTATGCTATAAGTCATGCCTCCAAGGCCAACTGATTGGAACACCTGTTATCCGTATAATGGTTAGTAAGTTCAAGGGCTTTGGTGGTTCAAAAAGGGGTCGTATTACCTGCGCTGCGCAGAAGGTAGGAAGGTTGTTGGATGCTGCCATAAGAATTAGACCCAAAGTGGCAAAGCATAGCATAAGGAGAAAGCCTTCAGCACGGCCCCAGACGTCCAGCATCTTCGCCATAGGAATGTACACCGCTGATGTCATGGCACTTGCTACAATTTCGATGACAGTCAACAGGGAATGAGACTGGAAATCACTCGTAGCGTAGGGTGTCAAGCTGGCCAGGATTGAGGATCTGAATCCATTAGCCAGGGTGTAAATCCAAATGCTATGAAGAACAGATTGTATTAGTTACATACGGCCACAAGTGTCACAGGGGGTAGAAAATACAGTATCAGGAACAAGGCCAGCGTTGCCCTCGACCAAGCTAGAGTCACGGCCTCGATCTTCTTGACACCACGCTGTGCGTCTTCGTGCGGTAATGAGATATCATCACTGCTTGTCGTGTTATCCTGAGGGGAGCCAGTGGCAGCTTCCTTGTCGTATGGCGCTGCATTGACGGTTACCGGAGTTTCGATATCTTCCACGGTAGGAGCCTCATGAGTGCCGCTGGGCTGCTGGCGCCCAACAAGCTGTTGAAACCTATTCCCGATTGACATCGTTGTTGGATTGACCCGGTGAAGACGCAAGGAGCACGCAGCGGAAAGCTAATCATAAAAGAGCGAAGAGCCGAAGCTTTTAAAGCTGATGTGTGCAGACCCAGCCGAACGGTCGCCCTTGCAGCTTCACGCATCAGGCGGTAAGAAAAGAAAAATAGAATTTTAATCTCATCTGATAAAGAGTAAGATTAGCCGGGTGGTCCATGTACACCGAGATCGGCTGTTTGGGCACTGATTCGAGAAATCAGGTCATACGGGGCGGACCGGGGAGATAGTTCGGAAATTTCTTGGGTCAAGTTATCTGATTGATTGATTAGATCCGGCTTTCTGGGCCATTAGCAAAGAAAAGCTCGGACGTGGGGTGACAATAAGTCGACTGATTCGACGTTGACTAGTCTTCCAATGTGTGGCGTGCATCCCATGCACATTTTCCACAAGGATCTCGACTTGGCTTCCGAGTGCACGCATCGGTATTTACTTTCCGTGTCTACTGTTTTGATAAGACGAAAGCTATACACAGTCGAAAGGAGCTACAGCGACACCTTGGCATGTCAAGACTCACGTTGACACATGGACTGAGAAGGAAATAAAAGTGGACTCAAAACCAGAGCGACCACCAAACAGAAATGAGAAAGCAAGTATGAAACAGATCTAGCCTGTTTCTGAGAGAGGTTAGCATGCAATATTGTTACAACTCAATACGAGCAGCCAAGTCCCAAGATTACGCCTAGCTAAAAGCTAAAAGCGCACTATTACCAGCCTACGCTGATATTGCCCGGGTTATTGTACAAGTCTCACTTAAAAGCCGCACAATACTTATATACGACTCATAACATCTAGGGCTTATCGCTAACTTTCTGACGCTACTGCTCTGTGGCTCGGGCGCGATAGCTCTTCATATTCAGGGCATCCAGCTAAAGCTGATTCAGAGCTCAGGACAGAGCACTACGTGCCCTAGTTACAATGTAGGGCCTTGGCAGATTGCACCATTCGGTCTTGGCTGTATGGGCGGAATTTTAATAGCCGAGCAGAAGCAAGGAAGGATTTTGAGAGGCATTTGGCCCTAGCAAGGGACGATGAGAAACTTGTTGGGCCACCACGTCTAGATCTCCCTGGGCCTTCATTTGGCATTCCTGGGCGTGAAAAAATTATTTCATTCATAGTTAGGAGGCTTTTGTAACCCATATATCCCAGAAGCAATTCACGCGGCACAAGGGCTGGGAACAATTACTGTGCAGCAACCAACGATGTCCATTCATCCTCGGTAATCCGATACCGCACTTCGCCTTCTTCGATGCCAGGAGGTGGGTTGTCGTACTTGTTGTGGAAGGTATAGGTATGTTTCAATCCGCAAGCTGCCATTACCGCCCGAGAAGCCGCGTTCACAGCCATAGTCTCGCCAATAACCTCAGATAGACCTAAATCCTGGAAAGCGTGCCTCAGCAACTCACGCGATCCTTCCTTCGCGTAACCTTGCCCCCAAAACTTCGGTAAAAGGCGGTACCCAAACTCTGATCGGTCTTTGCTGACTTGCTCTGTGCCTTCGCTTGGGCAAGGAGCCAGTATCCACCAACCCACAAACTCGCCACCGACGAAGCCGACCCAGCACCCGAAGCCGGGGACGATGGTTGCTGAGTTGAGGAGCCATTGGTGAACTTCGATCGCTTGTTTGTGGTCAAGTGGCTTGCCAAAGCCAATGTATTTCATGACATCCGGATCCTGGTCTAGCAGCATGGTGAATTTGAGGTCCTCGGGACCGAGGGGCACCAATTCGAGGCGCTCGGTGCGCAAAGTTGCTTGGGTCATGGTAGCCGAATGGGGAAGTAGAATATGAGCTAGCAATATGCAAAGGTCTTGATCTTCGTCTTGCAGGTATGGATGTACAGCTCAAGCTTTTTCCGCCATGCTCGGTCGCCCTTTATATACCTACGATCTGGCTATGGGAGCACGTTGGTAAAGCTGCTGAGCCCCAGTTTTGCTGAGACGGCTTGTCGTTGTACCGTAAAGAAACAACTGTAAGCTCGATTTTACTGTTGATCCAATCCTAGTTGATGGTAAGCCTTTCTTGGGACCAAGCCATTCTGAATAAGGGATGTGTGTCTGTGTCCTTGTGCATTCATCTATTGCGGCGTTCATTGGCCCTCGTCGACGATCTTGCCTGCATTGCTTGCAGCAGTAGGTGAATCCACAGAAAGAGACCCTAATAAGATTCAACGATGCTGATGGGGGCCGTCTTTCGTTCCCCAAGAACGGGTCACACATCTCGCTACGGAACTATACTCCGTATAGCACGGCGCCAAGGATCTGGAAGAGACGATACTCGGGTTGTCCTGTGACAATCCCATGAAAATATCGACTGTACTCCGTACTAGCTTGGGTGATTGATAATAATGATCAACCTACAATTTCCCAGGTCAGTCAATACTGTCGAAACCCGTGGACCAGTGGAGAGGGCACGCTTGGCAGAACAAAGGCCTCGGACCCATTCAAACTCTTGGTAGCAGTTGAGTACCGTCACTTGGGATGGTGCTACCATGGTCTTTCCAGGTTCCAAGAGGCACACTACTATAGACTCAGTTCATATGGTGTTGTTCAGCCTACGGTAAGTATTACCGTCAATATAGGAACCAAGTTACCCTTTATACTAGAAAAAGCCTGGACAGCCTCTGACACCTGTGTCGGACACTGTAGGGTGTATGTGAGACAGAATATTAGAGAGGGGGGCTGTGATCATTAAGAGAGCCATCAGTGAGAAGAAATGATACAGTGGGATGGAACCAGTTAATTTCGCCAAGACCGGTAAAGTTTCATTATTATACTGTACAGTACGTCATACATGTACGTTAAATACCGTCCTATCCATACCATGTTGTTGCCAAGCCACTGGGATCAGATTAGATGGATCGATAAGATTAGACTAGAGCGACCAGGCCTTGGCAATCAGGCCTATCTTGGTACGGACCTCCTCGGACCGAGGATTGCAGGATCAAAACCCTGTCACTTTTGCTGTACTCCAAAGGTTCTGTTGTCGATGCAGTTGTTGCATAGAATTCATCTACTATAGTATTTTACTGTAAGAAATGAACGTAACGCCGTTCAACCCCCACTACATAGCTCTTATTGAGTACTAAGCTATCTGTATCCAGGGGTATCAGTTCTGCACTCTTAGTGAGAAGCTCAACATAATTGTAGTAAGTAAACCTTCGGAGTTAAGGGTACTATAACTAAGTTCTGGGGTTACTTAATTTGGAGAAAACAGTGGATCCTTGAGTAAAGTGGTGCGTACCATCCTACCCTTGTTAATTGCTGAAAAACTGTAACAACTTGATTGGGCTTGGCAACCTTATGCCCAGAATGCCCGGAGACTCGGCCTCGTCCATTATAGGCCGAGACTTTTACGCGAACCCTCGGGTGCAATAATTTTGACCCATTTCTATCTACTTGAGGTTACATGCCAAGGATCGCTGCTTCCAGTTACCGCAATAGGTATGCATATCCTAACATATTATACCAGTTCGCGTAATTTTACTTGGTATCAAAATACTTAACTAGAGGTAATGTTCTTATTAAGTCCTAACTTATTTCCGCTATTGAACGGTGTTTTGTAGGAATTATGGTTGCTGCGAGACGCCTGTGGGACCAGTCAACCGTGCTTATGTAAATTTTGTACGTTATTATTTCTGACTGTCATCATATTAGGTACGATTTTCTTTCTACCTTTCTTGTCTTCTCTTTACGTTGTGTTTTTCTTTTGGTAGCGTATCCCGATGATGTTAGGTTTGGACCCAGATTCGGTACCAATTTTGGGTCATGCTGACTTTACCCGACCCGCAACCTGACGGCTTTTGCCGCTTTTGCGGAACAGATCGTGGTACTCTAGTCAATGTAGCGAGATCGGTTAAACTTGTGGTGGGGTCCAGTGTGTCCGCAAAATCTTTTTGCCATGCGAACTACGAAGTACTGCCAGTCAGTATTAGTCGCTGATACAAGCAGCGGTGCTCTGGCTGAAGGGCCCTGGCAGGTTCATTCCTAGCCTCTTCGCCGTCCGTACACGCAAGTTCTAGGCCGCCATGAGGACACTATAATAGACCTAGTCCTCAAATAACATAGTAAACGGAAAGCGTGCAATGCGATGACATTCCTCTCGAAGTACTGCTTGCTTCGTTGGCAGCTTGATGAATAAACATGTTTACCATACCTTGCCATCAATCACAGATGAACCCTGTCTCTGACTGTCCGACGTTGTTTTCCTTCGAGTATAAGTACGGGCTGATGTATATCTGACGTACATACCGAACTCAAACATCATTGCCAGGGTTCAGTAACATTACCCTTATTATCGCTCACAAGATGAAAGGCTATATGTTGCAAGAGATACGCGGGCTGTTAGACGAAGGACTATAGAATTACAATGGTAAGCAACAAATTGAAGACATTTAAGCGTGAAGAACTGATGTTTTGCTTACTAAAATCTCTTTTAGAATCTTTATAATCCTTACGACTTGTCTAGATACGATATTAAGCTTCCCGATTAACGCTTCATTGATTGAACTATTTCCTTCCATTGACAATATTATACGCCGACTTGTTCAAAGATGTAAGCTAAGAATGTGCCCATGAGTAACATTCAAGATAACAGTAACTCCAAAACAAACACATACCGTCATCATTGAAAAAGTCTTAGTAGATTACCGCAGGCCCCGGTAAGGAAAAGGCTGGACTGTCTCTGCCATAGAACACCAATGCGGTTGTTGCTCTTATGTCCCGGTCACGCTCCCTATCGAGGTATGTGCGGTCCCAGTGGAACCTACTTGGTGAAAGTTCGGGGATGAGAATTTGCCTAACAAAGTTCTCTTGTGACCTGTGGTCGTAGCAAAGCACACAGCGCCAAGTGACGGTGTTGTGATCACCATCAACGGCCATCGGGATCAGCGCTATAGATTGCCCCAGAAAAATGACTCCGCGATCTTCTGGAAGATGATATCTCTTTGGTTCATCTGCACGTTGCAACAATTCCTCGCAACTCATTTGAAAAAGTCTGTGGTCGTTAGTGTAATCATGTTTGGTGAATATAATGCCATTTGTAAACAATCGCCAGGCCAACAAGTTAATGTTATAGCGGTAGGATAAAGGTCTCAAGTCCATTAAATCCAGGTATGTGGATGAGCGGTTGAGAGACACACTGGAGTAGCAAATTTCGTTTTCCTTGAACTTTCGAAATGTCCCGCATACCCAAACCATCATGAGCTCTACTACCGCCTGGAGCCTTCGCGTCACTGACATAATGACTCGGTCAGGTTGAGCGAGGATGATTATGCATTCCCCTGATATACGTTGCACTGTACATAGGATTAGATATTGATACCAAGCAGGTATATCGCTAGTTGACTCACGGTGTATATTGTATGCAGAAATTGGGGCGTCGATATCTAAGTCTCTGGCCAATTTGATCAAAAGTTTCATTAGATAAACAAGAACATCGCCGCCCGATTCTGCAAGTCGTGCTTCACAAGTTGCCGCATTAATAGAAGTGTAATTTCTCATCAAGGTCATTTTCCCAAGCAGGTAGGCATTCTTTCTAACGTAAAATGGCAATTCCCACTTATAAATGGCCATTCTGTACCTCCGGTTGTCGCGCTTCCTACGGCGTTTAAGATTATCTAGGTCTTTGAAAATGTTAATTCCTTCCGAATTAAAAGCAAAGAGTAGCAAAAACGGAAAAGTGAACCAATAAGGAGAAAGATTGTGATTTACCTTGTTGATTGAGGGTGATATGAGTCAGGACAGTCGGCCTCTCGATGCAAGGTCCCATAAGATGCACCTGTACAGGTCGTGGAGGGTGTCCCTGTCTGCTGATCTCCTTTAGAATTTCAAGCATCCCTTGCCTAAATTCTTGCGTCAGAAGCTGCTCCGTATTAAAATCCTCGGGCTCTATTTCATCTCTTTTGGCTGCTTCGAAGATTTGCCTGGCCTCATTAAGAGCTGCCTTAGCCTGTGATGTTCTAGATGATTTCCTAGATGATATGGACATGATGCATAGAAAAAGCTATTGCACTGGTCTTCGTCCTTATAAAGTATGTTAGAGAATGAGAATCGAAAAGTAGTCAGTATCAGTCCAAAATTAAAGCAAGACGAATACCACGAGATAGTAGATAACATGTTCGGAAGCAGGAGTCATGAGAAGAATATATAAACCAAACCTTTCAACTTGCCAACTTATCTTCAATATACTTTATGCAAGTTGCTTTTCTAAACCGGGGTTCACCGCATAGCTGTATGTTGAATTTTGGTTGGAGTCGTACATCGCAGCTAGGAATCTTCATTTGATCTTCTAATATTCTACTACGGGTGGTCTATCTGGGTAAGCCTGCCTGCGTTTCTCATTGTTGAACCGGACTATTCCATGATGACACCGCGAGGAGGTGAGTATAGTGAGATGAAGTGGCGATATATGCAAATCCCGACGGATCATACCTAGGGTATTGTCCTACAATCAATCTAGTCGGTAATTTTCCAAGCTCATGAAAGATACGCTGAAGTGAACAAAGAACCATTAGCCCTATCGGCATTTACCATTTCATGTAGTCTTTGTTAGGATTCACATCCTACTGACTATATGCCGGGCTCTTGTTTCATTTACCTGCAACACATTGGATTTTCCCTACTCTCTACATCATTCTAAGAGAGATGTCAAACTTGCTACCACAACAGTATCGCTCGCCGAAACGCCTAATTAAGAATTAATACATACTACTTCAAACTATATATTCTAAGATAAACGCTTTATTTATCTTCAATCCTTTTCCTTTTCACCTTCGCCGACCAGCCTCCCATAAGCTGTCACCCAAGGACCAATAACCACCCTTTCCGGAGCATATGATGAATCCAAGATGACTTATCGTTACCGATATCACGGGCTGCCCAAATTTCCTCAAGAAGCTCAAGGACGTGAAGGTTGACAGGCAATCGATTCACCGAAAACAAGGCGCGAAGTCGATGCCGGACATCGTCTCTCATTTTGTTATCTTCTCTCTTCAATTCTGAGCCAGCTGTAAGAAGTGGGATAGACTGGAAGTTCAGGTAATTTGAGGATGCTGGGATTTGGAGAAGGTGATCGATGGTTGCTAACGCATAACGATGGACTAGGGGTTCCAGGCCAACCTCCTCAAGGCACGGGTTTATAAAGGCATCATTCCATCCACAAGTTCGATAGAGCAGAATTAGTCCGTGTTTTCGTAGTGACTCGTACAGGAGCGTTAGGGTAGGCTCAGTTGATGGTGCGCCCCACAGATATAACTGTTTCTCTAGCAGTGCCTCTCGGGCGAAAGACCGACGTCCTGAACTGAGGAGTTGTCGACAATACCGGCCCAAGTTTCCCAGGATGAAGATTAGGTCAGTACAGAACCCGTACATCGGATGATGCCAATGGCCGATTTGTTGCACGGCCAATGATAGATTTGGTGTATCTAGATCTTGCTGTTCGTCTGGGTGCACGAGGTACGAACATCCCATATCCCAATACAGATACATACCAAGACACAGTCTAAATATTGGATTCAGATCCCATGGAGGCGATGTATCCTCGAGCATTTTGTTGATCAACGTGCGTGCGGCAAACAGATGCCATTTCCCAAAATCAGTCATATCACGATCGGCTCCGTGTGACAACGCCAGTAATAACGCAGTAAGCATGGATAGTAATGGTCGCGTCTGCCCTATCCCTAGTTCCTTTCGGAACGATACCAGGGCTTTCCCCCTCTCCTCGAGAGCAATGCGTGTCACTTCTGCAGAGAAATATTGTTCATGACGGGCGCTCACGGACTGGATAATATGCACGAGTGCCGGAGATTCCTGTAGGTATTCCAAGACAGGGAACGAGAACGGATTGTCTTCAGGATCAATTACTAATATTTGACACACTCTTTCCAGCCAGTATTGGAGGAGCCGCCGATTAACAATGGTGTCCACGTGTGATGAGTACCAACGCGTCTCGATTTGCCATTGCGCCAGGCGATGCGTCGAGGAGCAGATTAAACCGCGACGGACGCAGCGCAAACATACCGGAAAAGTCTCGTCGCATTTGACACGCCTTGCTTTGCACTCTCGGCATCCTAGTTTGCTTTTAGGCCTTCGCCTCGGCGCGATCGGCTGTTCAAACGAGTTGTCTTGGAATCGTTCTTGTCTGGCTGGGGACAAGCATTTGACCGGTTCAAAACGTACCCGGAAGGACGACATCGTTGCAGCCGCTAAATCTCGTCCCTAGTCTAGCTGCGTAAAGTGTGACTTGCAGGATAGCGTCAATAGCGAAGAATTAAAACATTACTGCAGATGTGGTCGGGATCGGAAACTGCCTTGTCTTGGCGGCCCACAGTCGTGGACCATTTAGATCGTTTCAAAAGAGCAGAAATATGGTACGAGAGAACATGTATATTCTAAGCTACTCTTTGCTAGAATAGACAAAGGACACCATGCACTCCTATCTCTATAAAACTCTACTCAAGCCAGGAATGAATGATATCCTGAGCAGCCTCCCACAACCACGCATCATGCAATTTAGCCGAATGATCAAAACCATGCTCACCATCCCTAACAACAAGCCGGAACCGCAAGTTACTATCAAGCTCATCAATCTTAGCCTTCAGCATATAGCTCCCTTCCACAGGAACAACCGAATCATTCAGTCCATGAAGCACCAAGACACCTCCCCTCGGGAGCCTAGCACCTGCATCAAGTCTCTCAAGCGGATAAAGTTCAACAGCATCACCCGGAAAGAACCGCCCGAAGAGTCCATGTTGACTGACTGAAAACATCAATTGAGTTCTCTCCGGACCCGTAGGTGCCGAAATGACAACCTTGTGATTAGTGGTCTCTTCCCTTTCACGGACCTCCCTAATATGACGCGCTAGGGTGTCTCGTGGTGTTGCAGGTATCGAGAATATGGCCTTTTCTGTCTGGTCGGTAAAGTAAGGGGATTTGATATCGACTAGAGGATAGACTGCATTCACGGCCCGGATCTGTCCGGGGTGACTCAGTCCCATTTGGATGCTCAGGTAGCCTCCGGCGCTATCCCCTGCCGTGAGGATGCGGTTGAGGTCGGATTGTATGGTTCCGTTGGTGTACTCGTTTAGGAACTGTGAAAGGAATTTGTGCATCCAGTTCCAATGGTCTTCTACATCTTCCAGTATATCAAAGATTGTGGCCTCTGGAAGTAGTCGATAATTTGGAGATACAATGATGGCGGAGTACTCCTTGGAAAGCTCAAGGTACCAAGGGTTGAAGAAGGGTGTAAAAAGGCTATACCCGGAGATAAGGCCACCACCGTGGTATCGTAGAATGACAGGACAATTGGGAGTCTTCTGTGTCTGCTCAAAAGCTTGCGATAGGGTCTTAGGGTAAAGAATGTCCGTTGTGATTTCGTGTCCGTGCACAGCTTTGTAGGTTGTGGTGAGGATCGTGAAGTCGGAAAAGCGTGACATGTCACTTAAGCCTAGACTGACTGTTTCCATTGTGATTGCTTTGTAGAGGCCTGGCTGAGAGGTTAATACGTATATGATGATTTTGTCAATGAGCTAGTGGCTCCTACCCCTTGAATATGGAATGATAACCTCGATGTTCGATGGAATGCTAAAGCCAGGGGACGTCGAAGAACACCTTTGGGGCTCATAGTTAGCATTATTTAACCTTTTCCTAGCTTCCATAAGGCCTCATCTAGACCTCGCGTTCTGTACCAAATAGGAAGTTCGGGTGAGTTTATGCATCAACGCCACTTGTTCCAGATAAACCCACCTTTCTGTTGGGCGGTTGGTCAGCCAGTCCTTACAATACTTCAACGAGTTAGTATGACTATGAAGCACTCACGCTTGTGACTGGAGAGTTCCAAAAATGCAACACCGGTCTCATAAGCACACGCCTCTAGCAATGTAAAGGCCGTGTTGTTGTATTTTTCCTAAAAATAAAGGGTACAATTTTACGCTTCTCTTCAGACTTGGAAGGATTTAAGTGGTTGCGGTTATCATTTATTAATGTGTAGGCGCGCTTGTATGCAGCTATGCAGTATGGTGAACGTTTGGTAAGCAGCAGATCTGAATAACTTAAATGAAGACAACAGTTCATATCCAGATGATCATCTTTCTCGGGGTAAATACTTATGACTAATTTAGAAGTGATAAATGTGTATAAGTATGTGCTGAAGATTCATCAATACGTAAGATCAGGATCTCTCTTGAACAAGAAATCAGTATCTTCCAGGAACTTCCGCCCCTCCAGACATTCAGGTAAATGATTCGTTTTCTTGCCGGTGTACATTACATGATGCTTAGAACCTTCTTCAAGAATCGTTCTAGCTTCGGAACTAATAGGAAGAAGGTGATATGGAATAGGCGCATCAGCAGCCCCAGATTCTTTCAGACAAGCAAAAGCATTATTCAACCCTCTGTATGAGCGAGTACTCTTCTTCGATAAGCACATCATAATAACCAACTGAGCCAGCGAGGCCTGTGCATCTTGTAAATCCAACTTCTCAAGCATGGAGTATACCGAAGTTGCATATGTTTGCAAGACATTCTTAGCAAGTCCGATGTCCTCCGACGTTGCTACAATAAGACGACGCGCGATGAATAATGGGTTTTCACCAGACTTGAGCATTCTCGCGAGATAGTACAGTGCAGCATCGGCGTCACTACCTCGGATTGACTTGTGGAAGGCCGAGATAGTATCGTAATGCTGGTCACCGGAGCGGTCGTAGTTTAGATGCATTGTTAATGAATTTCTCAATCTTTCTCCGGTCATCCCGTCTCGTTTAGATAGGTCGTGTGCTATCTCTAGAAGGTTTAGCGACAACCTGCAATCGCCATCGGCGAAGCTTGAGAGATATACGAGGAATCCATCGTCGAGGAGACGGGAGTGTAAGCCCCGTTCTTCAACCACTCCGTGAAGCATATTCCGTACGTCCGCCTCTCTTGGCTTGGTGAGAGTGTAAACCGTACATTTGTAAACGAGTCCATGGCGGATTGTCAAGGATGGATTTTCCGTTGTAGCTCCAATCAGAATAATGCTACCGTTTCGGATGGCATCGAGGAGTATGTCTTGCTGTGGCTTGGTAATACGGTGTATCTCGTCGCAAAACACAATAGACGGCTTTCGCTCTGTTTCCAGATTCTTCGAGGCCTTTTCAATGATACCTTTGTACTCTGTGACTGTCGTGGTCGTGCTACCGATTTCATAGAATCTTCTTCTCGAGACAGATCCAATAATGCGGGCGATTGTGGTTTTGCCAGTTCCCGAGCTCCCCCAGAGTATCATGTTGGGAATTTTATCCTCGTAAACACACTGGCGGATAGTTCCATTAGGCCCTATGAGGTGACTCTGGCCGACAATATCGTCAAAGCATCTAGGGCGAACACGCTCCGCCAATGGTGCATTGTCTGGCTTAAGTCGCTTCGTTGGATGTTCCGTCTTGGAATCCCGGTTCTCACTTTCGCAGCTCTGATGCTGGTCGGATGCTCTCTTCGTGCTTTTTTTGACTGGTTGTCTAACAGCTGGTAAAGTAGGTTGATCGCTGTCGGGTCGTTCCTTATGATTAACAGAATCGATGAACGTAGCTTCGTGGGGATGACCGCGTCCCGGATTAAGCTCGAGAGATATTTTGCCCGAAGAGTGCACAGGTGCATAGAATGCTTTGCATCCAGCATCGAGGTGGGGATTGATTTTTGACAAAAGGACGGGCTTTTGGCATATCGGACATTCAACCATATCTGAGTATTCTTTACACTTCTCTTACCCTCTTTTCTGGGTGTGAGCGTTCAGTCAGCCAAGATAGCACCACAAGCACAATAGCATAAGAGGATAGCAGTCAAATTCAACTACGATGCGACATAGACCACGGGATGGCTGAGATTCCTGATCGCTCGCCTTCTGTTTCAATATCAAAGACCCACTTTCTCGCATTCTATCCAAATAAAGAAGGTCGGGTGGGCCCTGGTGGATATTGGATCGACCAAAGAAAATGCCAAAACTACTTGACCGAGAATAATCATGGTTGACGACTCCATACTTGTACTCTACAGTTAAACTTGACTCTTACTGGCTACGGGGCCAGTGTGAGCCCCCTCGTAAGTCATGTAGACATCAGTGCGAAACAAGGCAACAGTCGGTGCGCTAAGTGGAAGAGCCTAGAACCTCACTTGGTCAATATTTACAGATACAGATTAGAAAGAGAAACCACCCATAGCCGTATGTATAAAATAAGTATAGATGGCAGACTAGGTGTTCGTACACAAGCCAAAAATCACTCATTCCGTTCAAATATAGACCAGCACCAAGTACCAGTTATCCAGGAGCTATCGAGACTCTTCCCAACCTTGCCGGTATATATAAAATCAAACCCAGAATTCGAACATTACCGTGTGTCCTACAACCGAGCCCTCACGGACCACTTTCTAACCATCGTCCGCCCCCAGACAGAGGAAGAAGCCTCGCAAGTTGTCCAACTATACTCAGCCAAACGCATCCCCCCTCGCCATTCGCTCCGGAGGTCACGATTTCTTCGGTCGCTCAGTCGTCACTGACGGGATCGTTATCAACATGCTAGCTATGGATTCCATCACTATCTCCCCAGGTAGGACCAGTGCACGCGTAGACGGCGGCGTCATTGCAGGAGCACTACAACAGTTTCTATCCGCTCACCAGCTTTTCACACCAACGGCCCAATTGAAGACAGTCGGGTACATGTCCTGGGCCTTTGGCGGCGGATATAGATTCTACATCGGGACATATGGATTCGGCGTGGACCAGATCCTTGGTGCAAGAGTGGTTGTAGCAAGTGGGGAGATCATCGACACCGACGATGACCAAGAGCTACTATGGGCTCTGCGGAGAGCAGGAGCTGGGAACTTTGGTGTCATAGTTGAGCTAAGGGTGAAGGTGTGTCCGGCGCCGAAGCTATATGCGGGCTATTTAGCGTTTCCGCTTTCCGAAGCGGCTACAGTCTTTGAAGGTTTGGAGAGAATTGCTGCGGGGGGACTTAGAGCCGGCTAAAATCTTTCTTCGGAAAATGATAGGTCTGGGTCCAGTTCTGGCGAATACTGTCGAAGAGAGTATGTTTAATATCCCTACCAGCTTATAATCTGGAAGTGCTTAGGGCTAACCTTCTTCTACTAGCTACTGCAGCAGCTTATGGTGTTGGAGATTTATCGTCCGCTACATTCTTCTGCCGTACGAACATTCGAGGACTGAATCCTGAGGTTGGAGCAATCTTCTCCCACCATCCACCAGTCCACCCTTTATCAGCAGTCATCATCTACAACAATCATGGCAAGGGCATACGAACGAAGACACCTAATGGATTTAGCGCCTGCTTTCCAAATAGATTCCCACGTGCCATCTTAGGGTTCCACCCACGGGGGAACACATTCCAGTGCAGATGCCGGCTCTGCTACTGTTACAAATGCCACTAACTAGGCAAAACGGGTGAGCAGAGAACTTGAAGAACGTGGGCTTGCGTTGGACGGGGGGTTTCCGAGCGTCTTCCCGCCGAAACAGATCGACGTGAAGCAGTTCTTTGGTATGCAAGCTACAGAAAATCTCAGGCGTTTGAAAAGCAGACTGTCCTGTTGGGAGGTAGCCCGGAGGTATTTTCGTGCAATCGGCCATGATTCGGGCAGTCTCTGGTCTTTCCTGTAGGTACAGGGTGATCCTTTCCCCCTCGTCATACAGTGTTTTCGAAAAACGCTGTCATCACCTACATTCTTTAATCATTTCCTCAATCCCAATGCCAAGGAACCACTGACTAGAAGCCACGTCAGCCTCGTTAGTTTTGACGTGTACCGTATATTGCTGGACTATCCTAATAGCGTGATTTGTATTTATTAGGTACAGTAAACGTCGCAATCCGCGTTGCCACCAAGCTCTTTCTACTCCACCCGGGCCCTTGCCAAGCGAAACAGTAGTAGTATATTTATAGTTTGGAACTATCTATTCAAGGTTGTCGCCGATCCGATGACATCCTCCACGCTGCACTCAGCTCACAGATCGCGACATTCATTGTCTTCTTCCGAGCCACGCGCACCAACACCACCAACAGAACCAAAGTCGAAAGCGTCAATCGTAACGCGCTTTTGGAATCGTGGGAAAGAGATCGATTCAGCAGGTTCATGGCTCTGAGAAATTTCCAGCATCTTTCTTAGTGTAGTCTGTATTGTACTACTAGTGATCTTTCTTCATTATGTGGACGGTACCATCTACAACGACTGGCAATACTCAATCTCACCGAATGCAGTAACATCGATCATTGTGACTGTCGCCAAAGGCACGATGTTGACTGCCGTGGCTTCTTGTCTGAGCCAATCGAAGTGGAACGACTGCCGAAGTTCTAAACCGAGACCCCTCTACAATTTTCAAGCTATTGACGAGGCAAGTCGGGGCCCTTTGGGTGCCCTGGGGATGTTTTGGAGAGTTGCATCTGGGATTTCAACTATCGGAGCGGCTTTAGTTCTCCTGTCCCTCGCGATAGATCCGTTGGCGCAGCAAATTCTCGCCTTTCCTTCGCGCCAAGTACTCGCCGTCAATGAGACCGCATACGCCACATCGATACATGAATACGCTGCAGCGAACATGGGGAAGGTAGTCAAGGGTGGGAGTTCCCATTTTGAAATCATTGAGTTTTCATCTTCTTTACAAGTCTCAGTCGCACAACAATGACGCAAAGATATTCTGAGTTAGAGCCAGTCTGTACATCCGCATATTGTGAAATACCAGAATTCTTCTCCCTCGGAATCTGCAGTGAGTGTCAAGATGTTACATCGCAAGTAAACCAAAGTTGTGTGCCTACTGTCGGATCACTGGTTCCGGCGAATTGCAGCTATACATTTCCCAGCGGACAGATTTTGTCAGTGCCGGTCAGCCATATCGTGAAAAATTTCGATTCAACAGCACTGCCACACGGAAGTATTGACCTTTTGACTGCGCTAGAAATTGCCACTGGCACAGCAATGGACTTAAATGCTACCTGCACTGTTTTTCGTCAGCCATGGACGTCTCATGTGGGAACTTCCAGCTCACAACAAGAAGAAAGCAAATCAGTAATAATCACCTTTAGTGCAGCGAAATTCTATAGCTATGGGTATTGGACTCCACAAAACCACACACAGACAGACGAAAGACCTACATTGACCGAGTGTTCCCTTCATTTTTGCGAGAAGATCTATCCTCAGGCAAGGCTCTCGCCGACTCACCGCCACAACAAAGCGAGAATGAAACAGAAGCTTTTTCGAGAGGCTTCTCTAACATCAGCTCAAGGGTCACTTCTTTCGTATGCTCTGGTTCCAGAAGGGAATTTGAGTTTAACATGGGAAGACGCCACGTATAAAATTGAAAGCAAGGCATACGGCGGGCTGCAATTGGGCCTGAATGCTATGTTCAACGTCACATTTGACTCAGATCTCATGCCTAGCGGATGGGAGGAGCTGCAATGGAGCGGGCTCAGTGTGTACCCTGGAATTTCTGCTTCGGTTCTTCATTCCAGTACAAATCTCAGTGAGTCGATGGATAATATAGCCAGCAGTATGACTGGTTTTATGCGGACGAGCGACAATGCCTTTCAAATCCCCGGGCAAGCCTATACGAACACCACTTTTATCAAAGTCCATTGGCCTCGGATCATTTTACCTGTTGCTACTGTGAGCCTGTCTGGTTTCTTCCTAGTTGCAACTGCACTTTCAAGCAAACGCGCAAATATAATGCTGTGGGAATCTTCAATGCTGCCGCTGCTGAATCTTCGGCTCGTGGACAAGAAGAACAACTTAAGTCTGGGGCGCTTGGGAAATGTCCACGACATGGAGAACGTATCAAAACGTATCAAAGTTCGAATGGAGGAGCGAGATGTAACTATTCTGAGCGAACAATAGGAGGAGCGTTAGCGCTACCAAATAGCCGCAGGGTAGACCGAATCCTGATAATCGCGCGCGCTTGCTACAGCCTGCAGCTTCCGTACCCTCTGATTTACTGAGTTCATCCCTGCTAATAATTTCGTGAATCAACACGAAAGGCAGACTTGGCTAGATTGAGGGATCAATCACATCACTGAGCAAAAAAGTGGCCCTGAGCTAAGTCCCGTTCCGGAAGAGGAAAGTCCCAACCTAATTTCCACAGGAAAACATTAAATAACAGCCCTAATTTTCCACGATGAGTCAGGTTCAATGACTCTTATCAATCATGCCCAGAAAATGACAAAACACGAGGTATAAATATAAAGGAGGAACCCCCACTCAGCACTTCTCAGCTTCACGCCCCAACCCAAACCCAATTATCAGATCAAACTCAAGTAAAACACACAACGTACCAGTGTAAAATGCCCAATATTAAATTCTTCTACGCCCCGGACGCTTGCTCCATCATCCCACACATCCTTCTCCATGAAACAAATACCCCTTTCGAATCCATCCGAATTGAAATGGAAGGAACCGATGAGAGCTTCCCGGAGAGTTTCCGCAAAATCAACCCGAAAAGCCGCGTCCCCGTCATCGCTCTCGACGACGAGGTCATCACGGAAGTCCCGGTTGTCTCGATGGTTATCTCCAGCCTGGCACCGGAAACGAACCTCATGGGACGAACCCCGATGGAGACGGCCCGGGTGCACGAATGGATGAATTATGTAGCAGGAACGGTTCATGCTGGGGGTATTAGCCATTTCTTCAGGCCAGGGCGGTGGACTGTTTCAACTGAGGAGAAGGACTTGGAGATGATTAAGAGAAGAGGCTTCGAAATAATGCGGAAGTGTTTTGCGTTAATTGAAGAGAGATTGGTCGGGGAGTATGCCGTTGGGGAGAGCTTTACTGCTGCGGATGTCTTCTTGTATTTTGCTTATCGGATAGGAGTCAGGGCGGAGGTTGGATTGCAGGCGTATGCCAAGTTTACTGAGCTGGCGCGGAGGATAGAAGGGAGGGAGACGGTGCAAACTGTGTTGAGGAGTGAGAGGATTCATTCTATCTTTTGACTAAGATAGAGATAGTCGGGTGTGCTATGGGACCCTTGCTTGTCAAGTTCTAAGCACGTATTTTATGTTCCATGCCCTTGTCGACGAAATAGATCTAGTTCCTCGCTCGTCGTATAGCTAAAGTCACCATCCCCAAATCAGGCACAATCATAGACTTTTAGTCCTAAAGCCACTGAAGAGCATCCACCAACACCTTGATAGCACCCTCAACTACAAACCCTTGATCAACCCGCCTCTGGACATACTTCCTCATCCAATGTCGACAATTACACACCTAATACCCGTTTCTCAGTAATCACACTTCAAGCCCGAGACAGGACATGGATACATCTTTCCCAAAAAGCTCCCAACTAAGACCAGGCGGCTTCACAACCGTTGCAACAGACCCCAAACGATCTCTAGGCATAGTATCGCACAACAGCTTCCATCACCCACGGCATCACGGTCATAGCGCTCTTCGATGCCCACAATTGGTATTATCTGCTAATTTCGATCCGTGGTGGCAAAGCCATAGTTGCGATTGAACCCGCAGAACACAGTTGCTGTTGTGCCAGTCGCATGAGTTACTTCCATGTTGGTCGGTGCTGTTGACGGTTGGGATGAAGATGGGCCAGTGAGCGGGGCGTGATCCGTTAGAGAATAGGGCGAGGTAGAATGGCCGGAGCATTTGTTATCTACTTAGTGTTTACATTCATCAGGAAGTCGTAGGACTCTTTAGATATAGATATACAAAAAGAGTTGATTTAAGCATGACAAGCCATGTAATTACGCCTGCCCCGCTTGCCTGTTGATGCAGTAGAAGCGATTTTGTGGTATAAAGTCCAAACTAACAATTAAACTATACATTAATTCTGTATAATGAACACCCTAAGAAACACAAACCATGAACTCTGTGCAAGATGCAAAATATAAAACATGTACATGAATTAAAATCCTTCCGCAGGGATAGGCGCATAAAACCCGAACCTGTTCTCAGGATCGTACTTCCTCTTCAACGCGGACAGCTTGCTCTGTCTCCACGGCTCATATCCATACATAGACTCCAGCGGCTCGTCACCAGATGCGTAGTTCACATACACATGCTTCTCAGCCTCGCCACTTCCCTCGTGGAGGATATCGCGCACGCGGTCACCGAAGGTCTCAGCCGCAGGCCGGTCTGTCTCCTTCTCGAAGATGATAACAGAAGAGACGAGGATGGTGTCGTCACGGTGAGCGTAAGCGGTGGAGGCCTCGTCGACTGCCTGGACACCTTGGTTGGAGTACCCCTCGAGCATGATAGTAGAATGTTCGAAGTCGGGGTGGGCAACGGTTTCCTCAGCGAAGGCATTGAATGCGCTGCGCAGAGCCTCCAAGTTGTAGCTCTTCAGGTTGAGGGGGAAACGGACAATTTGAGGGCCTTCGTCACCCTTGTCACAAGCCCGCGATCCGATGTTGAACTCGGTCCACTTGGAAATGTCCACATACGGGCCAGAGTGTGTCACGGTCTTCACCGGGGCAAAGTTGAGTAAAGACTGCGATACAGTTGAATCCATGGTTTCGACGCCCTCCTGCAGAACGAAGATGTCGATTATGGGCTAGCGATCATCGATTAGTCTCATAAGCATCTGTGATAGAGGGTAGCGTGGCTTACGTTGACAGGATCAATCTCCGCGTCGCGGGAAATGGTAGCCCAGTACATCACGTCCACGCGCTGTCCACCCCATCCTAGGATATTGAGGTATTGGAAGAGAAGCTCCAGCTTGTCTTGGGTGTAAGTGTGCTTGACAAAGGACCATACGCCATCCCCTGGCACGTCATAGATCTTCTGGGTGACAGAGGTCACAATGCCAAAGTTGTGGCCAGCGCCCTGCATCGCCCAGAACAGGTCGGACTGGGGCCCGTCTCGCGTCACGGTTCGAATCTTTCCATCAGCAGTTACGACTTCCAAGGAAACGAAGTTATCTGCGATGAGGCCGTGGCGTCCTTGCAGGTACCCATGGCCACCACCGAGAGCGGGTCCGAGGAACCCAGTGCAGTCACAGACACCGGTCACTTTTGGGATGATTAGCTGGTGCCCGCAATGGTGCAAGTGGTCATATTGGAACTCACCAGTCTGTTTGCCGGCTGCCCATAAGGACTCAATCACCTGATGAGAGAGGATACCACCACCAAAGGTAGCTGTATCGTCTGCGATGTCAACGGAGTTGAGCTTGTGCAGCCAAATCTCAATTCCCTGGTGAACATTTTCCAGGGTATCAATGTTTCCATGACCACCGTTGATGGCAATGAATGGTACATCGTGTTTGGTGGCATATTTGACCTATTTTCAATCAGCATACAACAATGCGCATGACACCTGTGAGAAACGCACCGTCTTAGCAACATCCCACTTGTTCGCAACCTCCACAACCACACTGATGTTCGGCTTGCCATACTGCGACCACCGCGCAGTAGCATTATTGAACAGATCACTCCCAGGGAAGTAAATGCTAGCATCACTTGACAGCTGGCCACCAAGCTCAGAGCCAATGCTGGCATCAGATTGTTGGGCGTGGCATTCCCTCAGAAGGGTCGCGTAAAGCAGGCTGGACGCCCAAAACTTGAGTGACCTCATAACCATATTGACGAGATGTGGCAAGGCCTGTGTCGTGTCGTGTCGTGTCGTGTCGATGCTCAAACAAAGAAAAAATCTCGAATGGCTCGTGAAACGCGCGATCTTTATAGTTCGGCGCACTGTGCCTGGAATGTAAGTTCAATTGTAGCTCTTCCTGCATGCGGATAGGCCAATCCGAGTTCACAAATATGCATATCCCTTGCTGCTTGGATCGTGCACTATTGACATGGCACGGCATGACTACTGAGTCAATGCCAGCTGTCTTCGGTAAAGGTTTCATGTAGGATATTGTTTCCGTTGTTGTGATCATGTCTCGTGGTATGATAGACACAATCTTCACTGGCGGATTTAATCGCCGCAGCTTAAATCTCACTGTTGCCGTCTTCTTGGCAATCATTCTCTTGTTTTCATTTTGTCCTTGAGAATTCAAAACAACGGAAGCCACAGAACGCCTCCCCCTTACGTTGGAATGCAACAACAACAATAACAACAACAAAGCCAATACCCAGACATCTATTCCATGGAGTCGATTACTAAATGTTTTGACCCCTTCACAAGAATTGACTTTCGGGATCTGTTCTTTGTACGTACAATTGCAACTCACAAAGGTTTGTGGAGAGTAGGGAGAACGGCCCCTTCCGCATTCCTGGGCATAAAAGGGGTGGCTGGGGTATATCAAGCTATCCCCGAATTCATCCTCAACTTATGTTTACGACAGGAAAACTGGATTTGTATTTCCAATTACTGTGAGCAGTTTACAACAGGTATTGGGCAGCTAAGGATCGTCATTAGGAAAACTAGATTTGACGGGATAATTTTGTTGAATGCGAACTGTTGGCTACCAACCAGTCGATTTATCTATTCATAGCACACGCTTTCGATACCTTATCCTATTATTATTGTTTTACTTTTTCCTAATGTATATATCAAAATATCAACAACAAGACCTTCTCTAACAGCGTGGCACGCTGTCTAGTTGCTGCAATCGTTGTGCTATTAGATATCAGCAGAAACCGTGGCCCAGCCCAGCAATAGGATATTTCTAACTTCACATAGTAAGTATAACACCAAAGGAGACATCATGACTGTCATTGTCACTCGGTTTAAATGGAGTTAAGAAAGTAACATAAGAGTCGTCTATAACTCGGTTTGCAATTGAGTTTAGGGCGCATATCGTCAGTAAACAGATGATAAGACTGAAAACACCCGCATTTATTGACAGCCGCTCCACTTCCGAGTAAACGTATGTATCTCTGTTACTGAGGTACACTGTTGTAGGTTTGCGGGCTTGTTCGTTAACTACTCCCTGGTATTCTACTACTGTTATCTAGAAGTGCTCTTTTGAATTACAAGCCTGAACCTCGACCGGAGGCGTCCCTGAACAGAACCAAAATTTCATTCCCTTTCTCAAGCTTCTTTTCTGCGCGTGAAAGTGGTGTTAGGCCTTTTGTATCTTGACAAAGTGGGTCCGCTCCTTTGGCAAGAAGAGCTTGAACGACCTTGCCTAACTGGTCACCTGACCACTCGGGCTCCCATTCATCCTCACTTTCATCTTTGTACTCCGCAAGCCAAGTAACATTGAATGGTTCCACTGCATAAGAAAGCGGTGTTCTACCGTCAGCGTCCTTGCAGTCTGGCTCCGCGCCCTTATCCAAGAACATTTGGACCAGTGCGGCACGTTTCACCATCGCCGCGTAGAATATAGGGGTCCTCCCAGAATCATCGCGTCTGTCAACTCTGGCACCCTTCTCAAGAAGGAGCTGAACGCCGTCCTCGTATATGCTCGCTTTCTCTGGGGCATGCACCAGATATATGACGGATAAGAGAGCCCATAGCAGGGGAGTGCGACCCATCTTATCTTGGCTGTTGACATCCACGCCATCCGTTTCAAGAAGCAACGGCACCATGGTTGAACCAATACCATCATGGCAATCATCCCATTCGATATTTACCGCCCAGGATAGGGGAGTTCGACCGTGGCGGTCCCTGCTGTTTGGATTAGCGCCCCTCGCCAGGAGCATCCGCGCAGTTTCCGGCTTTTCATAATAGATAGCTGCTTGAAATGCCGTCCATTCCATCTCGCCGTTAGGAATCTCGAGATTTGCTCCGTATTTATCGAGAAGGAGCTCGACGGCATCCTCCCTCCCCCATCGAACAGCCAGCCAGAGCGCCGTGTAGCCATCCTCATCCTTTCCGTCGACATCCACCCCGTCTATCCCAAGCAGTATGTCCAGTATGGTCGTATACCCCCTCCATGCGGCGCCGTGCAACCCGCTTTGAGCATCCACGACTTTCCGGTCGTGAGTTAATCCCTCCCTCGCCAGAAGAAAGCGGACCATGGCCTCATCCCCACCTTCTAGGTCGCTTCCTGCAGCAAAATGCAGTAAACCCTGACCCTTCGCATTAACATACTCCTGACCAGGTATCTTCTCTAGGAGCAATCTAAGCAATGGTTCATTTGCACGCCGCGAAGCAATGGACATCGCAGTTTCACCGTAATTGTTCTCAACGTCCAATCTTGCTCCTCGCTCCAGGAGGAGCTCTCCCATCCTATTGTGCCAACATGCAGCATGCATCAGCGGGGTTTCACCCCTTCCATCAACATGATCTATATCAGAGACTTTGTCAAACAAAAATTTAAAGATTTCCATCTTGGGCGTCCTTATTGCAGAGATCAATGGGACATAATCATCCGTGTAATGGTCCGGGTCGGCACCCGCTTCCAGAAGCAGCTCGACCATCGCCTTATTTCCGGCTTCTATTGCAGAAATCAGAGGTGTGTGGCCCGACCTGTTCTCCTTGTCATTTCCGCAGGGTGCTGCGAACATCAGTGGGATATGGTCCGCCAGGTCTGTTGTCTCTATGTCACCTCCGGCCTTGAGAAGCATCGTCACTATTTCGGTATGGTCCATTGCCACTGCATGATGGAGGGCTGTCCTCCCCGCTCTGTCTCTGAGGTCAGGAGAGACTCCTTGGTCGAGGAGGAACCGGACAATTTCTTTAAATCCTTGCTTCGCTGCAAGTAGAAGGACGGTTTCACCAATTGTAGTCTTAATATCAACGGACCCTCCTTCATTTTGTTTTGACAGAGCTTTCTTCGCAGATAAATAACCCAGATATGCGTTCAGCTCCTGTAGTAGATCATGACAACCTTTAGTGATATTGTTCAAGGTTTGCTCCCCTAAAGAGTCATCGGAATCCCCATCTTCAACCTCGCGCAACTGATTATGCAGTCCTTTGACACTATCAGCCTGTCAGCTGAATTACCTTCCGTTGAGTTGCAGTTATTGGACTTAACTCACTTGTACAAAATAGTTTTGTATCGCTCTGGTACGTCGATATTGTGCTTCTGCACTGTATTAGCCAACTCCACGATAGCATTGGCATCCTCTGTGCTATAGTCAGGGCTCATTGTGGCATTCGTCTTTCAGCCTGATAGAGAGTTAAAAGAGTGAGGTGGGGAGTTGACAGATATTTGGGGGCGAAGCGGCGCAGCTTATATAGAGTTAGGGAACAGTTCATGTGACTGGTTATATCTTTAAAAGGCTATGTTATTATATAGAACAATATTAATTAATATGAGTGAATAACAGGTAGAAACTACGTAGTTTAACCGCATTGATCAAGAAGAAGAAAGTTAACATTAATTTTGTGTACCTTAGAATGAGGTAACGAAGGTAGACTATGTAGAGGGTCAGGCAAATGAGGTTTACCGGCACAGCACCGATTAAGACACACCACATACATATCTAGTTAACTTGGCAGCTAATGGTTACTCTGTGTTCTTTCTTTCCTAAGAAAAAAAGTAAAGGAAACAAACACCCAAGAAAAACAAAAAGAACAAGGGACGGGCCGGGTTCGAACCGGCGACCTAAAGATAGGTTGCAATATTTGGTTAACCAATCAGGTCATTGCAATCTTCCACTCTACCACTGAGCTACCGCCCCATTGGATGATAGAAGCATTTAAACCATGGTATATGTTCAAGGAAAACCAAGTTTGTAAATCATTTTCTCATCGTCCATGTCCACACTCTGAGCCCTTAACATGAAGCTGGCTCGATTATTCTTGCTCATTATACGTTCTTGAGTCTAGTGGGATCTTTAAGAATATAGTTGCTGTCTCTGAAATGCAATAATTATGTTATTGTTATGCGGGCTTATTTTCTGTGGTAGTGGGTTTTATATATATATTCCTGCTGGTGTGATTCTATAGAGATTCAGGTATGTCAATGCGACTACTGATCCAAAACACATTTATTGGAAATAGAATTTCTCCTTGGCAATCTTCCTCTTCCATATATGTATAAGATTAGATGTAAATGATCATCAGGACGAGCGAGTCATTTATTGGTACAGATGCTCGGTACGTAGGCTGTTGCCTCATCTATCATCTCCTCAATACGATCATCTAGTTCCCCAATCTCATGAGCTTTAGCTAGACTGGATGCAGGTAATGGTACTCTGCCGTGGGGATAATGCTTACACGGTTTCAAGGCTTACCATAGTCAGCCATCTGCATTTCAGTGTACATGATTTAGCAGTCAGCTGCTCATTCACCCTGTTCAGTACATATACAACCCATCCCTCATTCGAAGCCCTATGCTTAAACCCCAAGTTATTTATAATATTGGTAGATTGCCCCCGCAGTTAACTTATTTTGTACTCACTGCGGCACCAAGACACATCACCCATAAAATCCATGATCGTAGTCTAAAACCTAATATTACACATACACACATAATATCACCATCCATTCAAGGAATACTATACATAGCCCCGCCAGGGAGCTCAACGATACAGACGAACCGGGTTCGGGGTAACGACCTCCTTCGACGTGAAAGTGCAGTGAGCATAGGCCTCCAACGAATCCGGGCCAGCTCCATTATACGCCGTTGAGCGATCTCCGTCCAGCCCATCGGACATATCTCGCGGCACCTCTCCCCACATTACCGGCTTCAGAGTGGCATCGTGATAATCTGGTGGGGGATGGCAGGCGGCACTGATGGCGGCACTACAATACGTCGCCAGTGGCATGCAAGATTTCAGTCGTCGGCAACTCAGCCCCAGGAGAGCCAAGATAGCGACAGAAGAGACGAGAAGTCCAATGAAGATAGAAATGGGCGAATAGCCACAGCCGCGACTAGACCTAAATGTGGACAATTTATCGTGGACGCCATAAGACTGGATGTTGACGAAGAAGATGCTCTGTGACAGGAGCCAGTGCATTAAGACGGAGAACAAGATTAGCTGGGCGCTGTAGCGATAGGGCAGGCTAAGGTAATATGTTGAGCGCTGTTGGCCCTTGGGCCAGGAGACGCGTAAATGTTTGCGCTGTGTGGCGTAGTCGTCGTAGTCGTCGGCAATCAGCATGCAGGTCATGAGGCTGTTGCAGAGGAAGTAGAGGATGGAGAGCACCATCTGGGGCGTGTTGCTCAGCAGTACTAGTGAGATCATGGCTGTCGAGATACCAGGGGCCTGGACCATGGTCTGTCCGCTGGCCTTTCCAAAACCGAGTGTCCATGCCTTTGGGATGGAACCATTGGTAGTATCAGTTAGAGAGAGCACGAGGAGGAAAACAGAGGTTGCTACGCAGCCACCAAGGCTAGAGTATGTTAGCTAATTAGATAACAAACTGAGATGGCCAGACCGAATTAGCGGACTCACAAACCGAGAGTAGCTGTCCAGCGCTTGGCACTAGCAGCTTGACACCATCTCTTCTTGTCTGGGAGCATCTTCGGACAATCCATAAAAGGAGTATTTGTTCTGGAGAGCGCGTCTATCAAGGGAATGTATGCTGTACTCCCCACAGACTCCTGCTGACGGTACCCCTGGGATTGATTAAGTCTCGTCCAGATCGTCATTGCAGTCCACGACGTTCGACCACGAGATATGTCTGCCCGCGATACGAGACATTGGCCTTCTGTAGTTGGATCTGGTGACATCAAAAACGAGCAGAGGGCGTCACCGACGGTCAAAAGAATGTTCTTCCTGCTAGTCCGGGCAGTGAGATACATGCGGACCACCTTGATCACATTAGAGACAATTGCCGCTATGGCGATAGGTGGACTAAAATATAATTGACAACGTTGGTCTTTGCCTTTGGTCATGCAGCCGGAAAGAGGAAGCTCTGTGCCACGACCTATAGTGCTTGCATATACCATTTGTGGATAGACCGGTCGATTATCCAGCTCAAACGTGATATTTGCTGCCCAAGAGCTATTCGCCCAATGAGAGGGGGTGGCCAGAAATGTACCCAGGGACTGCCGGTCAGGGTTGTACATGGCCAGATAAGCGGAGAGCACACTGATGTCATGGTTCAAGGTATCGCTATATTTAGGGTCATACGAGAAAGCCGTAGTATTGAGAGTGAAGTTGTAGGTATTCGACTCCGGTAAAGGATCTGGTATCGAGAAGTTCCAAGGACGGTATGCCCAATGCAGGCCATGTGCCGTCACATTACCATCATTTATCGCTTTTTGCGCAGCGGACTGTCCACGAATACTTTCCAAGGATTGCAGAAAAGTGTATATCGAAGTACGTGAGCCTACTGAGTCCCCGAACAAGCCGAAGAGACTGCTGGTGTTATGAAAGTAGCGCCGGTCGACAGTGAAGATGAGGGTTCCAAGTTGAGTATTAAACTCCGCATTATACTTGTTCATACAGTCCGGGACGCTCGTGTTTTGAAAGGTGCCGTTGAAGATCTCGGCCCGAAGATGAATGGGGCTGGTGCCAACCACCTGAGTGAAGCTATCTGCCGCATTCTCACCTCCAGCCAGTCGCTCACTGGACGCCAATGACTCACTGGATGCCAAGTCCTCGGGGATCAAAACCGTTGCATAGTCAAGAGTGGAGATGGAAGAAAAAACTACCGAGTTGTATCTAAGCGATTGGTTATTGATGCCAAGCCCTCATACAGGGGTCTTCTCTGCTCACATCATATGAATTGGGGTTGAACTTATCAGCAGAAGAGTCCACAGGATCTTTCGCCACCCGTCCATGGCGGCGAAGTTCCGCATGCTGAAGGTGCCAATATCGAGCCATTTCCGTTGCTTGTGGGCCTGATCGACGTCAGAACGCGACGGGGCGCCTAAGCACTGCATGACGTAGTTGCTGGCTGCCAGTAGCAGCGTGCTGAGTACGTTGATAAGCAAATGCAACCCCGTCGCCTAGTGACTTGACAGCGAACAGTTCCCATCGTACAGGGCGATTGACTCGAGTTGTCCCTTGTTCGACGGTTTCGCGTAGCCGATCCCCGTTGCTACAATTGCCATGATGGAGTTCAGGGCAAGGATTATGCTTGCTCCCCAGGTACAGAACAAAGCGCCCTTGATCCATTCTTCGCCCTCCTGATGATCCCGACGCGGTGCACCCAGTAAGTCGAGGGACGTGTTCGATCCGGTTTTCAATCTACTGGGCCCATCGTCTTTACTATCTCTTTCAGATGCACTCAGTGATAAATTGGAATACTTTGGTTGGAGTCGCCATGATGACGGAAGGACTGTCCAGGGTCGTGTTGCAGCTTTGTTGATGTTGATATCTTCCGCCATTAAGTTATAACTCTTCGAATTTAACAGGGAAAAGAAGAAGATAGCAAAGAAAACCGACTATAGTGTATTGGACCTTACTTATACCGTTCTCTGTCAACCACGATGCCCCAGTTTAACGGGTGAATCTTTCCTGATGTCGCAAATGGCCTGAAGAAGGTTGTTGAAGGTGAGAAACAAAAGCTAGGTACACGAGGCTGAGACCGAAGTGGGCTTAGAATCTGATCCGCGTTCTTCTTGCCTTCTTTAGCGTCCAGTTGAGTATAATCGTTTCATTACTGGCCCTGTCGTTTTTGGCCCCCAATGGATTCTCGCCTTGGTTTCGATGGACGAAAGAGTTTGAAAGGATGAAATACTATAAGGAAAAGATGCATGGTGCTTGCTATCCGATAGCTTTTACGTCAAAAACACATTACTTGCGCTGAACTGTGTAGATATACAGGTTACCACCGTTCTTTGCAAGAGGGTATTAGTTCCAAGACACGATTGAGTTATGATCCTTGCCTGGAACAACACGAAAATTCAACTACACTACTACGAGGAGTATAAACACCCCAGTGGAGCTTCCTCAAGCCGAGGTCCGTGCATAGACGTGCCCAGACTACTTAAGCCGACTATCGTACTCCGTAGCCTGACGTCTAATGACTCTAGTCCGTACCTAACGCGAGTTTACCTGATCAACCCTAAGAAAACCGACTCAGCACCGAGACCAGAGGGTGCCTAATGCTACGAATATCCTCAATAGAGAGTTAATGCCGGAGTGAAGTGCACTCTGAGATAAAGAGAACCGTTGAGATGAGAAGGATATATAGTCTGAGTGACCAGGGACAGCTTTTCCTCTCGCGATTTGGTGAATTTAGAAACCAGCTTGCCCATACCAGTGGAGCTGGAGAAACACCTATCTCACGAAGGGAATTGAAACTGCTAACACGGCCGAGAACAAAGAGACAGTAAATTGAAGAGACAATGTTTCAGTGAACCGTTTGCTTCTAGATCATAGTCGTTATCATAATTTTAAAACCCTGAAAAACTCAAACAAATTGGAAACAGTCGTTAGGATATCGATTTTCCCCCTAACAGAACTCGTCCTCTTATCCGTCCCTATCACATCATTATATAACCCTCTATTAACGCACCCGTGGTGTTTTAGTTCAGATGCTATGTTGCTTGTATTACTGGATTTCATAGAAATCATCAATTATTTACGATCATCAGGTTGACCTTGGCCCTTCGCCGGGGTCTTGGACTTCAGGTTCCAGAGAGCGTTCACAGTCGACAGGGCGCACAGAACCGCTGTGGCAGATGTTAGATTCAACCGATCAGGAAAAAAAAAGGGAGACAAAAGAAATCACGAACCAATAACGCAATTCATTTCATAATACCCAACGTGTTCGGTGAGATACCCGGACAGGATAGGGCCAATGAATGCTCCCGCAGTCCAGCTCATGCTTGACACAGACAGCGCTCGCGAGTATCCGCCATTAGGGCCAAAGATGCCAGGATGCCGGGCTTCAATTTCGTCGACCGTCACTAACGCAAGGGAGGCAGGAGTTAGCGAATGCGAAACCGATCCAATGAATTTCGACGTAGCATACCTGTAGCTTCAATAGTTCCTGCACCATTGAGTAAACACGAGAAAGTTCCCACTGCAGTTACGCAGACGGCATAGATGATTTGTCCGGTGTTGCCACCGTTCACGCCGGGGAACCGATCGTCGCCGGGCATACCCAACACCCACATTATGGGCGTCAGGATGGCGAAACCTGCTGCGGTGGGATACCGTGTGCCATAGCGATCCTTCAACCAACCACAGAGCGGGCTCATAATGATTCCAGGACCTTGCAAAGCGGCGAACAGTAACCCTGACATCATACTCCCCCAGTCGAATGCGTCCCGAACATGAAGAGGAATAGTGGTATCAAAGCTGGAGATCAAAATAGCGAAGACAAAATAGCTCATCGCACCGCAAACGAATTGGCGGTGTCGGAAGAGATATGTATAAAAGTGCCATCCCTTCTTTTCCTCCACAATAGTAATATTATTCGGCAGGAGGGGATCATTCTCGGGATCCTGATCGTCGCTGCGCGGCGTACCTGTGGGTTATTTAGTTGAGAAACTGGATATGTATTCAATCGAATTGCACGCAAATACTCACCTGGTTGAGTTTTCGGTCGCTCAATCATTAAGACACGGAGCACAATATCCACCACAATGATGGCAAAGGCACTCGACCATGCCAACCAGTATCCACCCATCTCGAACAATATGCCAGCAGCCATGGGTCCTCCGGATGTACCCGCAGCCACGACGAGGGAGATCACTCCGTAAGTCTTCCCAAGATGTTCCTGCTTAACATTGTCCGCGATTGTCGCGTATCCCACTGTCCAGATGAACGCACTCGCAATGGCTTGGATAAAACGACCGAAGAATAGGGTGAAAGCTATTATGGAAACCGTCAGAAACTACTTTGCAACTCGACGGAACAGGCGCTTCTATCTTTGCACCATAGGAATCGCACATACTTGAAGTTGCCATCGCCAGAATAATTGTAGAGAAGAAGGCAGCAGCCAATGAGCCGAGCAGCAAGATCTTCTTCGACGACATTTGATCCGCATAGTGGCCAATGAATGGGCTGCAGACGAGCGATGCGACCGCACTTAACGCCAGCAATGCAAAACTCATACGCTGGGTCAGGGACACATCGAGACCGAGACGGTTTTCCAGGATGTAGGGAAGGATCGGGACAATGAAGGTATACAGGAAGACATCTGGTGGAATTGGTTAGTTAGAAACATCTGAATTCTGTTAACGCGCGGGAGCCCAAAGCAATCAGTACCAGTGAACAGCGCCATCGCCATGGCGCTGACGATGAAGAAAGGCGAAGACCGCCATTTGTGGCCCCATACAGACCCTCGAGAGACGGTGAACTGCATGGTGTAATCTCGACTTTACAAGAAGCCGTCGAAAACTCCCCGGAAGCAAACAGTGACGAAGGAAGGGAAAGAAGAAAAAAAAGCCATGCGGAGAAGATAAATTCTTTTATCGTATCGGTGGAGGAGGAACCGATAGTAGCTCCCAACTACTCAATTCTCATTAGTCAACTCCGAGACCCACCATCCCCTCAACTTATGAGTAATACTAGTAATACGTAGTGAGATGACCTTGAGCTGAGGCTCACGGCTGTAAGCACGGCCGATCCTGAATATCATGGCAATGCAGTTCGACCAAGCCATGTGTGATGGACAGGTCAATTGCAGTCCAGTTCAAGCGAGCTGAGTGGATCAATAAAACTCCCCAAGCATGTTCCCTGCAGCATTGTCCCAATTGGGGATGTACAAGAGGCTATACTGGCCTATGACTGGATGCTTGACTCGGCGGATCGTCCGGATCGACATCATTTTCGGGGTCCACCCCGTCATCTCAAGGAGCAACTGAGAATATCCCTTGCAGCGATATTCCGACTGGTTGAACCATTCATGATTAATCTCAATCCAAGCTTTTCTCTGGTTTCCATCAAGACAATTCATACTATACCACAGAGTGAGTTCCTGGGGCTAGAATGCGACAATGAGGTTTGTGAGATACGGATAGGTGGGTTTTTAGAAAACCTCGAGGTTGGATCCTCCCCTAGGGCTTTGAACATCACGATACACGCATGCGGATAACTTATCCCTAGCAGAATTTACATCCACATCCTTTCTCACCCGAGGTATTAATTTTGCTCTGCATTTAGATTACGTCTAAATTATATCACGCTTGTTTTTGCTTTTGCTTATGCCTTTTCTTTGTCTCATTATTATTTCTCCTTTGAGTCTTTGATTCTCCCCCGCACGCCCTTTTGGTTACAAATATACGGAGTTGTTGCATTGCCAAGGATAAGCATGATCTGCCGCGATACCCCGTGCACCCTCGCTCATGCACTTTTACTTATGTTCGGTGTTAAATTGGTATATCAAGTCTGTGCATATGCTTATGCTTACTAGACTTGATAAGTCCCTTATCAGGATGATGTCTCATGAAAAATAAAAGACAAGGCAGTCAACTTAAAATGGTCTTAGGCGTTTTGAAGCCCTGAGCCCTAATTTACCTCGTCTGCCCAAGTATTGATGTGGGCTTTCTTCGAAGTAATAAAATTGAATATCTATATAAATATACCCTGGTTGTCCACGCCAAGGCTCAAGATTCAGAAATATTCATTTTGTTGGCATACAGCCAAGGAAGGATCATGTTTGGGAATAACCTAGTCAAAGGACTATCACATCTATAACATCAAGCCATGTTCATTATTAACACTTTAACCGAGGAAAGATGGCGTCTTCCCCGAGCATGTCAGCAGACCAGTCACGCCATCGCCCTGGGTTACGATTCCCAGAAGAACCCGGGGTTGGCGCCCATACAGCGTCCGACCAATACCAGCCAAAGCTCACGGGAACCCAAGGGAACCGTTTTAGAGCCTATATTAACGCAGGTTAAGTGCAAGAACCGGACAAACTGATCCATGATGATCTCGGATATTCCCGCCAAAAAATATGCTTTGTACGCTTTTTAAGATCGGATCCACATTTCCGTAATTCCGAATAACCTAGCTCCAACAATGAGCTGGGCGGACGCGGCCTTTGTTTTATTAAAAGTTATATCCTGTTCCAAGTCCACATAACTTACTGAGATCTGTAAAATGCAGACAACTTTAGGAAAATTTTGTGTTGCGTGGGCTAGATACATGACTTGTTACTGAGGTCACTGATGGGTTCCATGCCCGGAAAAATCCTCTCCCCTACATATCAACGGAAATACGGCAAAGGGGCCATTGCGTCACAATCTTAAAACAATCCGTACCCCAGAATGTAGCGTACGGGGCGATATAAAAGCGCCGAGCCCCGCAGGTAAAAAGCTTTGTTAGTAGAGTCCAGACCATCTATATATGCATAGCAGCCCTACACTCTTTAACAGAAGTTTAATTCGCAGACTCACCATTTCCAAGAACGTATCACTCATAGAATATCTCCACCTTGGCAGCAAAAGCTTGCATATCAGTTCCATGTAAAACAAACCAACATGACAACCAACCAAAAAGAAACCAAGTATATCGCCGTCCTTGGCGCAACAGGGAATCAAGGGGGTGGTGTTGTACGCGCACTTCTCGCAAAGACCGAACCATGTTTCCATGTTCGCGCCATCACTCGCGACGTTTCTTCCCCTGCAGCGCAGAGGCTTCAGGCGAAGTACAAGGACAGTGGTAGACTCGAGCTAGTTGCTGCTGATGTTTATGACAAACAATCCCTAACTGGGGTGTTCAAAAATGCCTATGGGGTATTTGCTGTGACGAATAACCGGATCCTTGGGAAGAAGATCGAAAAAGAGCAGGATATGGATCATGAACTGGTGGCTGGGAGGAATATTATTGATGCGGCGAAGGTGTGTTTATATTCTCTGGATACCTTTATCAGGATCCCAGCACAATGAATCATAGAAAGAAGAACGCGAAGCTAAGTTGTGTGATCAATGTATAAGGCTTGCAATGTCCAGCACTTCGTAATGAGCAGTTTGCCGAACATAATGAACGCGAGTAAAGGCCGCTTTACTAAGGTATTCCATTTTGACAACAAATTTAAGATTGAGCAGTGGGCTCGGAATGAATTCCCTGCCGTGACGGCTTTACATCCGGGTAAGTTCATGAACATACAGAGATGAGGCGTCTGCTTAGTTCTAATAGGTCTGTTCTACACAAACATGCAATGGCCCCAGTATTGCCAGCGTCAAGGTCAGTCTCAAAAGAAGCGGTTACCCCCACTGATGGAAACGAGTTTGATGGCTAAATTATTATAGATGATGGAACTGTCCGATTTTGCGCCCCAATAGATGGGAACAAACTAGCTGATTGGGCTGATCCAAGCTATGATATTGGCGTATATGCTGCAGGTGCGACGACCTTATTATTCACTAAAGACAACAAATCTGGCTAATAAAAAGACAGAGATATTTTCCCTGGGACCAGAGAAGACAGCATCAAAAACGTATCCTGTGGTTGGACCAAAACTCTCATTTGCTGACTTCGCGAGAGTGTTCAGAGAGATTACTTCCCAAGAAGCTACCTTCGACCCGATAACATTGGATCAATGGGGCACCACTGTCGCAGCAACTGTTGGCAAAGGATATGAAGAAGATATAAAACAGATGATGGAATGGATCTCTGTGGCCCCAGATGACAAGATCTGTTACGGAACAATGGATCGGAGTGAGGATAGGTCCTATGAAGATCTTGGCGTTAAGGCCAGTACTTTGGAGGATTGGATGCGAAGGACTGCATGGCAAGGGCCACAGTAGCTTTTTGATTACCCTGTTATGATGTGGTATCTGTTCATTGATATCCGGAAGAATGGGATCTAATGGAGGTCGAGGTGTATGCAGCCTCTCCTTACCTCACCGAAATTTAACAAAGAAAAAGGTGTGGTTAAAATGGACTCAACTTGAGTTAAATGTGACATTCTTGCTTTATATATGGATATTTAAGTAGTCATAATTGGTATCTACCCTGCAAATGTCTCCCTGTACATATATAAGAGCTGACGGGCGCGCCCTGTGCTACCTATTCGATAAGTCCAACTTTCCAGTTGGCTTGTTCGAAGACAGTATATTACATTGTCGTTTTCTCTTTTGCTTCCTCTGTAATAAAATGTATGCAATATCAACGGATCGACATTTTTTTGGCATTGGAGCGGACTAGATCTTCATAGGCTTTCCCTAATCCATGGTATAGCAGATGTGGGCCTCGCTGTCCGGTTCACACCACAAAATATGGTAGTTGGGGCGGGAAAGCTTCCATTCCCCTTGTTTGTGCTGCAAGCACACCGTTAGCAATAATTGGTTTGAATCTACGTCCAGCCCTTCGATATAGTCGGTCAAATCGGCCGCCATCACAACTTTCTCATAGAACGCCAAACTCATCGGTCGAGAATCATGGTAAACGCGATAATGAGAGCTGTTATGGTCCGTCACTAAGAGAGCAACCAGCAAGTTCTACAATGGAAAGAAAGTCGAGCTCCGCTGCCTTCTTTGGTATGCCGACATAGGCAGCGTCATCTCCTTGGGTTGACATGGACTCGGAGCCAACAAAATAGAAATGAACAGGATAATTGCCTTGAGAGGCTACGAGGCGGACGTTATATATCTTGGTACCCACCTTGACGAGCATTGGGTAACCAGACGCTGGTAGGTTGTCCTGGCCCAGGGGCTTGTGAGATCCCACTGAGTTTTTGGTTTAGAGTGCTTTCTGAAACCTTCTTCAGTACTCCGAGATCTGCATTGGGGCTCGGTGCTATGAGGCCCTTAGTAATTATGGTAGGACACCTCTTCTGCCAAACTGCGTTATCTCGTCCCAAATTCTATAAAGCCCATCCAAGCACGCGGCGTCTGTCCAGGCAAAGGAATGGAGTATTTCTACAGCGTGAGTCAACTGATATATCTGCAAGTCCAGACGGACTTTGTCATTGAGCTGGACTAGGGACTGGCGTTGGGTCATGCCCTCTGCTGCAATAGTAGCCACTGTGGTACACCATAGAATCAGTGTACTAGACATCTTCTGACTAACGTGATGGAGTTTCTCGGTAAGCGGTGGGATAATAACGGCTCGGAGTGCAGAAGACTTAGGGACTGGGAACGTGACGTGGAGTGCGTATAACAGAGCAGAGAGCCTGCAAGCGTGATAGAGCTCGAGAGACTGGGAGCTATCACAAAGTTCATCCGGTTGATCGATAATGCAATCAGGTAAGGTATGCTCGTCCGGTAGGCTAAACAAACCATGGTGTACTTGGTTTCGAACGTCTGCAATCAAGTCGAGGGTTGAAACATCCAAGTTGCGATGGGAAAATAATTGGATTACATTCGAGTATTCGCCCAAATGAAAAAAAGTGGTTGCGATCTTTTCTTTTATGGGTGGTGTAAGTGACAAAAGCTCTCGGAATCCCGATCCGGGTAGAGATGGCTGTTCTGGTACGATGCCAAAGGCTTGTAGCGGCGAAGAAAGGTTGGCTAAATTTCCCTGTACGTCTACCAAGGGATACTGAGGCTTCGTCAAGGAATGGGCGGCGAACATCAAATCCGCACTGTAAAATTCAATATTAGTAATTTGAGAGCAAGATAGCCCAGAACGGGCCGAGGTAAGTAGTGAACCTACATTGATAGCAGCCAGCCTAGTCCGTACAGCCTGATGGTGTGGATACCTCCCAGGCGATCTAGAAGGGTCTGGATGAATGTCCAGTGCATAGAATGATACTCCCTACTACCGTAGAATGAGAGAGACTGTAAGTCCACAAAAGGAGGAGTGAACGGACTCGCGTCTCGCGCTACTTTTCCCTTGACGTGGTCATTAACAGCAAGGTATAGCACAGCCATGATGACGCTGTCACGCCAAGTCTCGTTGGTGTAGTTAGCTACATGGTTATGTAGAGTGTTTAGGACAAGGCCTTTGTAGTACAGTTGCTCTTTGGTCTCCAACGCCGGGTCAGGAGCACCGTAGCTAATCCGTAATATATCCCTGTGATAGGACGCGGCCCACAAGGTGCTATAAATGAGGAGCTTATTCAGAGATGATTGCTGAATCCAAGCTTGATAACAACTCCCGGCATAGTTTGATTGCCGAAATGCGGGCCATATGGAGGTCAAAGCTACGTAGAAAGTCAGTCAGCAGGAATAATCGCAGGTGACCAGTGCAATAGCACAGGGTGTTAAAGATTTCCAAGCCACTAACCGAAATGCACTAGGCTGTCAACTTGCGGTCCCCAGCTCGCATCTAGTGGGGAGAATGGGTCCATCCTTCCACTCACAGCTGACAAGGCCGAGGGGGTCTCTCCGGCCTTCTGGTTGGTCCTCAAATCGTTCAGGGACCTTAACTTACTGCAGGTCCCACAAACTGTAGCCCCATCGCCAGTGACGAGGAACGTTGGGCTCCTATGGTGGCCTGTTTGAGTTTGGTCGGAACCAGAGCCCTGGAATTCTCTACGACAGGGGCAAAGCTTCTTGAATGCATGCTGATGATGGCCCCCCTGTACCTTTCTCTGGTCAATCAACTTCTCCCTTTTAGTAGCTTCCTCATGGCGATAATTTGTTTGCTTTTCAGAGATACGCCGTCTTATCAGAGCTGACCTAATTTTTCGAGAATGTGCGTTGGAACCGCCAGCCAATGCAGGGCCATTGACGAAGACGAATTCTTGTGGTTTGCTACCCATATTCGACACTACCTCCCAGCTCCACTAATCTCAAGGGGCTGATCTCCGCCGTGTGTAATCGAATCCTCGGCGCTGAATCTGTAGCCGATGCTGACGGCGGCGCTGAGACGACAAAGTCCCAGTTGTCTTAGCTTCACTCTAGCCTATCCAGAGAGGATGCGGTCCAATAGGAGTCGAGGAACACACTTCCACTTTAGGTCTAGCCTGGATTCTGTGCTAGCCCTCGAGGCTCGGATATACGGAGTAAGTCGAATATCCAACAGAATACGATTCATTTTCTTGGTTGCCCCGTTTATCTCCCGACATGTTTACGTACTACCATGTCTCTGCAGAGGATGACTGAGCTGTAAGAATTCACCAAGATTGATAAAAGGTGGAGATGCCGGTGTAAGCTAAGTTCAATCACACCCCTATATTAACCACAAAGACCTTGCAGCCAACAGAATCCACCATTGTAAGATCATATTCCTCCATTCTGGCTATCATGGCAACCATTAATATGCATTAGTATTTTAGGGGCTCCCAGAGCCGTCTTTAACTGTGACAGAACGTGCTGAATCCGACCCTCTCTCCTCAAAAAGTGCTACCAGAGTCTGCATCACGATAGAACGCCTGAGGCTCTGCATATCTACCTGAGAGCAAGGGCCAGAGGGTGATGCGGGAGAAGAAAAAGGCTGGGTGGTGGAAGATGATGACCGACAACCGGCGGTTTGCTCATCTTGCTGCGCCATCTCCGACATTACACGTAGTACGTCTTTCCACCGTTTCCTCAATATTTCTAGTTCCGACTTCAATCGCTCGTTTTCTCCCTCTATTCTATGATTCTCCGTCCTTAATAGGTGGAATAAATCTGACAACCGTTTGTTTTCTGTGCGAAGTACGTCCATCTTGACCTGCGTTTGAACTCTCTCCTGCTCTCTCCGTTCTCGGAACCGACGCTGGGCTTCGCGATTTTGGGATTGTCGTCGATTAATAGTCTATGGCATCGACGTTAGCGCCTTTGGTCAAAAGCTAGGTTCATTATGGACAGTGGATCTTGGGCTATTTAGTCACCCACATTGGATATTCGGTGCCCGCTATTATCGATATGCTGTGAGTCAACACCTATGGTACCCATCATTGCAGAGTCCAGTGGATTCATAGCGATGCAGGCAGTCACTTCTGGTGGCGAAAGGCTGGACGATGGGGAAATTGGTATTGAATGCAGAAGCGCGGATGTGGTTCCAGTGACCATGGTTGGGATATATCGGATATCCTCTGTCAGCATGGAATGTGGGTGGTAATTGGAGTCACGGTTATGATGATGATGGTCATGATGGGACACGGGTTCATCCCATTGCAAAACCCCGATCTCCGCATCATACTCGGAGTCTGTTGCTTGCCTCGGACGCAGGTCTACCGCAGAGGCTGTGGAGGAATCCATAATGACGAAAGAACGCACTTTAAGACGATTGATCGGAAAGGTAAGATGCCGAGATCCCCCGCGTTAACGGGGAAGCTTCAGATTATATACGTCGCCATGTGAAAACCCTTCGGGAGCACGATAATGAGATGGGAAAAGCCTCAGCAAAGTTGCGTCAAGCTATCATAGCACCCGCCTCTCGTCTGGACCGTGTTGATTGGCAGACTCTTGGAATCCAGAGCAGTCCGGTCCATGTAGGCCTAAGAACTAGCCCTAATCTGGGAGTGACTTGCTGGACGCTGATTCGACGGAACTTTCGCTAGATCAGATAAGGCGATACCGGTGATTAACCTAACCCTAAATTTAGACTAGGACTCCACTTGCCTGTCTCTGAATAATTTTCGCTGTGTGACAGATACCAAAGCTAGAGTTAAGTTCTCTCGGTTGGATGGGGATGCCCCACCAACAGCCCATCATCTTTTAACCGTGAGACCATTTTCCCAGAACGGAAGCGCAAGGCACCATTTCAGTGGACAGCCATGAGCGGAGCTATATTTCGCTCCATTATAAGGATGGAACCGAGCCGCCGGTGTATCACTAAATACCAAGTCTGTGGTTCTTATCAACCACTCACGACCCTGTTACCCCAGACCATAGGGAGGCCTGGTCATGCAGTGAGCAACATCTGATGTTGGCAATTTAAACGAGCAAATTACTGCAGAGGTTTAGCATCTGTTGCCCGGGATAAGAGGTACTACTGTAGGATGCACGTGGTCCTGTTCGACCCACTTAATTGAATAACCCTCCCGGTTCGAATGATCCAAGCCAATTCACCATCCTGACTCAGCACTAATTCTTCGCAAGGGTGCCCGAGCATTTAAGCTCGTCTCAACGATACACTTAAACTGTGGAAGAAATGTACCCAAGCCTCCGGGAGTGCCATGTTATGGACACTCCAACTGGCCCCCACACTGCGGCCCGGAGCCCTGTTTGTCCTTCGGCAATCTCCCGACGTGTCGCTTATTATTGCGATTTTAGGAGGCAGTGCAAGAGTGTGCATGGTCCTTGCAGCCACTAGTCTTAGATCCTTCGTTACTAGATTAATGGCATGCTGTGTGGTGGTGGTCCAGTATTTCGCACTTGGGATTACATTCGAGCAAAGTCCTCTAAAAATGTAGTACAGGCAGATTTGCGTTAGACCTTGTCGTAGTGGTTAGGGGTTTAAGGACACTTGTTTTTACTTTCTACCCCTTCTTTCCTCTTTGGTTAAATCATGAGCTTTGGATTCTAGCTTCTTTGCTTCAAAAGTCCGAATCAGCAATGATTGTTTAGTCTAGAACTCATTCTCGCTAGGTCTAGCCATTCCCTTTCTACCACGCACGCAGTCTTGTTTTACTCCTTGAAAGGCAATTCACAACATTGATACCTGGCCTGACACTAATTTCACCAAGCTGACTTCCGCGTGGCGATCACCTTCGACAGCCCTGCAGATCACAGACCCAATCAAGGGATCGGAAGGCGTTTGGCTGAAAGAATCTAAGACACCCACTAAGCCACTGGCCCCAGAGATCAGCGACAGCAGTGGGCCACTGTTTGCCGAACCCACAACGACCACTGATCTTCTCGACTTGCCAGCTTATTGAAGAGTAATGGGTTAACGTCAAGCAACAGTAACCTCAATCGCTTGGACTTCACATAGTAGAAGTTCCTGGCGCTGAATCTGCGGTAAATGTAGTAATCTCTTCGAGACACCTTTGCGTGACTTTATGATACATAATTCCTTAAAAGCTATACTCCGTACCGTCGGTCATATGAATTCCAACATTTATCTCAATCTGTGGCTTGTCATCTTATATTGTCAGGCTAGACTCAAAGAGGAAGGTGATTCCTCGCTTCTCTTGATTAGTGGTGAAATGAATTTCCTTCTCTTCTTCTTCTTCTTCTTCTGTTTTTAATGATAATTTATTTATCCTGATTACCATCGTCTATTCGTGGGGTCTACAACTCTAGTAGATTGGGCAATCACTTCTCCCTTTCTCCTCACCAGCATATAAGAAACCCCTCATGAAAATCTTACTTCAGTGTAAACTACGGCTACATTCCTAACATTCTACATTATACCCACATCTACCAAGTAATATTCTCTTTCAGAGACCTTCATAAACTATGCATTCTATTTGCGATCATCAACAGGGGCCAGAGATTTGAACCCCCTTCAACTGTGCTTACAAACCATGTAGAACCAGAATCAATATATGCACAGTGATGAGAGATTCAACGAGGGAATGGCTATTCTATTAGTATGTGAGCTATGGATATCTATTTACGAAGCTAATATTATTCTAGTCCTTCCTTTGTCCTTAGCTAGATGTGCATAAGAGGGTTTCTGGTTAAATGATTTCATTTCTCGATGCTATGCATTACTATCTAGATTCAGGAGTCCTTGACATAAACCTCCTGGACACCTTCACAAGGGAAAACTCTAAAACATAATCCTGCTTTTTGCCTTCTGCGTCTCTTGTTCTCATGGAAGGCGATTGTTGTTGACCAGGGTTTGTTCCCTAATATCAACATGTCTTCCCTTATAGTCGTCGACATTACTGGCTTCCAAAATATCTCGGTGGTGGTTTTCTATTTTTAGTATGTCCACTTCGATAGGCCGAGGTATAGCTGACGTTGGCCTGTGGTGAAGAGTCATCGCGGTGATAAAGGTTCTTCAAAAGAACTAGATTACTTTCAACAATAACCGAGACATCATGTATCCGTAAACTGCCTAGGATAAAAAGTAATCGCTCAAACATAGCGCATAGCGCACAGAACCTGTTTGTTTATTGCTTGTAGGCCTGATCTCATCAGCACATAGTATCCGCGGTACACTCCGATGTATGCCTTGTCGTCGGGCCCACGTAGTAAGAATGGGGATCCCTATGGCACCCTTCTAGCCCGAACGTTGCCTGATGAATCTAAGTCGTGTGTCCAATTCTGAGATCGCTCAAGACATGTTCTATGTTGACAGATATAGCCAATTAGAAGATCGGTTTGCCTCACTCGACCCCTCCCACCACTCTTGCCGCCCCTGAAGAAAACCGTTCTTCTTATCCTCAGTTATCTATCCGACGTGCTTGCCATCAGTGCCATATCAGCAGATGAGTCGTTGACCGAGGCAGAGCTCGGTATCATTACTGTCACTGCTGCTGAGTGCCTGCTCCACTAATGCACACTCATCGCCAGACAGGGCTATCTATGGCTGAGGCGTAGCCCTAGGTTCACTCTAACTGCCAACCATGCAACAGCCCGTATATACAAGCTGTAGCAAATTTCCCGCCTAATTTCCAAAAACGCTAATTAAAAGCAGAATGGTGTTAATGCCAATTTACACACCTGCTACATAATAATAAGAAGTACCTTATAGTCTCAGGCAGGGGCTATTTCCATAGCGGTTTGCTTGATAGACTTAGGCGTCTATCATCCGGTTGTGTGAAATACCAGCCTTCCACATCCCCGAGCAGTTTTCTGAACTGTTCTGCTATCAGTTTCTTCCATAGCGAGGAGCGCATAGGCTGGTCGTAAAGAAACATATGGGCCGGGATAATACCCCAGGGATAAGTCTGGATATCTTCTGTTATTCTCATATTTCTGCTGAGTAGGACCAGCGATCCTGTGCTGGCTTCGAGGTTTTTTGCAATGTAGGCGGGCGAATCGCTTTCCATTGTTGAGACGTTCTCACTTCGCCCCTCAAAGAACAGAAAGTCCAATGTCTGGATGGTCCAGCTTCTTTACGAGGACGTTCTTTTGTGGCTAAGGAAGATTCGCTATCCTTGAGATAGAAGTGAATGAGTATATCAATTCGTGAAACAGTCAACAGTTATAACTTATGATTAGCATGCTGTGACCGAATCGCAGAGTAAATAGCATACTAGTTCCCGCTCAATATTGATATGACGGTCCTCAGCCTTGTTTATCAGCCCTTTCCTTATCCAGGTGGAGCGAGTGTAATTGATTTATCTCTGAAACATATCATGCTGTTCAGTTGGTATTACTCGGACCCAAAAGTTCCTGTAAAAGAAATGAAGTTTGCCGTATGTCATGTCGGACATACCCTCTGTAAAATCACTTTAGTATTATCATAGCTTGCCTTTCTGGCCTTAAGAACACTAGACTTCTGACCGGGGTGAAAAAGGTCCCGCCACTAACGCAGTCCCAAACACCGACAACGCACTGGGCTATACGTGCCCTAGACAATATCAAGCAGCCTTAAAACGAATCGCACTTTTCCCCATATAATATGAGCCTGGTACATTCAGGGTCAACCCCTCCCTCCCTCACATGGCGCCCTTAACAGTCTCTTATCTTGATGTCCTTAGAGCATGAATTCAAGATCAAGATTTAAAACATCTGGGGTCACCTCTCCCTCGCTCCCTTTGTGCCCCTTGTTAAAAAGCATCAAGCATGGTCGCGTCATCCTCCATGATATCTTTGCCATGGAGGACACAAGCCTCCGCGGGTATTTCGATGGCAGTAGGACCACTAGGATCATTAGTCTAATGCGGACACTGATAGGATACAAGGGAATTATGAAGGGGAGCTTCTGGCCATGCACAAAGCCGCCCTGAGAAACTGTACCACTATTGCTGTTAGCAGAAGCACGCTAACAGGAGCAGCGATATATATCTGACCCTTCCAGAATCGATAGTTTTCCTGCCGGCAGCCTCGAAGTCCTCTTGAGTAGAATATTCGCTACCCTTACCCGCGGCGACGCAATTCGAACACGTGCCGCTCCTTGCAGCTGCCTCGTTGCTATGGCCATATGTGATAGTGGCCATATAGCAATTTAATCTTAGAATGGACTTACCCCGTTTCTGGTCGTGCCGGTGTGCTGTATACATGAATGCCCGTACTTAACGCCCGCTGAACGATGCCGAAGGACATCCCCCCCCATAGCCAAAGTGCTCGAAGCGATCATATCCGTGGTGGAATCGATACCCCAAGCTACTGCATGGGCTATATTACACAAATTAAATTGCCAGCAGACACCGACACCTCTATCTTGGCAATGTGGTGCAAAAGAGGCACCGTTTATCCCAGTGCTCGAGGAGCCAATAAAGGTGAGAAATCTTACGTCGTTAGATCGGTTAACGACTTCGTCCCGGAAACGATGAAACAAAGAAGCTGCGCGGCTCGTTCTGTCAACTGCCATGATTGTGGGTTCAGTCCCGTCGTGGTTCGGCTCAATGATTTTAAGTCTCTCCTTTAAGGCCACTTGCACTTCTGAGCGCTGTATAACTGGTGAAACGCCCCCACAACCTGTCTGTATCACGAGCTATAGAAAACGAGCGCCTGAAACGACGTGTCTGTCCCGTGGATGATATTCAACCGATGAAGGTCGGCAATGGCAGAATCGACATAACGAACATCATCGAATCGCTCGATGTCGAAAGGCCAGGATAAAAGGTGTTATGGATAACCCAGAGATTGTCCACGAAAGGAGTACATGCGATGCTGAACCCGCTGAGCTATCACATATTGTTCAAAATATACATGAATTTATATATACACCCCCGTTGGGAGGCAGCATAGTTGTAGGGCTTCGGTGAGGATCAGGAACACAACGTGAGGTAGGAGAAAGAAGATGATAGAGCGACCGAAAGGGGGATAAAGTGCAAACAGGAAGGCCATATTTATAGATAAATGAAAAACTTAGCATGACAGGAATTTCTTTGTGAGAATGAAATACATCTGGCCAGAATGATGGCCGCTACTCTCCCGATCCTTGTCAGATAGAAATTGGTAAGCTGAGCGATTCTGTTGATTGAAAGCACCTCATTCACAATCTCCTATACTGTGCAGTTTTTCTGTAGCCCCTGAAAATTAACATGGCATGGCCAACTTAGATTAAGGACTATCCTATGAAATAATTGCAGTTCCTTCCATTGTGTTGGGGGAAGGATACTCAAGCTCGGCATTGCAGAGCATTCCAACACCACATTACCACTAGATACCACTTGGTGGACACATCTATACAAATTAACATACTAATAATATGAAATGGAATACAGAGGTAGTAGTAATAATCCTCCGGTATATTGAAGATGTCATCAATTCATACAGCCAAGCTTCAGCAAGGAATTAAAGGACATAGATAGAAAATGAGATAAGTGAACAAAATGCCTCCCGCTAAAGCCGAATTCACAGCAGTGTCTCTGTATGCGCCACAATTCTCCATTCCCCATCCGATGATTGACTCCATGTCGTTGATCCCGTGGCCCGATACTGCTCCTTTCCTCTCGAGGCATTGATATTGTAGGTAACGGTACCCGCCATGAGATCAATGATGATGACTCGGACTTCCTTCAACTCGAACGCATCGAAATGATGAAATGGGGGCTTCAGTGTTTCTTGTAGAGAAGGTTCACCGTCCAGAGTCAAGATAGGTGTTTTGGGGAATAGGAGATTGGCTTCAGAGTTGGACAGTTTCTCGATCTCGGGGCCGGGGTCAGCGGAGGTGAGAGCGGTCCACAGACTGCGCTCTTTGATGAGGAGATCCTCGCGGATGCGTTCGTGGATAGGAGCCATTTCTGCTGGTATATCCATCAATCTCAGTTGCATATATTGACGTAGGAGGGATGGATATTCGTACACACCTTGATGACGTTATGCCCTTCTAGTCCGGAGTAAGATGTGACTGTTGCAGAGTAAGATGCTTGTCTCTTCCACCTCGCTGAGAATAGTGACCTGCTTATATCCTCTCTATAGTCGTCGATAGGGATGTACCTCTTGAGCAATAAAAAGAAACTAGGTTGGGAGGGCCCATGTATGATATAGGGTCGCAACCCTTGGAAACCATCTGACAGCGGTGGGTGACGTCATCCCCCCGACCACACGTGGATGACGTGTGATGCATCTGCCCTACTTTGCGGATCGACCCAGCCAGAGATGTCATTGTCTTCGGTCATGCGATGACACTTCTTGGCTTGTACTACTTGCGCGGCCTTTACTTCCACTATCTATGGTTATCTAAAATTGGGGTGGATCCTGGAAGGCTCGGGAATCTGACGCACGCAATACATGAGAACGTTGTCTTCCCGGTCAGATGTCCCCGTATGAGTTTAGTGTGATCTAAAAATCTGTCTGCCATTGCATGAGTATATAAATTATCTTGATGGTGTGTTAATATGGATAAGATATTAGGAATAGGTTTACTGTGTGCAAGCTACACCTTGTGGTTAGACACGACGCAGCCAACAAAATTAAAACACAGTCTAGTGAGGTCTATCTCGTGCAGAATATTTACATCTAGAATTCTATTCCAAAGTGACAAGCAAAGCCTGAGGTATATCACTAGATGTGGCACGTAACAGTCATGCTGATACATGATATGGCCACGTTGACCCTTCGGCTAATGGCTCTATGGAATCTTTCTCCGAAGAAGTACAAGAAGCTCACAACCGAAGGAGAGTATCCACCCTGACTATGATTGGGATGTTTTCCGATATGACCACATCTTAATGCGATGCCGCATGTGCTACGATGTGGGCATATTGACAAACGTGACTACACGGCCATTATATTGCCCCTCAGGTGTACTACTACGTAGTATAATACGAGCTTCATCAGATTCAATACATGCCACATTCAAATCTGAAAAAGCTGAACATGAATAATAGTCATATCACCCTACGCTTCTAGGTATCGGTTCGCGTTAACTAATAATTCGCCAAGAAGAGTTATTATATTGACGTGACACCTATCGCAGCTCCAGAATAAGCTAAAAAGGCCAGACCCTTCACTATACCCCATGTACTAAACCTCTGCTGGGGTAGACCTTCCATCGCGTTGCCGAACATATTCCGAGATAAACATTAGAAAACACGGGAGTGATAAGAGACGCGACCCAAGCTTTGTATTTCAGTTTCTTATCTTTGGCCAAGGCGGTGATATGATTATCCGAACAGTTGAAATTTCAACACCAAATTCTCGTCTATAAGCAGGACCTCCAGCGGTAGAAGGATAGAAGAGCATGGACGGGGGTAAGATTGAAACTAATGCTCCTTCTTTTCACAACAATGTTTTGTCAACAACAATGAGTTTGTTACTAAATAGCCCCATGGAAGTCTATCCGCGGCCTCCGAAGATTTTTCTCGAAGTTGGTGCAAGTGTGGGCCAGATACACTCTCGGAACTAACCCTATACCTCAAGCATTCTTTTACGTTTCGTTTCCTCTACCCCGAATCCCAAAAGCGCGCCATGTTACTCTACAATCCAGCACAGACAAGTCGTGCTCTACTCTACGCTGAGAATATGCGCTACATCTTACAAATATGCCAATTGCAGTGGGGGGCATCAATATATCGTAGTAACCAAGTAACGTCATTTCCGTGGAAATTGTACCGATAAAGGACCCCATGAGAGATATCATTGGCCTGTTATCGCGATTTTGCAGACCAATCCCCGCTATTGGTGCTGATCTTTCCTGATAAGGGCATTTTGATATGATAGTCTATCGCTCTCGGCACTGATCGGCGGTTGCCGATGGATACAAGGCAAGGAGGAAAAAAAGAAGTGAAAAAAAAAAAGAAATTCCGGGAAAGGGTACCTAGACGCGACAGAGAACGTGCGATATAAAAGCCTCCCCCCGCGCAATTGATACGGCCCCAGCAAAGAATCTGCAAGTCATTCGCACCATGCAGCTTCTCAACACCATCGCTACTGGCTTGCTCCTTAGTAGCAGCTGCCTGGCAGCTGCCAACCCTGCAAAATGGCAACGCTCCGTGCCTCAAGCCCCCAAGAAGGCCGCCCCGAAGGTGTTCATTGTGTCCATGGTACGACCCCTTGCGTGAAGTGATCGGAGATGGACAATCCTAACATCTCACCAGTTTGAACCCGAAGCCGCTGTCTGGTGGGGAATCCCCGAATTCGACCTCCTGGCTCACAACATCACCATTCCCGGTGCCTCACCGGTGTTCCCTGACGTTCACTGTGCTGCCGACTACAGTGTCTGTCAGCTCATCACCGGAGAGGGAGAGATCAACGCCGCCATCACAGTGTCATCCATTGCCCTCCACCCTTTCTTTGACCTCACCCACACCTACTTCCTCGTTGCCGGTATCGCCGGTGTCAACCCCAAGGTAGCCACCATTGGCAGTGCCACCTTCGCCAGATATGCAATCCAGGTTGCCCTGCAGTACGAGATCGATCTCCGCGAACTGCCCAACAACTTCACCACCAGCTACTTCCCCCAGGGCGCCTATGCCCCCGACCAATACCCCACCAGCATCTACGGCACCGAAGTCTTCGAGGTGAACGCCGATCTGCGCGATCTGGCCGCCTCCTTCGCCAAGAAGGCCAACCTCTCCGACTCCGACTCCGCGAAGGAATACCGCAGCAAGTACAGCGCCGAGGGCTACGAAGCCGCCACCAAGGCGCCCTCCGTCCTCAAATGCGACGTCGCCACCACGGACGTCTACTACAGCGGCAAGCTGCTCAGCGAGGCCTTCGACAACACCACCGAGGTCTGGACCAACGGCACCGGCAAGTACTGCACCAGCGCCCAGGAGGACAACGCAACCCTGCAGGCCCTGCTGCGCACTTCCGCCCGCAACCTCACCGATTTCTCCCGTATCATCGTCATGCGCACCGGTTCCAACTTCGACCAGCCTCACCCCGACGAGTCTGCCCTCCAGCACCTCCGCTACGTCGATGCCGGTGGCTTCGAGCCCTCCATTAAGAACCTGTACAACGCCGGTATCGAGGTCGTCAACGGTATCCTGAACGGCTGGAACACGACCTTCAAGGCCGGTGTCAAGCCTTCCAACTACATCGGCGACATCTTCGGTACCCTCGGCGGCACCCCGGATTTCGGACCCGGACGTAACCAGGCGCTCGCAGGTGCCGGTGCGATCACTAAGAGAGGACTCGTCCGTCGCGGCCTGATGCTGGTTTAAGCCTTCATCGCAAGATCCGACCATTCGTCAAGTCTGTACGATATGAATTTACGTTAGCATAATATCTAACTTTTTTATCCCAGCGAGGCAATTATCCTTAAGATAGCTCCTCGCTTATTTTACCCATCAACGTCGATGAATGCATGAATGTACAATAACCATGAGCAATTCCCATAGACAAAAGTCCCGCACTAGAACTCCCATATAAAAGAATAAATTGCATAACCCCTCCCGCAATATTGTACTCACAAGACTAAATCCCTCAGGAAAGTGGACCCCAACATAACATAAAAATCACTCCAAGGGTCTCGTTCATCATCCACAATCGATCAGAACCCTGACCCAAGTTCCAACACCAAGGGGGCCTGGGTTCACACACCCATGGAAAGCAAGAACACCTTCCCCACTATAATCCACGTTCCTCATACGTGGCGTACGTATATCAATCAGTGTTGATTAAAGTATGCAATGCAATGAACCTCGGCCGCCTCGGGTAATTCTTTGAAGATTCATCATGGGGGCCCATGGAATATCATTACAGGTACACACGGAGTACCGTCTGCTGTAATCTCCGAGGGGCGGCTCTTTATGTGCATTGCCACAAAACCAAGAAGTTGAAATTAATGTAACCTGTCTTATGAACGTACGTCAACCATCGCTGATAAATCAAATATCTGACCTGTCATCCAAAAATAGGTTTTTTGTTTTAATAAACACGCGGTATATTGGTTGGGGGTGGGAAGTCAATGTTGACTTCCGAATCAATAGACTCTTCAAACTACTCTCTAGTCTACTCTTAGGTTTAGGATTGATCTCAAGCGAAGATGTGAATTTGCGGTGAAGAGAATAAGATTCTAGATACATTAGCTACATTCTCTGCGGAAAGGAAAAGGGAGGTAAAAAAAAAAACTAAAAAAAAAAGAAAAAGAAAAGAAAGAAAAGAAAAGGGAGGGAGATCTACAAGACGATCTCGCGATATTCAGGAGAGTCTTGAAGAAAGCCGCACGATCACCCAATTTTCTTCGTCTTCTGGAGCGTGCCCGAGGTAGTCGGTATTCGGTACGTACCGTACCTTTGACTTCCATCCAGTGGAAAGCGCAGGCACAGAAAGGCCCTAGTCTATTTCCAGGGTCTGTTCGGTGAAGATGGGTCTGTTGTGGGAAGCTGGTTCTCCTTATCACTGGACGGTGTACGAAGTACCTCAAGGACTATCCCATGGCAGCGGCACAGAAGTGCAGATCACTACGCTACAGGACACCGGGAGAGGATTGTATCCATGGAACCAGTGTACCCTACGACCCAGTTGAAGTTGCTAACAAGAAGGAAATATATCCCGACGAATGTAACGTAGGATCTATATCGGTAAATGTCAGAGGTGCGAAATTTTTTTTTTTAAAAAAAAAAAGAATAAAAACAAAATAACAACAAAAAGAATAAAAAGAACACTACAAAAGTAGTCCCAATGGCCTGGTTCCGGTTTTGTTGCCAAGCAGGACTAAAAAACTAGAATTCATTAGCCCCAAAAGAAATATACTTAACTTAGCACTTGGCGGTGGTTGTTTGCTATTTTAGAAAGGGTTTAATGAAGGTCTGACTTTTCCGCGGGCTTTGACGGCGGACTTTGCCCTAAGCGAGTGTTGGTTCCACATGGGTGGCGGTTTCTAGAGGGCTTCTAGGGGGATTATTTTCTGCATTGATCCTTGCCACGGGCAGGGTTTGTGATGTGTTCAAAACGGGGAGTTCTTTTCTTCATCATTAGATATGCCATGATTTGATAGATGTGGTAGTACAAGTCAGGCTAGAATTCTCAATTGGGTGTGAAACAGAGGCAGAGGCATGAAGTACCATGGTTCACTGTTTTGCGTTCTAAAACTTCAAAGCATCTGGCATAAGGTTGTTCGGATTGAACCGGAAACGCTTGAAATCCCTTGGAATATTTTTTTTGGCATTAGCTCGTTCATATAGAGTGAGACTTCGGATAAGGAGCTTTGTCCCCCCCGGATTATAATAAATACATGAATAGATAGGTAGTGAACAAAGGAAATCTAAGAATATACGGAGAAAACAAGAACACAACTCCCAGGTAATTTCGGCGGAGACCGAATTCCCCGCCCAGAGTCAATGGTCGTGTGGATCCATTTCAACCAGCGGTACGAAACTGTGCCTCTGGGGCCTCTTATTCGCCCCGTAGTCGACCGAGTAGGAAACCGTCTTGTTAATATGACTTTTGCTGAGCGCTTGGGCGGAGCCGAATGTGGGCGGTTTGCTGGGCGTGTTCCTCTGTTCGTAGTAGGACTGGTCGCTTGAATTGCCGAGCACCTTGGGGAAAATATGCACAAGCATCGCTCGGAATGTTGGGAGACAGGCGCACATCACGGCGATGTGGACTTCGATGACCGACCAGTGCACGATCGGTTGAAGTTGGACTGAAGTCATACAGTTAGTTCCAGTCCCACTGAATAGATCCGATGCTTTCGAAAGGCGTCGGAGTTGGGTAAATAATAGTACGTACCAGTAGGGTTGGTATTCCAGCGGTTGAACCAGAAGACAATCACTCGAGCAATTGCAACACCGGTCAGACTGTCCGTCATTGTTATCAGTACGCGTAATAGAGGCATAGAGGACGGGCAAGACGTACACAAGACCCATGGCAAACATAACGCTAACACCGGCCTTTTTACGCGCAGACAAGTTCAGCTTAAAAACCTCGTAGACCGGCATGAGCACCATGACCGTATCCACCCCGATATTGACATAGGCGTTGACGAATGTCACCGCGATGAAGTTGACACACGTCCCTTGCTCGCCGGTCGCCCATTGATCCCAGGCCAGGTGAACTGGAATACACCGCAAGGAATCAGTAAACACCCAGGTGATTCCGATCGCAGCATTCAATCCGATGATCGTGTACGCTCCATAGCGGAACAATTTCGACTGGAAGATTCGCAATAAGAACAGACACACGGAGATTTTCGCCAGCGAAATCTGCGTCTTATACAATATAACAAAGGCAAAGAAGTACTGCGAAAAATCAGTCAGGCGGCCGGGCTGCGGTGCAAGCAAGTAAAAACAAACCTTGAGCACTATTGTGATGTTGTCCAGTGGAGTTATGTCCCACATATTCTGCCCAAAGCCATAATGGATCACTAGGGTTGAAAGTTAGCCTGGAACTATCCGTGATTCACAGGTTTTGAGCTTACTCGTTGCATTGACGCCGAATATGGCTACCGCCAGGCCCTAAAAATATGTCTTAGCAAAAGTCCTAACCTGCATGAGAGCGATGATTAGCCTCACATATGCCACGATAATCGTGTAATCGTCCGGACCCCAGCCACCCCCAAGGCCCATGAATTTAGCAGCAATTCTGTTGGCGAAAAGAAGCGTAGAAAAAATGAGAGGAACGAGTGTGGCTGAGTCTAGTTCCGGACGTCCCTTATGGGGAGCTATGCCGCATTGGCGATTACTGAGTCGGGTGGTGACTGCAAGACAGTTAGGCATCGACAGAGTTTGCAAGATAACTCTAGATACATACGGAGGGTCTGTTTTGGAGTACAGCTTGTGGAAACACAATCGGTCATATTACCCTGAAATGTAGCGTCGCCGCAAAGGCATGTTGTATCGGTAGATGCGCATGACGTCGAATTATCGGCGATTAACTGGCTCTGACAGGTTACCTATGAGGGGGTCAGCAGGAGGACTTCAGGATTCTATAATCCCTCACCATACCGCGCACTCAGGTAAAGTATCTTCTGATTCTGTACTTGCAGCCGCAGCCCCAGCTGCCAGCGTTACTGAAGCCAGAAGCAGTATCCGACGCAAAAGCATTTTCAAGTGATATTATTCCCCAGGAACAGTAGGGGCGGGGGCCAAGCAAAGTGGGATCAAGTTCATTCTTTACAGAACGCCCCGTGGAGGGGAACCGCTGTCTAATATGGAGTCGAGAACGAAAGTCCCAGTTGGAAAGCTTTGATGCAGTGGTCCACTCGGCATGTGCAATGATCCTCAGCAAAATTACCCTAACTGATCCTCCGACCCGTTCACAAGAGCCCAAGATGGCTAGGTGAGCAGATCGTCATCTAGCGTCCAAGCCAGACAGGAGACCTTCCGAGGGCCTTTCAACCTTTCATCCAGTCGGGGACTCTTGGTATTTCGGGGTACGGTCCGGTATTGGACCGCAACGGTAGTCCAAATCAGATCCTTCCATGATTCGCGAATGTTAAGGTCGACGGGGATCGAGTCCAATTTCCCGAAACACTAGATCGGCAGTCGACATGTACGGTTTTGACATCTAGTGCGACTGCCGGCCCAAGAGTTGAGGTGGGTCGGGTCAAACTTGTATTGTCCCTAGAAAGCCTTTGTCGACCTGCACGGGGATCTGGCGGAAACCCTAAATAACGTTGTTTGTTAGACGTCTTTTCGTGGCGGTGGCTTCTACTTGAAACTGACTGCGCAAAAAACAAGAATGCCTTTTCGAGCAAAACATGCGATGATACCGGAATGCAGTCCATCTCTGGGCATCTCCGAACCGGTACTTTCGCCTCCACAGGCTCAACCGCTGCTCCCCCCTTACTGAGCATACCCACTTGGTTCCCCTTCAGCGTCGCTCCACCCAAACTTGCTGCTACGACAGAATTAGCAGTACTACCATTTCGACTCGGTCCGCCATCCATAGACCATTTGCCGTGTAAAGGGGACGATCGCTAGATTACGGTACTTAGTGCTGCTATAAACTTCCCTTGGCCCCTTGGGCCCGTCAGTAAGAATACTTGAAGAGTTCAGTAGAATAATCTCGCATGCAATTATTTGAATTCATGCCGGCCTAGCAATCAACTACTGGTTATTTGTTTTTCTTTTCTTGGGCCCGAGCGGCCATATGTCCGAATTCGACTTGTAATACCCCTGAAGCCCTGGTGCTTCTCTCATCCCTGCCGTTATTCCATGCAGGGGCCATTGCCATGACATCTAATTGTCATTTCGAGAAGCATACCCGGAAGCCGAGTAAACGTCCATTCGAGCATCTGTCAGTGATCCGACCGCAGGCTATGATAGGGTACTGCCGACCTTGATGCGCTCCGCTGGGAAAAAAGTAGACAGTGGGCCCAACATAGCGTTACGTTTATGCATCACCTAACTGGCTAGTTTAATTATGTGCAATTTGCTATGCTGGTTGCTCTATCTCGATTCTCCACACATCAACGTGTTTTCCTGGTTCCCAGCCTCTGCAGAAGGAAAACTCTGCAAGGACTACGTAACCGAATGTAACCCTGCTAATACCCTTATTTTGTTAAGCTTCTGATGACATGCAACTCTATTTTATGACAAGGATAAAATTAGAAGATGCACAATGGTTGCCAGATATCAAAGTGCTAGTTCCGACCAACATGCAATGCACGTGGTGGCTTTCGGAGACGGTTGGAGTTTCATAATAGCGAACCCAATCTCGTGTCTCCATGTGCGATCAAGGACAAAATGAGCAGACATCGCCTCGATTAGCGCGGTCATGGAGGGTCAGCCACTGCTGCATCTCAACTAATACGGAATACCCATCCCTATTTCCACAAATAGAGGCAAGTACAGGGGATAGTCATAGACGTCAAATCGCCAAGATCAATAATAGGGGGGGGGGCCCACGTTCTACACGCTCCGTATATAGAACAAGCATGGGTAACGTTTTTAATCCGGAATAACCCCAGGAATCATATCCATGGCTCACATATGGCCGTGCTGCATACCATGTCTATCATCAGACCCATATATATGCCAGTGATCTAGGTAAGCCTCAATGCCACGCGACACCGTTACGTATCCGCACGGATCAGACCTGAGACTTGGCCGAATGCATGTCAACATGGAGCATGGGACATGGGGCATGAGTATGGAAGAGATTGGAGGACCTCTATGCTAGACATTGGCTGTGTCAGCTCGATCCTAAAAGGAGTTGGCAAGAAGGATTTGGGGCAGCAACCGTTTCATGCTTGGCACTAAACCTCACCTGGTTAGATCAAATCCAACTCACGTGATATATTATGTTACGTAATCAATTACCCGGACTATAGATAGTCCGCAATTACTATTGGAGTCTGTACAGTCCGCCGGAGTTCTCCACCGCTCTCGGCTGAAAAACCGGTCTTTACAGAGGCGGTGAGAACATGGCATCTTCAAGACAAACAGAGCAAAGATATTGAACATCCGAATGATTTTCTATTCCATTTTGAAAACATTCCCAAAAAGCTCTACGTACTAATTCTTAATAGCTGGGTATACTGCTGTAGCACACGGAAACAGAAAATATCGAAACCATATCTGGCCATTTGCAGTTTCGCGTATCACGATTGACTAAGGAGTCACAGTCTATATACTAGTAGTATCAAGTATATATCATTGCACGTTCCTTTTATCCATCGCCCGTCCCTCTTTTATCAAATATCTTTATTCTGTCCACAGCTGTGTATAATGTTTCAATCAGATTGCAAAGCCAGCCTAAAGAACACGGCAAGAGTACTGCGACCGAAGCACAACCGTATGCCATATAGTAGGTTGCACCGAGGATGAAAGTTTGGATACGTTAGCCCTGACACCGACAATGCCGTCCTATTAGTATGATTATCGCCTTACAGAGCACTTTTGGGCAATATTGTGAAGCGCAATGACGTTGCCATCTTGGGATAATACGTCGAGAAACCTTTGGAGGTACCGTGGCTAATTTGATGAGGATATAGTGACGACGCTGTTTGCATACTTCTAGAAAAGACCCCATATCAATGCAAATGATGACTCGGCCCGACTACCTTGAGACGGTACTTTGCCTGCTCGATAGCCAAGCTCCCCTCAGGACTGTTCAATCCGACCATCCTGGCGGTGAAGCAGCATTTCTGTCTGCAGCACAGTCCCTTGCATACTTGAGCCTGGATGAAAAATAACACGGACATGACCATCACGACTGGGTCGGTGATCGTACTTAAAGGGGTTTAGCCAAATATTCATTGGAACGAGTCCTATATTGCCCTGAGTCCGCTGAAAACTATGGCTGCTCTAAACCAGGTCACAATGGGGACGTGACAGCTGATTACTGCCAAAGTCAGGAAGACATTTCAGCGCTCATACATAAGGAACCATATCCCCCGGCAGACTATCAAGACTGATACTGAGCTAAGTACTTCCTTCAGCTGTAATCTGGTCATCGAAGCCTGGTTTCCATCAGCTTTATTCAGCAATAGCCTTAGCTCTTTGTTAATATTCGTGTTAGCTCTAGCCCTAGCTTCTGAATTCCTCAAATAAGTCTAACGGGAAGTAGTTCGCCAGGGCTTGATATCCCGCTACATTGGGGTGTAGATAATCGCCCGAATCGTACTTATCCGCAAGTTGGGCCGGTACCTCAGGATCCCTAAGCACCTCATCAAAATCCAGAACTGCATCAAACACACCACTTGTCCTTATCCATTCGTTAATTCTCTGACGCGTGGCCTCCCTTATAGGATCCGAGTAGGGCTGTACATCGGAAGCGTTACCCGGCGCCCCAAAGGGAGTTATGGTCGCCCCAAACACAGGAATCCTAGCTGCGTGGAGACGAGTCACAATCTGCTGATACGCGACAATAAGTCTATCGCCGATCTTCTTCTGGACTTCTAGATCGGCATCAGCGACTCCGATGTCATTGACCCCTTCAAAGACAATGGCGTATCGGACGCCGGACTGAGCTAGGGCGTCGCGGTCAATGCGACTGATCACGTTTGGACCGAGCCCATCTGCGAGAATTCGGTTGCCTCCTGCTGCTTGGTTTAGGAGAGCGATTGATTTGGTGGTCGGGGTTTGTTGCATGCGGCTTAGGAGAAGGTCGGGCCAACTGGATTCATTAGCTGTGCTTGGGTCGGTATACTAAGTCTGTTGCTTACCGGTTATTCTTGTTGGTGTCGCTTCCTCGTCCGTCGGTGATGCTGTCGCCAATGATTGCACAGCTGCGACTCGTGGATAGGAGAAGAGCTTCAATGGCGCTGATAAAATACCTAACAATCTGTCAGTCCCATATGCAACGGGGTAGTGCAAGCAAGGTCACTAACCAATGATCGACACTCTCTACTGAAGAATCTGTTAGATTCTGCTTTCCGACCCAATCACCCAAGCTCATCCATGACGTTGTTCTACTTCCTGGATGGGAGGTGATCGCACCTCCACTCTGACCCTGTTGCAAATAGATGTCGATAGTGAGCGTGTCTTGCGCTTTCACTGGGAATGTAATGGGGTCTGAAACGACTAAACCTCCATTCGGGATAACTGCGTCTACGACACCACTGAAGAGAACATCCCTCGTGGTATTGCGTTGGATCGCACTCGTTCCGAGCTTCTGGTCTATGGGGAGACTGATGGCAACCTTGGTAATCGAAAGATCTTCAAGGCCGAATGCGTTGGACAAGCGTAAGCGAATCTCATGACCTGGTTGTGTGACACGAATGGTCTGGCGGATGGTAGTGTTTTGAAAGATGGACGTTGAGGAGTTCTAACAGTGTTAAAGACTGAATGTCGCATCCCTGAGAGTGCTTCATACATATGGAGGTGGTGGTAGATTGGCTGGCTCAGTCAACTGAGGCATGGCGGTCCATATGCTAACCCAGTGGGTGTCCGCATTGAGGAAGTCTGCATTGTTGCGTCGGCCTACCGATGAATCAAGAGGATAGGACCAGGCTCTGCGAAATAGGAGGAGTACGGAAAGAATGCGATGGAAAATATGTAGTAACATGATTGATGTTCGAACTGTGATATCTGCTACACAATATGTGCTAGTCGTATACTCTACCGCCAGAGCTTGAGTAGCCTATATATACTCAGAAACTAGAATCCTGGGGTAAATCTTCAAGCCTATTGTACACCGCGAAGCCGCTAAATCTCCATTCCCCCGGATTTCCTGAAGCTTTGAACCGGCTAAACCGGGTAAATAGCGCCTCCTTTCACATATATCATTCGAAGAACCAGTCACAGCTGGTTAAAGGAAATCCTGTTTGGTCTCCTTACACGTAGCGACCGGCAAATCTGTGATCGACACGGTGATTGTTTCTCCGCAAATAATCGGCATGAACTTTTCCTGGGGTAGCAGTGCCCTAATCGGGATATAAATACAGCCCACACCCACAGATAGAATTGTTCACTTTTATAATGCATAGTATATCATAGCATATTTACTAGATGGAGGATCCACAGGTATAAAAATGGTTTCTACAGAGCATTACTTTATGACTGCTTATGCTGGTCCACAGTTATCTCCGCAAACTCCGTGATGAAGCGGGGAACCATCAGAAGATAAATGCCTCCTCTTCTCCAAGCCACCAAGTTTCATCTGTCGCATTGAACGCTAGCCAATATAGACAAAGCTATCATGTCGGTCTTCCAAACCCAGAAAACCGCGCTCATAACCGGTGCGGCCTCGGGAATCGGTTTCGCGACCGCCAAGCTCTGCCGCAGTCGGGGGATGCACCTTGCGCTGCTCGATATCGATGCTGCCAACCTTCACAAAGCGAAAGAAGAACTCGCTGCCGTTGATCCTTCTCTCAAGACCGAGTCATATGAGATCGATGTTGGTGATAAGAACAGGTGGTCTGAAGTTGCAACTGCCATCAAGTCGGTATTCAGGGGAGTGGACCTCGTCTTCTTGAATGCGGCAAGGCCACAGAGAGCGCAGAGTCAGTATGTAGGAAAGATGAAGCCTTGGGCGGATGTAGAGTCATGGAAGAAGGTCTGTATAACTGTGTCGTGTTTTGAAACAAGGGGGCTGGACTGATCGGCACAGACATTCGATACTAATGTCTTCGGACCGCTGAACGGCATCGAGGCCATTCTTCCGTTGCTTCTGTCAACCGACACACCGAAGTCCGTCGTTATCACAGGCTCCAAGCAAGGAATCACAAATCCTCCAGGAGGTGGTGTTCCAGCATACAATGCCTCCAAGGCCGCCATCAAGAGCCTTACGGAGCACCTTGCTCATGATCTTCGGTCGGATCCCGCAACTGCACATATATCTGCACATCTGTTTGTCCCTGGGTGGACCTGGACTGGATTGATGGGTAATGTTGGGCCTACACAGGAGGAGAGTGTCAAGAAGATGGCTGGGGCGTGGTATCCTAGTCAAGCTGCGGAGGTACTGGTCGATGGAGTGGAGAAGGGATCGTTCTATATTATCTGCCCCGATGGAGAGACCGATTGGCCATTGGATCAGGCTAGAATGCAGTGGGCTAGCGATGATGTTGTGGAAGGGCGACCGGCGTTATCTCGTTGGGAGGCGAGTTGGAAGGAACGAGCGGAAGCAGGCATTCGCACTGATGCTGAGCAACGGAGAAAGTAGGTGTGGTACATTATGTTTCGAGCAACTTGGACGGATTATTAGTGGATGTCCTGGCGTAATACAGTCAAAACGTTGTTGATGTTTCGGATGTTGTAAAGAGTGTAAAGGCTTATTTTTGGCCACCGGGTTCCATTCAATCACTGGATCTACTTCCGCTTTTGGACACAAACCCTAAGATGCAAGTGAATGAGAGTCAATTATTCACCCATAGAACAATAAGAACGGACGCAATCCTCAAAATATCTCGTAACGAGAAACTTAACAGGCATTGCATGGATTTATTACACGGCGTAAGACACTGCCGAGGGTAGTACCGTACTAGCAAGATTAAGTTGCCGACAGCATTCCAATTGATAAGATACCAAATCACGGCGGCGCCGAGACGTCGGCCAATGCAACCTATGTAACGTCGACGATCGCCGCATTCGTGCAGCAACGAGAGAGATGCGGAGGTTAGCGTGGGGGTGGCCTCCGTCTTTGGCCCTTTGGAGGTCAAGGCACAGGAGTTACAGTCGCTTATCATCGTCTTCTTCTGGTAAGGTTGCGACCCTGCTGCGCTTATCGCCCATGACGATGATACTCTGCCTTCCGACCTGCATGACGATGTGAGGAGAAGCTTTTTAAACCTGCAGCGTTTGCGAGGGTCACAAAAACTTGAACAACCTGCATCCCTTGCATCAGGTCGACTCTGTTCTTTGCCCGTTCTTCTATTCCCTGCCTCCCCCATCTTCCTTTCCCACCGCTGGCGGCAGGACCATGGCGTCGAAGAGTGTTCCTTCATCTGACCTGGAGCGACATGATACGTTCAAGTCCGGTGGACGGAATCATTCCCTAGATGATAACGGTACTAACAAGTTGGGTGCCTATGCATCTGCGCCAGGTGTAGTCGAAGATGTAGTCCGAGTGGTTGATCATAAGGCTGAGCGAGCTTTGTGTCGTCGATTTGACCTGCGATTGCTTCCAATATTGGCCGTTATGTGTAAGCCTCAACAAGAATTTTATGAAGCTCCATACTGATGAATTAGATCTGTTCAATGCTTTGGATAAAGGAAATTTGGGAAATGCCGAAACCGATAAAATGAGCGAAGGTAAGGCCCATATTCGAATATTCGCTATCCTCCACTAATTGATAGATCTCAACTTCAAACCCAACCAATACAACCTCCTCCTGTCCATATTCTTTGTCCCATATGTCATTTTTGCGCCGCCGTTCGCGATGTTGGGTAAACGGTATAGCCCGGCCCGAGTGCTGCCCATCCTCATGTTTAGCTTTGGCTCTTTCACCCTCCTATCGTCTGCGACCAAGAATTTTGGTGGGATGTTTACACTCCGGTGGTTCCTCGGAATGTCCGAGGCAGCATTTTTCCCGCTAGTGATCTACTACCTGACGACCTTTTACCGTCGCGGTGAGCTCGCCAGACGACTCGCCATCTTCTATGCGGCGTCCAATATCGCCAATGCCTTCTCCGGCCTGATCGCATTCGGCGTATTCCAGATCAAACACTCCAGCATTCCCAATTGGCGCTATCTCTTCATCATCGAGGGCGGAGTAACCGTGCTCTTCTCCATCTTCGCATTTTGGTATCTCCCCCGCAGCGCATCGGAAGCCAAGTTCCTCTCAGACGACGAGAAAGCCCTCGCCTTGCATCGCATCCAAGTCGATTCGAGCGCGGTAGTGAACGAAGAATTTCGCCTCCGCGAAGCCCTCGGCATCTTCAAGCACCCCAGCACTTATGTATTCCTCGGCATTGAAATCTGTCTCGGAGTCCCCATCCAAGGTGTCGCGCTATTCTTACCCCAGATTGTCCAGCGACTGGGCTACAGCACCGTCAAGACGAACCTATACACAGTCGCTCCAAACGTTACCGGCGCAGTCATGCTACTGATCCTGGCATTCTGCTCCGATGGAGTCCGTCTCCGCTCGCCTTTTATCGTCCTTGGTTTTCTACTCACATTCGCCGGGTTCATGATCTACGCTTCCATCAATGACGTCCAAGCTCAGATCCGCGTCGCGTATTTCGCGACATTTATGATGACCTGGGGGACTTCGGCTCCGTCTGTGTTGCTGAGTACATGGTACAACAACAACATCGCGCACGAAGGTCGCCGTGTGCTACTTACCAGTATCGGTGTACCACTGGCCAATTTGATGGGTCTGGTAAGCAGTAACGTGTTCCGCAGTCAAGATAAGCCCAAGTACATGCCGGCATTGATCACGGTTGGGGCGTTTGGGGCTACCGGTGCCGCATTGGCAGGGTGTCTGGGGGCTTACATGTGGTTTGATAATAAGAGGCGCGACCGGAGAGATGGAGTGACGGTTAGAGCGCAGGATGTGCCTACCGAAAGGTTGAGGGATGGTCCGGCCAGTCCTGAGTTCCGGTGGTTTCTGTGAATGTTCGCTTTATGGCAATGGAAATTGTTCTCTGATATCTTGCAGCGTTGGTGTCCATGGGTCATGTCTTGCTGTTATTGAATTTGTATTTCCAGGCGCTGTTTTTGGGAACGATCGCTTGTTGTACGTTTGAACGAGTCTTTACGAAGCATAAGGTTTTTTAAGTAAAGTCATCTTGGACTACTATCGAGCCAGGTTTCTCAGTACATATTGAGTATACAAAAGTGCAGACACGTGATGCTGTTTGTTCCAGTCATCTGACCATTACTGGATGTGCAACTGGCGAGGATCTCAGATTGTACACCAACTACACTAATCCAACCACCGGTGCTTCGCAATAACCTTCGCAAATAATAATCCCGTCCAGCTTTTAAGTTAAGGTTATCTGGTTGCTAAATATGCCTGTGCTCCCAGTCTAGAGAGGTCACGGTACAGAGTACAGAAACCTACATATCTATACGCCAGGTATGCCAGGCTTGCGACAGCCATTGAGTTGGAGAGTATTTAGTTATGGTTTTTATAATTAGTCAACGATTAAGATGAAGAAACCCCTCACGATATCTCTAGCTTCTACTCCACTTCTCCGCATGTAACGTGGGGGGACTCTCATCCCCGGATCTGCAGAATCCGGAGAATGTGGACTATCCATCAACCACCGACTCACCGAGTCGTATTATTTACTAATATTGCTTGTCTAGGGTAGATATTGGCACGATGGTCAGTGCGGAATGTTACCGTGGTACCGCTCGGTATGATACGAACTACGGTTTGCTTGAGAAACCACGTCAAGATTATGTATCTCATTCTTTCTGGCGGGATTGAGATTCAATGAACATGTGAGGCAAGCCTCTGATGTGACCTGTCGATTTAAGTTTTTAATTAAGACTCCTTCCGAATATGTTTAACCTCGGGTATCCAGTGATTTCATCTTCTATTCTGACCCGCGTCCTACTTCAATTGGTAAGTAACCCCTGTGGAAAATCAGCCACGGTTTGCTCCAGGTCATCTGCCACACATAGATTGGGTTGTGACCGGTCCCATTAACTTTAATAACAGATGTGGGAACTCCTGCGTTGGGTTACCCGGTGGCAGTGGGAGCACAACAAGTGTGACAAATTCCTTACATGCATGAGTCTAGACGTATACTTGGCCTGTACGAAGACGAGGGCTACCTTGATGTGATGAACATCGGCCAAATCGGTCAAAGAAGAAATTATATTCGTGGATGATCCACGTACTCAATGGACTAACAAGATAAAACCTGGTGATAATTCACAGCATCACGCCCATACCAAGGTGTCCATCGGTGTCCCATTTGATGCGATCGAAACCATTCCAGGCTGACTGACGGCCACATCCAGCAATGCCGGCCCTCGACAGCGTAATAACCAGTAGATAGCGTCTGGTAGTTCTTCAACCCGATCGCATCGTTGGCCTTGGCAGCCCATGCTCCTGGCCAGGCGATCGAAGTCGGGACTCATTCGGGAATCACAGCAAGCTTTCATACCGTACTCCCTCTGCAATTGAGACAGAATGACTTGCTGCCGATTGTTAAACACAATCACCTTGATCTGTACTTGATGTAGCAACGCGGTCATGAGCTCTTCCATCGTGGTGCAAAAGGAGGCATCCCCGTCCACGGCAATGACTTGTTGATCGGGGAGGGCTAGCTTGGCCCCAATGGCCGCCGGTACGCCAAATCCCATCGTGGTCAGACTGCCAGAAGTGATCAGAGAATGTCGATGTGTACACCGGAAATGTTGGGACGTCCACATCTGATTCTGACCAACGCTGGTGGTCATGGTAATGCTGTTCTTCATGGGAGTCGTTTGGCGGTTGAGCTCGGCCACAACCTGTTGGGGGGACGGGCGATGTTTTGCCCTCCTCATCGGCTCTTCGAAGGTATACAACTTTTTCCAAAGCTGGATTTGGTCCAGCCATTGAACTCGATCCTCCACGGGAAGTAAGAGGGAGAGTAAAACGGGTAAGGTCTCCGACAGGTCGCCGAGAATGATCTCTGTCGGTTCGATGACTTTCCCAAGTTTACCTGCATCGATGTCAAAATGTACAATGCCTCGCCCTCCGCCCTCCCTATCGAGGGCTTTAGGCGCAAACCCGTCTGCATTCCCCACTGCACGTTCATCCAGTCTGGCTCCGATCACGATAAGTAAGTCGGCATTTTGGATGGCGCAATTGGCATACGGGGCGCCATGTGTACCGATCATGTGCAAGGCCTCTTCGCGGGTTTCATCGAAGGAACCCAGACCGAGCAGTGTGGTCGCAACCGGGATCTGAGCTTTGTTAGCTATCTTGGACAACAGCTTACACCCGCGTGGCGACGCGAGGACCCCGTTTCCTGCACAGATCACCGGATGCCTGGACTGGTTAATCATGTCGGCCACCTGGACAATTTTCTCATATAGATAGTGAGCGTCGGCTATGGGCGAGGCAACGCGGCAAGCGTTCCCATGCACTTTCTCAATCATCAGCGACACGCTCGGTACCGCCTCCAGGGCATGCGAGTCAAAGACCGCTTCCCCGATTCCAGAAGAGATGTCTAAGAGGGTCGGCCCTGGCTGTTTGCCGGTGGCATGAAGAAATACCGCATCAATTGCACCAGGTAAATCGCTCAGTCGCTGCACACGTGCACGCCATTTCATACATGCCCCGAGCCGTTCCATGGGGGTTCCCTCCTGGAGGGCGTTGTTTTCTTGAGCGGCAGGGACCTGGCCACAGATCACCACCATAGGTGTCCCATCCAGAAGGCCATCCAACATTGGACTGATTACGTTGGAGCTACTGGGGTCCGTGCTCACAAAGACGACACCCGGTCTTCGGGTTGCCTTGGCGTAGCCCTCAGCCATGTGGCCGGCACCTCGTTCATGACGCGAGGGAATGAAGCGAATCACAGGAGAATTATACACATCCCGGAACAATGCGAGTGTCCCTGCCATTGGGTGTGCAACTAAGAAACGAATTAGACGGGGGCCCCATATGTCCTAAAACAGGTCACTTACAGATGTGGTCCACACCATGGCTGATGAGACGTCGGTGGAGGATCTCTCCACCCGTAAATCCTAGAAGTCCCTCCATCTCATAAGAAATAATAGTTCATTACGTAGAATGAAATGTTATACAGAGAATAGGACAGGACAGGACAGGACAGGAAAGGGGGATGTGCAAGGGTCACCCGGCCTGCTTATATGGTGGACATGGGCAGGGCTGCCTGACTCCTCCGGTGCTTTATTGGGGAACTACTGTACAAAGACAGTGGCCTACGCCTTACAGTGAGCGGCATGCCTGAGAATAAGACGATATAAGACTAGAACCAAGGGGCGGGCCTAATAGCCGGGCTCCACTTGGCGGAGATCAAGTAGTTGAAGCTCATTCCCAAAACGGGTAACAGCCTCGCGGGCGGTATCTCAAGAGTCTTACCAAATCGGTTAACATGGCTTTGCCACCATGCAGACTTTCAGTTTAACACCAGTATCCTAATGCTTCTTAGTAGTAGAACCGGAAAAAATAGGGACGACTCTTCACCGCTATCCCTTGCTGGGTGCATTAACCTCGATTCCTATCAATTTCTTGGCCAGGAGTGTTCTGATGCAGGTTTTTGACGTGATGCCGGACCAACCTACTCGCCAGGTACTCGCGCATGGTGACCATGGCCTTGGAACCGTTGTTCACGTATTTAAATAGAGGAAGGTCATGATCGATGGTCAAGTATATATCACTTTACTCCGGAACATCGATCGCGCAACGTAAACGCAACGGGATACCTCTCCGTTCCTATGATCGCCCACGTGAAACCAACCCTGACCAAGAGCCTCCCGTCTCTGGCAATGCCAACCTTGCACACGGCACTTGCACCTCTTCTACCCTCAAAGCAGAATGCTTTGCTCTCAGTCCGTGTGGACGGTGTGTTCAATCAGGTGGCCTTCCGAGTGATTCCTGCGCCGCCCAGAGAACAGCCGCCGCTATTTAACTGGTCGAGACGCCAGCAACTACAATCTGCCCATAATGTTCGGGGCCTTCTCTTTGGATTCTGGTCGCCTGGGTGTAGCAATGGATTCAGCGTCGCGGGATTTCATTTACATTTCATCGCTGATGATCGCACCGCCGGAGGACACGTTACGGGGTTCGAGGCCTGGGACGTGAAGCTCTCTGCGGGAGTTCTGAAGGAGTACGGGGTGGAGTTGCCCCAAGAGGAGGACTTTCTTGAAGTCCCAATCCGCAATTACGAGGAGGATCAAAACCTTCGCTGAAGGACATTGAGGGGGTTTAGCTAAATGTCCTTGTGAAGTTGTTAAACACCAACTGACGTAAATTGGCATGTTACATCTCTCCAGCGCATTATTTTTGGATGCTGATCCGAATGTAGCTAACAGAGATCAATATAGCACTTGATATATTCGTTATTATTTATGGCACCTGGAAGGGATCAGTCAATACGACATCATTGCCCTTTGCCCTACTGAGATAAGTAACCGCACATGATCGTGTTGAACATGTCAACTCAACCAACCACAATCTCTCGCGCGGCCGGCATGTCTTCTCCAAAATGCCATGTTATACGCTGAATCACTCGCGATGGATCTCGGCATTCTGCGCAGTGGGGCAACCCACCCCATGGTGACGTTGGGACATTATTAAGCGTCTCCAAAGAATTTCTCCAAAGAGATTCTCCACGCTTCTCTCCCCAAGATTGAAGTTGAAATTTCCCTTCAACTGCAAAATTTTTGTAGCCAACGAACCCCGCGATGGCATCCATCAAGCAGTGGACGACTCCCTTGAAGGGAGTGGATTCCCTCAAACTCACCGAAGCCCCCAAGCCCGCTCCGGGCAAGGGCGAAGTCCTCGTTGAGATCCACGCCGTGTCGCTGAATTACCGCGACGTCGAGGGTACGGTTAGCGCATCCCTCGCCGGCGCTTCACAAAAAAAAAAAAAAAAAAAAACCAGCTAACACTATGACTCAGTAACTAATGGCGAGTACACCCATCACAAGTCCGTGGGACAAGAAGAGAGCATTGTGCCATGCTCCGACATGTGCGGCGTCATCACGCAGGTCGGCGATGGCGTCCGCAGTTGGCAAGTCGGCGATCGCGTTCTCTCTACATTCCTCCCAGACCATCAGACCGGGCAAGTTACGGAAAAGGAACTGTCGCGGGGGATGGGTCTGCCCCTCGATGGGGTGTTGGCGGAGTACCGAGTATTCCCGGAGCATGCGCTGGTCAAAGCGCCAAACTACATGAGCGATGAGCAGGCCGCCACGCTTCCTATTGCGGTCGTGACGGCATGGATGTCAATTAATGGTATGCGACCTATGGGAGAGAACGGAGGACACGGAGAATATATCCTGCTGCAGGGAACGGGCGGTGTCGCCATTGCCGGGCTGCAAATCGGAAAGGCTTCCGGTGCCAAGGGTGCGTTTGCTCACCTGCTGCTTCTTACCCTTTTTTGTTGTCTTTGTGAAAACCCCCTCGCTAAAACATCAGCCCAGTCATTATTACCTCCTCCTCCGACTCCAAGCTCGCCCAAGCCAAGGAACTCGGCGCCGACTACACTATCAACTACCGCACCCATCCCAACTGGGAAGAGGAAGTGATGCGCCTCACCCACAACCACGGCGCCGACATCATCCTGGAGGTTGGTGGCGCCCAGACGCTGAAGAAGAGCTTTGACTCCGTCGCCTTTGGTGGGTTGATCAACTGCATCGGGTATGTGTCCGGCAAGGTGGACGCGCCGGATGACCGCATGAACGTGAACCTGCTGGCGCTGCGGAGGAATGTCACGCTGAAAGGGATCATCAACGGACCCAAGGATCGGTTCGAGGAAGCGGTGAGGTTCTATGAGAAACATCAGATTCAGCCTGTCGTTAACAAGGTGTTCTCATTTGAGGAGGCCCACGAGGCATTTAAGTTTTTGGCTAGTGGGAGCCATTTTGGGAAGGTTGTTGTTAGGGTTAAGTAGAGGGATAGAGATGAACATGAATGAATGAAGTGATACAGATCGCGTCCAGCTTGAGGACCACTATGACGAAACTTCCTCAGGAGATATAAGTGGGGATAAGGAGATGCGTTCAGCAAAATAGTCACACTGCAGATGCTTCTCAAACTATTAAAAATGTAAAGGAACCTAATTTATCTACTAGACCCATTGTACCCCCGATGATGATAATAATAATAATAATAATAATAATAAAATAAAAAGTGATCCAAGGATAGAGAGACGTCATTACGTCTGGGCTTTGAGAAACGGAAGGCCTCTTTCTTTATGCACAATACGCACTAGCTATTGCATTCAAGATGAGGTTTGTTCATTCTATTTCGTTTTCTTATTGCATCATACATACAATTAGGAACAAAATAACAGTAACACGATATATCAAACTGGTATAGGTATATATGTATATATATAACAGAACAAGATCATTTGCATCAGGACAATGTGGTGCCTATTTATAAGGTCTGTACTGGTGTCCTCAGGCAACGCCGTATTGCTGTGCTGACGAAATGATGTCCAACATAGGATTACTCGCAGCGTCAGAATTTATCTTTCGCTGCAACTTCGCCTGTTTCTCATCAGACAGATGGCCGACACAGGTCGGGTCCAGCCTAGAGTTCAGATCTTTGTTATGAAATAGGCGCTGGAGATGGGCAGGGTTATGCGCCCCTTTTTGTTGAGGAAGACGTGCATGCTGAATGAAGTCCTTGAGGCCTCCAATCGTTCCAGGGTACCGTCGCAAATGCTGCAATGAAGGGTGTGTCATAGCGGCCTGCATGAAAGACAGTGTCAGCTCCACCCACATGAATGCATCATCCGATGAAAGACTGGCAGAGCCACGCCGAAACTCGATTGTTTTGAAGGTTTTTAGTGACAAGAAATTCCAGCCAAAGTATTTGGACTGGTTAGGATTCATGATGTCAATTATTTCGTCGGTCGTAGTCTTGCTTTCCAGGAGGGCAATGGACTGTTCCCGTGACAGGTTCAGATATCCGAATCTGGGATTGTCCAACCAGTTACTCCTTGAGTACTCATTGCCTCGCCGTGCCGGCGGAACAACAGCTTCGAAGGCAGGCTGAAAATGAATAATGGCTTGTGCAATGCCCTTGACATCACTGGTTGAGAAGCCCTCCACTCGTGATATATGTACGTGTGTACTGCAGTCCGCATTGCCACTGGCGAAGTAATGTTGCTCTATGAACTCCCACAAGGCCTCGACATTTCGTTGCCACTCCGAGCCCGGACACCATTAAAGTAACGGAGATATGATTTCGATGCCCCCTATCCATAATGTTAGCGCTGTCCAATTATCTCATATTTCAGCTGACTTACAGGGCTCTGTCCGGGTCTCACATGTAGGATCATGATGCAAAACCCATTGGGTATGAGGGATTTCTACCCACTGTGCCTGAACTAGGCTATGCATCCTTGGGTATATGCTGGGAGTCTCGCTATTGTAGATTGTGGCACAATTTCGAGCAAAGCGTGGAAATGTATTGTCAGTCGCAGATGGTTTAACACGGCTCTGTAAAAGAAGCTCCATTTCAATGCCAATGCCGAAGCTTCCTCGCGGCGGTGGAGACGATTTGCGTGCAACAGGAGCCTTTGCTCCACCACGAGGCTGATAAGGAGGCAGCCGAGGAGGTGGTGGCGGGGGCGGGGGAGGATGAGAGTGAGTAGAGGGGGGCATTAGTGTCAATAGGCAAAGATAGCTGGACGTCTAAGAGCAGCAAAAGTTAAGAGCTTGTTAATTCATACAATCATACCCGGAACTTGGCCTCCTTTAATAAGAAGGCCCATGTGTACGGCAAGCCAATGCGGCCAGTCCGCATTTATGCGTTTTCCTATAGTTTTTGGCTGAATATACTCAGCCGCCTAGTTAACGTATTCGGTAAGCACCCTGCGCACGCAAGTACCCTGCGCAGCTCTGTATTCCATACTCAAAGAAGTATTGTTTATATAAGGCCCTCTACTTAATATATCAAATACTAGGTACTATTATATACTCTATATAAATTTTGGATTGTAATACCTTGTGGTTGGTGAGATGTTTAAGTAGTAAAAAGGGCCGATTTGTATGGAATACAGAGCTGCGCAGGCTACTTGCGTGCGCAGGGTGCTTACCGAATACGTTAACTAGGCGGCTGAGTATATTCAGCCAAAAACTATAGGAAAACGCATAAATGAGGACTGGCCGCAATGGCTTGCCGTACTTATATTTTCTGGCAAACACTTAATTCAGCGGTGGAGAGAGAACAAGACTCGCCAACAGCCGTTATAGCCGCCGAGATTTTGAGTCTATAGGAAAAGAGCAATAACCGCCACGAGGTTGAAACACTCCCTGAGGAGTCTAAGAAGAACTATGCCTAGATTCGACATAAGAACGGTTCCAAGCAAAGACCAGCGTCTAGCCTTACAGTGGCATCAGTGACTCCTTGGGGTATATGGTAGATGTCCGCGTAAGGCTGCGCACGCCCGTGAAACCCAAGATTGCAGACAAAATACCTTGTGATTCAACTGCTGAGGAGATTTGGTCGAATATGCTCACCTATAAATCATCATGAGTAGCTAAGGCCTTTCTTACGTGGTATGATATATATGGGAGTGGGTACTAATGTTTGGGGAAAACGACAGCCAAGATCCGGCAGAACCATCGACCTGGCCATAAGCGGTTAGTGCCTCTCGCTTTCGGATTTTGCCCCGTTCGTACCGTTTCCTAAAATAACCTTCCATCAAGGCCTCATCTCCAATCGTTAGTTCCCAGTTGACGCCGCCCGTATATCGACTACTAGCTAACCCGCCAGGCACCTGGTATTATCGCGTCCTATTTTACACCTGCCACTCAGAGCGGAGTGAATCTAGGGCCCCATTCAAGCCCCCTGTCGTGGCTGTTAAATCTCACTAAGCTTGTCCTCTTCGTCAAGTTTACCTCCAATCCCACATCCCTTTCTTAATCTACCTAGATATATCACACCCAACAGTTCCTCAGCCTTTCACAGAGTATTGCCTTAATCTCCAGCAGAATGTCACACGGATCAGAGGGTCACACAAGTCGAAAGTTTTCCAGTCTTTTCCCGGCAACGGAGGCGCCCATGTCGCCGTTTTATGCCATGCTCCAGTCAGCGCCACCAGATTATCTACTGCAACGCGAAGAGCCGCGCGAATACCCGCCTGCTTTTCCCGTGTACTATTTCTTCTACGGGACACTAACAAAACCGACTCAGCTCCAGAGGATCATCGACCTTGAGGATGAGCCGAAGCTTCGCAGGGCCGAGGTGATTGGTTACGACATCGCGAAATGGGGCGATTATCCTGCCTTGGTCAATGGGAAACAGGGCCAAGTTGTTTCGGGGTATGCATACCTCGTAATGTCCGAGGAAGAGGCTCGCAAGCTGGCCGAATATGAGACGAGGGCATATAAAGTTGCGCCCTGTTGGATATTCTTTCAGGATGGGGAGGAGCCGAGGGAAGAAGGTGGGAAAGTGTTTATGTATGCTGGTGATGCACAGGCATTGTTGGAGGGGAGGTTTGATCGGGTGCTGTGGGAGAGACAGATGGGTGGGAGATTGGGGTGATGGGAGTTGGTTTTGTACGGGAAACTTTGGTTTTCTGGGCTGGCGTCTTTCCTTTTTTTTTTTTTTTTTTTTTTTTTTTTTTTTTTTTTTTTTTTGTAAATTTTATGACTGTAAGTATTTCGATCAGATACTTGCGACGACAATTTTTATGAATGACCTGGACTTGGCAATTCACTAAGTAGTGGCATTTGTTCATACAAGAATGTGGTCACGATTATCTCCTACAGGGACTTTTTATTTCGAACAGGCGATCCCAATACAAGGAACAAACATACAATTTGTAATTGAGAGGATCGTCAACTTCCATAATCGCAGCTTGATTGCCGCATCCGTAGCAGTAGTTCGGAGCTAGAGTGCAAATGATCAACCTCCTAACGCCCCATGATATTTTCACTGGAGAAACAGTACCCGAGAACACAGTGGCCACGAGTTAATCATGGGACCAAGGGTAACGGTCCATCACCATTTGATGCGCTTTGGCCACAAGGCTCAAGCCATTAGCATGGTTGAACGCTTGAGGCGTCCTGGCCGAATGTATACCCTGCTCCACGAGGAGAAAAGCCTCACCCATCTCTTTCGTCGGGGTCACTCCAGAGAAGATCACACATAGAGCCGCTATGGGGAGGTTCTTGCTCTCGGTCTATTGCGCGAATGTCATCAAGATGACTGATAGAAGGGCTGAGCCCTCCATGTAGACAGGGGATTTGGCTCTCAATCAGAGTGGTCAGAGGCAAGTAGTCGAAGAGACCTGTACAATATATCCAAACGTTGGCATTGCCGTATTTACGGAGACATTCGTCGTACAAGCCATAGACCTGAGTGACCTGGCGAGATTCACGATTCCCACGAAGGGTTGTGATGCGTTTCGGGTACCGTATCTTCAGAGCAATGAGAGATACTGATTCAATGGAATGATGGCCACAGTCGACATAGCCACCTGGAATAAATCGAAGACGTTGCGTGAGCGTGGTGCTCACGTCTACAATAGTAATGCTTCAGCCAATGTCTTGCCCTTAAAGAGGTAGTTCGTGTCTGGACATGGTCCACTAAAACGAAACAATTCTATGAAGTCGTGATATTCATCATAATCATTCCATCCTCAACTCATTAAATCATAAAGTTCCCGGAATTTCTCCGTGATTCAATCTTATCGAGTGATAAGTCTGTACCCCAATATGGCGACAGCGAGCGCAATCGCACATTTAAGCTGGGTTCTGAAGAATCTCCTATGTTCGAGCTCACTGGTCATCTCATCCAAAAGCTTCATCAGCTCTTTTGCTTCGTTTCCATTGAAGGTATTTGGAACAGAAGCCCCAATTCTGACACCGTAGATCTTAGGTGGCGCCCACCTTTCTCCTCTTTCTACTATCCCTTTCTGGCTTGCCAGGGATTGTCTCAGTGACGCAATGCTTTTCATTGTCATCGCCTTCCGAGTGGGAGAGGACGTAAGGAAGACAATCAAGCAGTCGTACCTCCCCCGCTCCAAAGCCGTCTCGATCAGCTGCTCTGCATCTTTCGCCTCTAGTTGATTTGGCAGCACGTGTCTCAAAAGAAGCTCAATAACAGCGGGTGAAGAAATAAAAACGCTATCGGACAGCGCGCAACCATAGAAGCCGCGGAACATGTCATGAACGTGCCGCAGCCAATACAGCCGGCCACGCCTCACCGGATTTGCGCCATAGTGCAAGAGCAGTTTGATGATTTCCAAGTCCTTCGACCCTTCACCCACGGCCTCCTCGAGAGGCGTCTTGTCCCACTCACCTGGCATATTCACATCTGCACCAGCTTTTATCAGAACATTTATGCATTCGCGCAATTTCCCCTGGACCGCAACGACCAATAAAGTCTCCTCCCCATGTGTCTTCATGTTGGGGTTAGCTCCGTGTTGTATGAGCACACCGGCAAAATTGGCCAGTTCGCTGTCTGATTTGAAGAGCCTGGCTCTGCGTAGAGCGTAGTATAGGGGCGTTTTTCCCTGTCGGTCACGGGCTTCGAGGCTCTCGACCGTGATCGGGGTTCCCTGGAGGTAATCCTCTGTGGTGCGAAACAAGCCTTCACCGCAAAGGAAATGGAGGCGAGTGGCATAGTGGCTGCAGTCTGTTCGGATCCCAATATGGTCCAATGCCGTAGGGCTTCCCGGTAAACAGCCCCATTGGCCGACCAGACCGGTTGTCTTCGTGAGAGGGGAGGAAAGGAGAAAGTCCACGGTCATCCCGGACGCCTCTGCGCTTCTTGCATGATAGCCAAGAAACTCATACGCGTACGGCGTGAAACTTAATTTCCCCGTGTCCACAAGTTCCTCAAGTTCTGGAAAGTTCAACATTCCCAAGTGACCCTGGACCATTTGCGGAAGCAATTGCAGCTCGTTCACGTTGAGATACGTATAGCAAGCTTTGGCAAGTGCACAGTGTCCTTGTCCAGCGTAATTGCTAGCCGTCTGCCCGTCCAAGAAGCCGAATCCATTCTTTTCAGTAAAAAAATCGCGAACCGAATTGTGAACGGTTTCCAGGATGTAATTCCGAGGGTCGCAGCGGTCGAGAGGCACTGGTTCCCATGACCCGTCCAAAAACATCCGCCACAGGCTGTTGGAACCACTGTCAAGTGTCTGCGGATCAAGGTCCGCAGTGACGTGGAACTGTATGCCACGCTCCCAGTCAACGAGCTGGAGAAGTTGAGTCCAGTCAAAGCCTTGGAGAGCTTGCTCCTCTACTCTTTCCTCGTCTTCTGGTCCCCCTTCCTCTGCTCCAGAGTCTTCTTCTGTCCTCCCTTCCCCCCCATTTTGATCCGAGGTACCCAGAGGTGGCGTAACTTGACCTGAAGATGTGTCCCATTGCTCATGTTCTTGTGGACTCGCATTGGGCTCCTCAATGTCCGTGTCCAGACGGGCCTCTGTGTCGTCGACCAATGAATCATCCTTGGCTTCAGATACCTCTCGAGATAATGGTTCATCCAGTGGCACAGCCGTCCGTGTTGCGACCCGTCTGAGAGGGGCTGGTTTTAGCCGCACCTCCACGAGCCCTCTGGAGAGTGTATTGATATACCGTATCAGCCTGTTGTCGTCCGTGACAGCTTGTCCCTCGGATGCTGCCCACTCAGCAAGTGACTTTGGAGGAGACTGGACACTGAAGGTGAACAGATGCCGAAACTCGGCCAAGTTCAATGGTCGCGCCGCGAAGATCATGCACCTCCAAAAGCGGTAGGTTTCGTCCACATCCTCGTCCAGAACTTCTTCGAAGAGCTTGGCATATTTTTCGTTGATTTTCCCAGGGCATTGCCGAACCCTGTCCCTCATGGTCTGCTCCGATCTCCCTTTGTCCCAATCCTCATTCAATTGTGCAACAACTAGCGACGCCCAGAGGAAGATTCCAGAAGCGCTTCGGATAATATCTGTGGCAAAGCTTTTTTTCGTGACAGGGTCGAATTCTCGGTCTTTGAACAGCCATGCATTAACATAGTGACGGATGTCTGCCTCGTTTTCGGATTCGACCATGATCTCCGGACACAGCGACGCGGCGATGTTCGGATAATATCTGCTGGAAAGACAGACGTTGACATTCCCTCCAGATGCAGCGGCGGACAGCGTCAACTTCCTAAAGTAGCTGACTAAATCTCTGGCATCATCCTCTGCGCATTCGTCGAGACCGTCAACAAAAATGTAGAAAGTAGTGCCCCCGGTCTTGATCAGATGCACCTCCATAAACCCCAAGAGCTCTTCGGTGGTCCATTGCCAGGACGTACCCTGCTGGGCTCTCCTGGTCTCGTAGATGTGGACGAGGTCTGCCAACATTACTCGATGCTTTGGAAGGATTTGGAGCAAGACCGTTCTGATAAGGCCTTGAGTGGACTTTTCTAGCAAGTCTCCGATTCGCGAGGCAAAGTATCCGGCTACTATAGAAGACGTTTCCCGCGTACAAGCGGCCAGGTAAGCCTCATTCATCAAGGTGCTTTTTCCTGTACCTACGCCGCCCTTGACCCAAACCAGCCCAAAGTGGTCATCGAGGTTCTCTCTTTCGAGCCACGCGAGATACCTTTTGTCGTTTAAAAACCATCCGCATGTATCGGCTTGAGCTCTCTTGATGCGCCGCTGGCGAAGACCGAGCTGAGGGAACGCAAGTGACTGAAGGCAGTCTTTGGCTGTTAGTAATCCTCCTATCATTGTCGTTCACACGGTAAGATAATCATACCTTGTTCACTCGTGGATAGATAAGCAGCCTCTACGCATTACTTAGTACTGAACTTCAAAAAAGAACAACAACGGGTAAGCTACTTTCAACTTGCTCGAGACGTAATGCAGCTGAGGCATGGTCAGTTCTTCTAGGAACCACACTACAGTGACGAGGATTTCACCTTTCTCGCAAGCCTCCCGCAGTTCACGATCATCTAGAATCACCTCAGCGTCGATGGCAGTATTTTGATCGCCAGGTACGCTCACTTAAAATAGAAGACGAGTATAGATTCATTGTCTTCACATAAAACAGGGCCTTTTCCATTTGCGCTATTAAGATACGTTAACGGTAGGTCTCTTACAGTCTACGACCGCAACTGATTCGATCAGTCCCTACCATTACTGCCAAAGCTCATAGTTTGAGCATTATACTGCTTCCCCGCGCCAGGATTAATGTATTGGTCCCCTTGCGCCTGGTAATTGGTCTGCGTCCCCGGACCCTGGTTGATATTACTGAACGCGGGATCGCTGAGCAAATGCTCGTCGATAGACGGTGGAAGTGCTGATACTTCTCTGATCGCGTTGGTTATCTGGTCCAGCTCAATCGTAGTTACTGTCTTCATGCCCCGCTCGCTCGCTAGAAGCTGCACATCCTCCAACATCCCTTTCATCAACAGCTCCACCCGATTGCCCTTTCCTAGTGTCCTCAGAGCCTTCAGGTACCGCTCCGCTCTGGAGGCGCCGTCTGGGGGGAGGACTTTCTGGAAGAGCACATCCAGCTTCTTGGCTTTCGCCTCACACGCTTTGACGATCGGTTCCATCGCCTGGCACGACTGCCTGCCCACGTCTTCGTTCCTGATATGTTGTTCGGCCACACGGAGAATCTCCTTGACGATCGGCAGCCGTCCCGCTACCTCCGCAAAGGCCTTGGGAAGGCCATGGGCATCGGCAGCCGCATCGTAGACTTTCTTAGCTCCATCAACGATCGCGATGACCGAAGAGATCACGCCGAGGACCAATGCTGCCTCTGCACCAGACATGGTCGAGCCATGTAAGATGGAATGTCGCGCTAGCTTGCGTGCCAGTAGGCTTCTGATCAACTATACGAACCCTGGTGAAGCTGTACAGGAAGGAAGGATAGTCACGAGTTGCAGGATTTCGAGCAGTTATTACCGAGGTTGGCTATAGGACTGTACAGTCAAGGCAGTGCATATGACTTGGAAGCAAATATTAAGATGAAACTGTGATTGTCGAACGGGAGGTAATTCTTCAAGGCAATAAGAATGACCTTAATATAAAGTATGAGGGTATCATAAAGGGAAAAAGAGAGAAGTCGTGATATCATGAGTATCCAATTGCCGTAAGTGGTGGTCTGACATTCACTGCCAATGTATGGAAACTTGGGTCATTGGCAGTTGAATTATGGATCCGTCATGAGACACCACTCCAATTATCACGACTCAAGCTCCCCACTCGATTGATTGGAAAGAAGAAGGTACGACGAGGGCAAAGGCTAAGGGAGGAAAAGGGTGTCATTCGTAAATGAAAGAATTACCCTCATTGCCCCAAATACCCATCTACTGAAGCCAATAAATAACTAACCCGTAGGAACTAGATATGCGGTGATATCCACGGCCAATACTACGACCTCCTGCGCCTGTTTGAATACGGCGGCTATCCACCTGATGCCAAGTACCTGTTCCTTGGCGACTATGTTGATCGCGGAAAGCAGTCGCTCGAGTGCATCTGCCTTCTGTTAGCATATAATATCAAATACCCCGAGAACTTCTTTATCCTGCGGGGGAATCACGAATGTGCTTCGATAAGCCGGATCTATGGGTTTTATGACGAATGCAAGAGAGGATATGTTAAGCTCTGGAAGACGTTTATTGATTGCTTTAACTGCTCTCGTGGAGGATAGGATCTTCTGTGTGCATGGGGGCCTCAGCCCAGACTTGAATTCAATGGATCAGATTTGTTATATTATATGTTCCACCGATGTAAGTCCGTTCTCCCTCAAATAATACTTGAAGCTTACCGCTAATTGAAATAGATACCTGACCCAGGTCTATTGTGTGATCTCCGTTGGGCAGATCCAGATAAGGAAATAACAGGCTGGGGGGAGAATGATCGTGGTGTCTCCTTCACATTCGGCCCTGTCCTTCTCAATGTCAGCAACTAACGTACAAACATACTCCCACCATACTGGAAAGTATCCAGGTGTCTCCCAATCAACAATACCAGTAAGAAATTCGTTCTCAACCATGATCTTAGCATTGGTGAGGTCACCGTGCGTAAAGGTATAAGGTGTAGCCGGCGGCATATGGCGCCGAAGACGTATGCGCACAGCCCCAGGTGTAGCCTCATTTAACCCACGCTCCATATGTGTCCAGAGTTCGTCATCCGATGCAAGATAACCATGTAGCAGATCGGAATCTTTGTTCTTGAATAGAAAGTTTGAATAAACTGGACCTCCACCCGGGGATTGAATATTGTCGGACTGAAGCTTGCCAAGTTGTAGCAGATACTGAGCGGTCTGTTTGCTATACCTTCCTTCTCATGTGCAAAAAGCTTCGGCCAAGCTTTTCTTATAGGTTTACCAGGAATGCGTTTCATTAGGATAAGAGTGTCCCCATGATCCTCCCAAGATTCAACAACAGTGGGAACCGGAATGGATGTGTTTTTCTGCACAAGTTGAATATTTGGTGCTTCAGCGGTCGGAAAGCTAGAACCTGGTCTTTGAGGATTAACTTTCAGCCTAATGATCAGACCCCTCGATCTCCTGCTTCATAGAATGCTTTGACGTAGCTGCTGTAGCTTCAATGCTTTTGGCGCTCAGGGGTCCAGCTACATGCTGCGTAAGGGTCTGAGCAGCTCATATGGAATGATGGATAATGCTAATGTGTTCAAAGAGTAGATTAGCTAGGGTGCTATGATGTCTGATGGGGAACCTGATACGCAGGTGTCGTACTTGTACTGTGTTGGTTCCTCTGGGAAGGGTTGCCTAACCAAACTTAAAAAAACCATCAACTTGGGCACGGATCCGAAACAAGTACAATCTTTGAGTGAATAGTTTCACAACCATGGATTGCCCAAGGATTTGCTTGGCAATGCCCCTTTGTATCACCAGTGTGATAATATGGTCGCGGCATGACCACAATATGAGGCTTTTCCCAACAACGAAAGTAATGGGAGTTCTCCGACCTGGCAGGTTACAAAAGTTGTCTTGAAGATCTTGATCTGAAACAGTACATGTAGTAAAAAGTTATACGGGGAGTATCAATGTCGGCTCAAACACTATTTCTGAGTTTGGAGCTAATGACTTTAGAGTTGAGTGAGCTGACGGACATAAAAAGGAAGAAAACCCTTAGAGCCTTTCCGCTGAGAGGATATCTCCGTAACCCTAGGCTCTTGGGAAGTGAACAGCCCTACCTCGGGATCTAGCATTAGGTTCAACATAAAATCCACTTATAACGAACCACGAGAGACATCTCCAGAAGGCTTGTAGTAATGGTTACGAGATACTGAAAGGAAAGTAAACGAATCGGTGGTCAGCATCAGGGGAATGCCATCTATCTGGGTAATATTACAACTGCGGGACATCCCCATGGGACTATTCTGCAAAAAGAAGCGATCGTATCTGTGAAGGCTGGAATAGAATAGAGACTAAATACATACATATTTCGTCATGAATGTGTCACTTGTATATAGACCGACCAATACTGCACACTTGGAATGAATGACACTATGACTAGATCCACGAAGCAAGCTCTTACACTCAATCACCAAGCAGTATTAGCCCCCTACTGCGCACCCAAACTTTGTACCATGGCTTACATACAAACGAGACAGTACAATTAGTCTACGAATGTAATTGAATCCTTCGGCTCTTTGCAAACCAGGAGATGTACGACCGAGAAAGTGAGGTAACCCTTATACTCAAACATTCCGCGGGGTGTCAACCCCTCACCACGTCACATCCTGCAAGCCACTTCATCTTGCAGCTCCACAGCATTGATTGGCCGATTTTGAGTCAAAGATACACGAAAGACTAAAAGATCGGTACCCGAGCCTTGATTAGTTTGATAGCTTTCGGAATTCACTGACTCCCGACCCCCTCGGCGTCAAAACCTAACAGTAGCTCGAATGTTGTTACACCTCATCTCCTCGAACTACCATTTAACAACCATTGCTATATAGAAAGAACGCCTAAATCGCACGAAAAAAAGCTACCAAAATAGCAAGAAAACGCCTCAGAAAGCCAAAGACCTACTGGCACAATGTCCTCCCTATCATCTCATAACCCCCACAACACCCCGACCCTCCCAAACTTCACCCGCTACATCACAACCCATGACGCCAACGGTACCGCCATAATCCACAGCGCAACCGAGAGTACCTTCAGAGAATACGACAGCGGTAGCCTGCGTTTCAATGTTCCCTTCACCACCTCCCAGTTCCCTGCCGAACTAAGTGGTGACGCCGATATATCCGCCCATGAGTCGCTGCTGGCGTCTGGCAACCTGGGTCTGGTTAGCCCCAGCGGAACCGTCTGCCGGGTTGTGGACTTCGCACCTCTGAAATCGGGAACCAAGGGGTTGATGCATCGGACACAAAGCTTGGATTATGGGATTGTCTTGGAGGGATCTATTGAGATGTGGTTGGACTCGGGGGAGATGAAACTGTTGAAGAAGGGTGATATCGCTGTGCAGAGGGGAACAATGCATGAATGGAGGAATCCGAGTGAAACGGAGTGGACTAGAATGGTGTTTGTGTTGCAGGGCAGCAAGCCTTTAGTGGTTGGGGATAAGGTACTGAAGGAGGAGTTGGGGACGCAGACTGAGATTAAGCCCAGTGCGAGTTCTAGTAGTCTGTAAGGGTTGTGTATCTTATCACGGCCTGGTCGGCTACTCTCTGGAAGTTCGTACAAGGGCTCTGTGTGAAGGTCTGCTAGATGCCTGGCTAGTAATAAAACCCATGAGTTAATCCTGTTGGTCACGAGCTATAACGAGGCTCCTCCTCGCAACGTTTGCTCGAGTAGCTATTGAGGTGTCTCCAGGACTTTAAGAGAATAAACTTTGGTAGTCTTGAGGCATGCAATAGTTAAGGCAAATAGCTGTTCTGAGTTATCCGATTTTCTGATTATCGTGTACCCGCCGAGCAGTGCATGGTTGACTGTATATGTCCTATAAGGATGTGGGTCGTGTATTGGCAAAAGACGTGTACATGAGCCCCGAGATGATCACCCTTGACGAATTCCATTCATATTATTATATAGTAAAAAGCCCAAGACCCTTAGTGTCTGCATTTATTACGGGACCTTGTCGTTGGAATCTACATTCTATTTCCAGTCTCAAGGCGTCAGTCGGTAGATCATCAAAGTTCATTTCTAGCCTTTCGAGGCGTTTTGCTGTAATAACGGTCTCGCCACCTTTCTCGCTTACCGCTGTATCTATAGTGTGAGTCGTTCTTTAGCAAGGCAATATCTCGATGCTGAGTATGTGTCTAGCCGGTTCTTGGGCTGGATGCCGAATCTATTGCCAACTCAGGTATTGTGCTCAGAAATGGACTAGATGTTGTTGTGACTGAGACGTAGGCAACGCAATTGGTGTCTCGCTCCTAGTTGCAGTAGAAGTCTCATTACCGTCATCGTGGGTTATAATGGACAATGTGTCCCGAGTTGGGATGATCTGGCGAGGAACTGTAGTCTCTGAGCCACTAAGCATCGAGTTTGGTATTGAACCCGGTGTACCTGGCGTCGGAATACGCCAGGCATCCCGTCTCTGGTTGGCATTACCAGAGGCCATCTGCCGGGGCCAGGCAGGCCAGTATCTCTGATGAACAAACGTAGGTCGATCCTCTAGCCAGATGCGATTCAGTGCCTGTTGCAGCGGACCATCTTTGGTCTGCATAATTCTTTCATTAGGCTCGTACTGAAAAAGAACCTTTCCCTTTGCTCTCATCATATCTCCTCCAGCGCGATCATATTGGTATAAGAGGGGCGGTGTGTTCAGTGGAAGGAGGCGTTGTAGTTTTTGGCTGATCTGATTGATCCTAGCCTTATATGCACGGTTATAGTTAGGGTACTGGGACCCTGTCGGATAAAAGATATAGGCAAATGGCTTGTAGGCAGCGATGAATGCACCGCCATTTTTGGTAAATTGTGCCAGGCCTGGCATCTCTTGATTGCCATCTTCCAGTGCATTGAGGACATCGGCTTCGAACTTGTTGTCGGCACTGGGCAGCCATTCACCAGACGGGCCGTTCGTAGCGAATGCAGGGTTCTCCCAAAGATGCGACATCCATATGCCTTTTTCCGAAACTACAACCACTGAGGTACATCCATATAGATCCTGCACTGCCATGTTGAATTTCACATTTCCTAGCTCCCTGAACAGAGCTGATGACAGGCTCTGTTGAGATAAGGGCACCCAAACCGCTCTCATATATTGGCTCACCAAGAACGAATCTACATCCCCATCGAAATCCTCGTCCTCTGGTTTGGCTATCACCCGCTTGTGTAACGATCCACCTTTTACCCCATTTTTAGGTGTCGAAACCTTTGGTGCGGCATTTGATCCGGCAACACACGAGGGACAATCCAACCCACAGAGCGACACTGCTTTAACGGGACGAGGTGGGTTTCTTAGTCGCCCATGATGCCGGGTGGACCTCTCATAGCCGTCAGAAAAGCCAATTAGAGCAAAAGTAAGCCATAGAGCCACTAGTATGGCGAGAAATGACCCAGACGAAGGTAGCATTGTAAGCTGAACAAGAACAGAAAGAGAGGGGAAAATGAATAGAATGGAAACGATAAACGCACTGTATATCGGATCACATTGATAAATTTCAAAGGTCCACTGCTTAGAGATCATCTCAACCAGCACGACAATGATACAAGGACCCTTATATCTCTTGTATACGTATCCTAGACACAGCATCAAGGTTTGAGGCTGTATATGTGCTTGAAATCAACTTCGTTTCAAGGGTATCTGGTCCTACGATGACAAAGGATTCTTTCTGGCATCTTTGAGCAACTTGGGCTGTTGTGTCTTTCGTTTTCACTTGCGGCGCTTAAATGTGGATCTTGGGAAGGCTCACTGATAGAGGCCAACAGCTGATTCTGATTACACATAGCAGACCGTGCCCGAATTGCCCTGCTTAGGTGGGTAAAAATCTTTAATGGGGCGGGATGCGGTGCTCCTTTGTTCAGCTTTTGATTCAACAACGATAGCCCTAGCAAAGACTCTCGGCAGAACCCGCTTGGTTGCCCGACAGGGCACACCCCAACTCTCATTCGTTTGGTTGTGAATGCATTAACAAAACGTTGTCTTCAGCGTTCTGCCACTCGACCAAAATACCTTAGGCATTTTGTCGTGCCTCCAACCGAACAATGGCCAACATGTTATGTCCCAGCTGTTGAGTAGAACGTCTTGGGTTATATGCGCATATTTTCACCAATGTCAGAGACCCTAGAAAATGAAATATATATACTCCGTATGTTCTACCGGATGATTTCTGTGCTCCACCCAGAGCATGCTTTATAGCATGATCAGTGCATCGGACAGTGTGTATGCTATCTCGAGCAGAGCATATTGGCTGCTGTCTGGTGGGCGAGCCAAGAAGCCGTGTGATATTTTCTCGCCAGAGACGATGTCATTGATTGCTTCGTGCATGGTACGCCAGCGAATCCCGATGCTCGAAGGTCCCCGAGACGCTGATTATAGACTTGCGATTCAACAATGATTGGCAAAACAGCGCTTGCATAAGCTATCTTTGTTCGACGTCTCTTAAGGCCCACATAAGGCTGGTTAGCTTAAAGACTCGTGGGTGATAATCCGCCGGCTTCTGGCGTTGGGCCTGATAGAAAGGGAACATGAGCAAAGGGTGTTCTAGAATGTATGAATGCAATCAATGCACCAAGGCATCGATCAAAATGTCGGGAATTATTCTTGGAGAGCGATTGGGCTAAGCTACGCCGTTCCTTACTACGCGACGTATATCTAGATTTGCCCATTATAGCGAGTAAGCCTGGGGACTGTTTCACAAGTTACACCTGCGTTGCACAGATTTGTTTTACAACTGCTTACGCGCCCGGTCTCAAGTTACCAACGGACACTGTTTCTCTCTGTCACTTAGTTTGATATGCAAATCTGCCTGCGCTACGGGATATGTATGGAGCGACCCCGTGTTGCGTCTTCGCGAAAGCACACTGACTCACCTAGGCCCGTTGTAGATATGCAATGGACGATCATTTGCGCATATGGTAATTGGTTTTTATTTTGAGAAAATCAGTTATAGTGGAATGCGACAGACGTGGGTAGTGGGTTTGTAGCTATGACCAAGCAATATGTTCAATAGGAGATGCACTGCAATGATATGATACGATTGTCTCATCTGTAGATGAAACGCTCTCAGTTCTCCTTCACCAACCGGTTATGTTTCACAAAGAGCCCTCTTTAATGCAAGCTACGTGAGCAAAATACACCTAGCTAGGTAAGAATCTAGCTAGGTTTGTCTTCTATCCAATTTTTCTTATGGTTTGACCATTCCTTGTGAAGTCTTTACTATCATGTTGATGGGACTATATCACACGAGGTATATCCACCTTGTCCTTAAATTGTAAATTGAACAAGTCGGTGAATGCACATGCTAAGCACCAAGGCCGTAGCCTTTATAGCCAAGAGTGGGCTGTGGAGCTAGCTTGGCAAAGACTTGCACAAAGCCTATCCACTCCGTACAGCATAATATAACTGTAACAACACCTTCCACAAAACTTCATTTCTAGTACTTCTTGTCTGATTTGAAACTACTGTTTAACTATAGCACTAGATAAAGTCGGTGCATTTATCATAGCTTACCGACGTAGTTGTAGCAAGAGCAGAGAAATGGCTTCGAAAGAAATGTAGCCCTGAATGGTCTATGATCGACCCCCACCCTACTCTATCAAGATAGATCAACAGCCCTAATCGCCCTCACCACACTTAAAGTATGGTTTCTCCATCTACCGAAGCAACGGCTAAATCTAGCATATCGAAGACGTGATGTGGACCCACCATTATGCCATTGCCTGTCCTCTAGCATCATCGGCCTCAAAATTTCGCAATTCACCACAATCTCCATAACCATCAACTACACCCCGTACTTTTCTCGGCAAAACGTAGATCTTTTCTTTCCTTCCACATTGATCATCCCCTGTCAGTCAAGATTTCTTCTTGAAACGCTGTCCGCTTTCCGTCTTTACCTCTGCGCTGCTCGACGATCCCCCGCTACGCGATATTTTAACGGGTCATTTGGCAATTCCTCAGTCTTTATTCCAACTATGCAATTCTGTGGGGTGATTGCACAAGATGCGCTACTCCGCGAAGTATGCTTTGCGGAAGTGGTGAGCGAGGGCGCTATGGGGATTTCATGATGTAGAGAAGGAGACATAAATAATCCTAAGTTCTCGGAACTTTCGTACCTTATAGGGCGCCTGTCTCTTCATTTAGATCAGCAACTGAGCTCTGTAGCTTTTTGTAAGCGGAGAAAGCGAAGAAGACTGTCTATTAGTCACGATGAAGGTCATGTTGGGAACATGGCTGCTTTGGGGCCTTGCCACGGCCGCCAAACAGCCTAATATTCTGTTCATCCTTACGGATGATCAGGGCAAACTCATCGGTGGGCTGGACCACATGCCTAAGCTACAGGTTTGTCTACACTTTAACACTTCGTTTTCCTCTGCTTTCTACTCTGGATTACAGAGGCACTATCAAGCAATCGCAACTAATCCAAAACCACAGGAAAACCTGATCCAAAAAGGAGCAACATACCCGAAGCACTATTGCTCCGTAGCCCTATGTTGCCCATCCAGAGCCAACCTCTGGACTGGTCGCATGCCGCACAACACCAATATTACTGATGTTGGCCTACCATACGGTGGATACCCCAAGGTAGTCAGCGCAGGTTGGAACGACAACTACCTACCGATCTGGATGCAAGAAGCCGGCTACGATACATACTACGTCGGCAAGCTCTGGAATTCACATACAGAAGACAACTACAACAAGCCTTACGCAAAGGGGTTCAATGGCTCCGACTTCCTCCTCGACCCATGGACCTATCGATACTATAACGCCAAGATGACACGTAACGGGGAGACACCGGTCAGCTACGCCGGCCAATACTCCACAGATGTGATTAAAAACAAGTCACTAGGATTCCTGGATGAAGCGCTCGCGAACCCGGATCGGCCCTGGATGCTTACTATTGCGCCGAACGCGCCGCATTCGAATGGATCCCAGGATGCGGTGACGGGTGCGACTTGGTTTGGTGAACCGGAGTATGCGCCGCGCCATGCGCAGCTCTTCAAGGATTATAAGATCCCCCGTGATGAGAGTTTCAATAAGATCATTGATGGGGCTGTCGGGTGGGTTGCTGACTTGCCGACGCTCACTCAGGAGGAGATTAACTATATTGATGAGTTCCAGCGGTGTCGGCTGCGGGCCCTTCAGGCCGTTGACGAGATGATTGGGGAGCTTTTTGAGAAGCTCGATAAGGCTGGTGTGCTTGATAATACGTATATCTTCTTTTCCACAGATAATGGGTACCATATTGGACAGCATGCCATGCAGCCAGGCAAGAACTGTGGATATGGTAAGTTTGCATGGTCATGAAGGTCCCTGATCTTGAGACTGTAATGTTAACAACGCACAGAAACGGATATCAACATTCCTTTATTCGTTCGCGGCCCTGGTATTCCCCAAAACCAAACAATCGAAGTCGTCACTAGCCACACTGATCTTGCGCCTACTTTCCTGTCCATCGCGGGAACAACAAGAGATGGGCTGGATGGAAAGAAGATCCCCACTACCATCGCTGCCGGCAACGCAGCTAATAAGTCGGAGCATGTAGCAATCGAGTACTGGGGAATTGTGAGCTTCTCCAACAATCATTGTCGCTTTACAAAGACCAATATACTAACAACTACCTCAACAGGCTGTTCCTGAAGGCATTTACGGCTACAAAAGCGATAACAACAGCCAGCCGGGCAATAGCTATAGAAACAATACGTATAAAGGACTGCGACTTGTCTCGGATGATTATAGTGTTTACTACTCTGTCTGGTGTACTAACGACAAAGAATTCTACAACCTAAAGGTATAGCCCTAAGTCAAGTCATCGTCGTCTAACATATACTCACCCTAAGGCAATAGGATGATCCCCTTCAAACGATCAACTTGGCTTCCAATATTAGCGCTCACCAATCATACACAATCGCCAACCGTCACTTGGGCCAGATCATTCCCCGTCTTGATGCACTAATGATGGTTTTGAAATCCTGCAATGGGGATTCCTGCCGTGAACCATGGCGTCAGCTGCACCCGAAGGGCTACGTGAATAACTTGGCCGATGCACTGGATTCAGGGTTCGATGAATTCTACGCTAACCAGCCGAAGGTGTCATTCTCGGAATGTAGCCTTGGGTATCATATTTATGCAGAGGGGCCACAGGAATTCAATATCTATGGAAGTGGGTCAACCGGGAAGAAGAGTGAAGGGGAGTCTGCTTCGGTAAAGCGATGGGGTTTCTTTGATGGGTGGCTATAAAGAGACAGCCTCTCTTGACGCAAATGTTTGAATGATAACTACGGCTACTGCAGCCTTGACACTTCAGTGTTATATAGAATTATGAAAGCTTCTTTAAATATATATTAATCATCTTAATATAAAACATGGGAGCTTGCTTACAGCGATTCAGAAAGTATTTAAAGATCTCTCGCTGTCCTTTTGATATAAAACTAAAACCGAAATTGGGAAATCAGCATACCGTCCGCCTTCAAAAATTACTTCGATATTATGGAGAGCTGGACATCGAGGTCCAAGACAAAGTATCGAGACAGCATCGTTATGGAAACCCTGGAGGACCGTACAGAGTCAGCGTACCATCTCCCCCACTACTCGGATTTACGACCGACCTACGATGCTCACGAAGAGAAAGTACGAGAAACTGGAGGAAAGGTTCGAGGACCTTTGTACGCGATATGACCCGAGGATCCAAGAACTACAGGCCCAGGCTGGGATTATAGAGCAACAGAAATATATGATCCGGTATCTACAGGACAAAGATAACAATGGACCATCACCGAGCTCTCTAACAGTATCTATATCTTCTAAGCATCAATACTGCCAATCCCACTCGACCAAAATGCCAATGACATCAAGGTCGCGCCTTGAACACTTTATTCCCCCAACAAATATTACAAGGGCGCCTTTTCTCCTTATAAAAAACCAACAAGGAATAGATAGAGCTCCCTGTACCCTTTTATTGACAAAGGAAACTGGAAGAAGAGAGAGTTTCTTGAGAAGGATTAGATTACCGCAGATTCTTATTACAACCACACAGAATCACTGGTTGAGGAACCGAGATTGAAGTCCCCTACACCTGGACCATCTCACTGACCGCGTATCAATTTGCCGGGATCCGATACTGACCTATATATTGACTACTTCTTCATAATTGTTCTTTGACTCTGGTTCTTGTTCCTCCTCCCCTCCCTTTTATCTTATTTTGAAAATTGTTGCAAAAGACCTGGGTATAACCAGGCCTTCTTTCTTCCGGGGATAATTGTCGCGTATTTGAAAGTTTTTATTAGTTAGCAACTGGGTAGCATGAAATCAGGCTCCCATAGCTTAGGACCTAGGGGGTTCACCGAGGCGCGTGGTAAGATCGCATTGCCCAATTGCTGTATTGTCTGTGTTGCAAGGGAGTGTTGCCGGTGAGCTTTCTGTTACTATATACGAGCCTACAGCATGATATTGTGATCTCCCCAAGGTCAGTCAACCCTCGGTAGTCAGAGGAAAGGTCTGGCTACACTATGAAATAAGTAGATGCAATCCGGCGCCCACGACGAGATTCGGTGACTATCCTGTTAGTTGTCTATGGTCCCCTTCCCCTGACATAAACGCAAGTATGAACGATGTTAACCCTGACGGTTACATCTATACCCATAATAAATAATAAACGTACTTTTCCAAAGCTCTTACAGGGTTCGGAAGATATTTACCCGGTTACAAATTACATGTGGATCTGTATCTCGATAGGCTAGAGCCAGTATATCGATTTCATCAATGGTTCTAGTTACATCACTACGCCAGCCAGTGTCCTGTATATGGCCAGCATTATATCAAACATTATGTAGGAAGACATCCATGCACATCAACGACCCGACCCAGGAAGGTGCAAAAACAGAAACAAACACCATAAAACACAATAACAAGAAACGAAGGGTATAAAGCAGCCTTAATATGGACAGAACAGCGAAACACGATACTCCAGCACGCATAGAAAGCAAACGAGAGGGAAAAAAAAGCAACTCTACCACCCAGCGAGCCGAATATAAAAGTAATATATGTGACACGCCTCATTGGAGGGGAATTTTTAAGATCATATCATCATTAATCTGGTGGTTCTCCGCTCGGGGAATCGCCGGCCGCCTTCTGGGGCCATGCCATACGGTCCGTCGAGTGCGCTTGGTGGCGGGAGACGGGCGGTTGGGGGTCCAGGGGGTCCAGGTGGGCCAGGACGTGGTGACCTCGGGCGTCCTGCATATCCGGGAGGTGGAGGACGGGGATAGCCGCGCGAGGGCTGACGCGCATGGGGGGGTAGCGGTCCGGGCGGATATAATCCCGGGCCTGGACGCTGGAAGCGAGAGGGTGGTGGTAAAGCCGCAGCTCTGCGGGCATCACGCTCACAATACACTTGACCATTCCATTCAAAGTATTCTCCTTTCAGCGCAACTTGGCAGGTGCGGCATGTGAGACAGTCTGGATGGAACTTGAAGCGATCGGCCGGGCCATGGCCCCGTCGTTCGATTGTCTCCAGATACTGTCCCTCGATCCCGGTGTGGCATGTATGACATACCGAATTATTGCGCTGGTGGTAGTGCTGCGCGCAATATGGCAGGTCATCCATGACGTAAAAGTCGGCGGTTTGGAAGGGAGTTTTGCAATCGTAGCAAACAAAGCATGCGCGGTGATACCGGCCGGTAAGACGGCCATCCGCGGACGAGACGGATTTCCCGATGATCATCTCGCCACAGCCGCGGCAAGGGCCCTTTGGGCGGGGGGTTGGACGGGCAGGCCGTTCAGTAGTAGGACTAGTTGTGGCAGGGCACTCCGGCTGGTCATCCTTTGCCAGTTTCTGCATGGGCCTCTCACGAAGAAGGGACACACTTCCGGTACTGATGGCAGGATCGGTCGGGGAGTCTGGACTGAAAAGATGTTGCGGCATCCGCGGCGGCTCGAGAATGTCCGAGCCGGTCATTGACATCGTCGTATTCTCGCCATTCTCTTTTTGCAGGTTCTCCACTAAGGTGCCTAGTTGGCCTTCATCGGACGGGTGGCGCTTTGACATGCTGATATCTGACCCGATGCTAGAGAAGGACGTGCCGCTTCGTGTATCACTCGGGGATGAAACTGAGGAAGCTGTCGGGCTCTCCACCACGCTATCCGTAGTGTCCAAGCCCAACTCGCGGGCAAAGTTAGTGATGGAGATACCGGCTTCGCTGATGGCATCGGAATTCCTCCTCTGCGCTCCAGTGTGTTCCTCGCCGTCACCACGTTCCTGGCTGGGGGTTTGGGTTTGAGGGAGGCCCGGACTCTTGTAAGCTTTGTATTCAATATCCCGCATGTCTGCCGGGGAGGCTGACCGCTCCTGGGAGAGGTCGAGGAGTTCCGACGGCGTACCATTAGAACTCGGGGTAGGACTTCTAAAGAATAACTCAGCGGACCCGCGGTTACTGCTCAGACGGTCCGAGCTGGTTTGAGATGAAGCACGGAGAGCACCTGGCCTATCTTCCTGGCAATCTGCCTTGTCGCTAGTGCGCTCGGTAGGCGGATTGAGATTACCACTGCCATGGCGCTTATGCTGATCTTGGTCGTGTTTGATTTCGCCCGGGAGTATACTTGCTTCCGAGAACGTGGTTGCAGTTGAATCTCGCAGCAGCTTGCCGGGGAACGTGGACGGTACCGGGGGAGCATCGTCCAGGAATTTATACTGATGGGCCAAGCTACCGTGGGATGGCCGCCCCATCGATACTGATGTCGATCGTCTGGAATCATAGCGGGAGCTTCCGACAGAAGTTCGGTAACTGCTTTTACTTTCAGTGGAGTAGCTATATTTGTGGAAGGTTGGTAGGGGCCCTGGAACGTCGTCCTTGGGCAACGGTGGCGGCGGTGCTATTGCTTGCTCGCCTAAAGGTAACCGAATGCTCTGGCCTGTCGTACCCGTAGCGCCGGCTGGAATCGGTAGGGCCTTGTATAGGTTGTCCAGAGGGACCATGTGCTTCGATGTCTTTTGCGACATGGATCGGGGAAGGGGAAATGTCGGAATCTCATCCTGATCTGGAGATCGTGGCTGAGAGGGGAGGGGAGATGTTTGGCTCCGTAGTAACTGGCGAGGCGGGGATTGCCGTCCGTCTGGAAACGGGGTAATATCGCCCTTGCTGCTGATCACAGCTTCCAGGCGCATAAATGGTCGATCTATTGGGGGTGTTACTGACAGTTTTGGGGGGATATACTCATTGCCACGGATGAACATACTGGCTTTTAAAGCATCAATCGGTGGGGGGACGCCTGATCTCCCTATACTTTTTGATGGACTGTGATGTTTGGGTGGTGGCGGAGGTGGTGTTGAAGATACTATTGCAACGGTCAATGGCGAACTGCTGGATTCTGGAGAGAAACACATACCAGACACGGGGTCGCAGACATGGTCCCCCATTACGGAGATCTCGACATTCATTCCACAATTGGAACATTTGATGGTGGGCAATAGGCCCATATTCATGGTGGCCGCCATGTCAAACCGCTGCGATGGTCTCCCGAGAACCGTTGCGCGAGGATTAAATCATAGAACAGTGTCCAAGGGACCGTTGTACGTGTGGAGTATGTATGGATCGTGCGTCTATCCTTCTCATAACGAGTCGTCGATGCTATCCAACCCCAGGAATCAACATCACACACAACACACCAGCTGCAGTACAGGGACTAAACTCGGTTAGAAAATCATAGGAGGTTCGTTTCGTGTTGGCGGAGGGTGATTGATTTTATGAATAAGAGTGAGAGGATAATGAGCGAACTAACAAATCAACCAAACTCAGACAAGAATAGTAGTCCCCGTGAGTGGAGACGCTACTGTCTTTTTTTCTTTTTTTTTTTTTTTTTTTTTTTTTTTTCGGCGGCAGAAACTCCTCGTGTGTATCTGACGATCCAAGACGGTTTAGTCGCGTTTCCACTTTAGGAGGTGGGCTGGGGGCCACCACGAGTCATGGGATTGGTCAACGACAACCAGCCCAGGGCAACACGCGTTCTTTGTGACGGAAGTATCAGTACGATATCGCTTCGACTTAATCTATTTAAATTCTATCTGTTGCTGCCCGTCTCCTCCGACTTAAACCAATATAGATCAAGATTGATTGAAAATGAATTTTTAATATAACGTTACATCCTGTCTGTCGCTGTCGTCCTGTTCGCCCCCTTTTTCTCAGCGGAGTTTTGACCATGGCCAGTCTGACGTGATGCTGCATGTCAACACGCTGACCATACGAACATATACTTAGGAAAGTTTGCAACCCCTGAACCAGCGCAGATCTTCCTCAGGGGCAACGGCCAGGACCCCATAACACTACTCCC